TCTCTCTCTCTCTCTCTCTCTCTCTCTCTCTCTCTCTCTCTCCTTCTCTCTCCGAATGGTGCAGCTCGGAAGGATATAGGAAACGCACGGAAAATCTCTGTGCTCGATTCCAGACGCCCGATGTATGATCTTCGTGCAATGAGCGTAGCGTATTAAATGAATCGTTCGAGTCTTCAATTTGAACCTTCGAAAGCTGCACTTCGTGCACAAAAGTACACACAGCATTCAAGTGAATGTTACTCGTCACGATTATTTCGTAAGTTTATATTCGCAAATCTGTCATATAAGTTCAAGCCCTAAACATTAACCCGTAACAGGTACCATGGGATCCCAGGGACCCCAACTAATTTTATTTTTATGATAATTCCTAAACTATTCACTATATGGCGCTAATATCTTCAGTACTTTTCGAGTAACAGTTTTCAGTGTGACAGAAGAAAAGATCATCGTCATTTGTAAGTAGCTGTGAATTATATGTATTTGTTTGTCGTCTGGGGTCACAGTGACCCCATGGTATCGTTAACGTTACTTTTATGAAAATAATTTTCTTAATCTTCAGCTCAATATGACTCATTTTTCACGCAAAAGAGTAAAAGCTCTTGCCTTTCAGTTAGTAGAACCTAAACTTAAGTAACGTCTTACAACTCAATATATTCATAAGCCATTGCGTTTAAATAATTTCATCTATTTTAAAAATTGAAGAAACTGAAAGATCTAAAATTATTTTTCCATCCAGAGTAAAATGTAATAAATGTCCTAGAAGTAAAGATATGAAGTCCAAAGAAGCATACAGGTACCTGTATGTTAAATGCAATGAACCAGTATGCACCAAATGTGCAAGCACTATCTGTAACGATTGCATCTAAAAACCCTCTAAGATTTTAATATTGTATTTAATTTAACAATACTTGTTTATATTTTTTATATAATCTATAATTTGTAGACTTAGATCAAAAAACATAAATTTTTTTTTCCAATTATTTGTCTTTCATTGTATTTTATTTCGACGCTGTCCACATTGTATTTATTTTATATTCAGTTTATATTTTTTTTTTACTTTACTAAAAAACTGAGGCTATTATTATAAATGTCTAGTTATAATATAATACTAGTAAATTATTATTTTCGAACTATAAAATGTCTTTCTACCTTTTATTATCATGTTAAAAATGGCAAAAATTTATTGGGTCCGCCGGACTCCATGGTACTCATAGTTTGATTAAAAATGGTTAGGCTAGGCATGGTACCTGTTACGGGTTAAATCTATTAAAAATGCATTTTAACTTTTGTATATATATAAGAGTGTGACATTTTAATAAAAAAATATTAAATTAAAACAAAAATTCGGTTTGCTTGCTGTAAAGAGTAGAAGCAACTTTTTCCTCGATAAAACAATGTAAAACTCTTTTTTGAGTGCAATAATGCTTTGAGAAAAAATTAAAAATTAATTTGTGAGATATAGTTCATTTTTGTAAAAATAAATTTTATATCTCATAAATAGATGTTCCAATATTTTTATGCTCAGTGTAAGCTTTACTAAAATATGTAATACGTATATTTAAAAAAAATTATTCTTTGTTTTGAAAAAATAATCATTATTTTATAAATATCACTATTAAAAGAAAAGTAAGTTGGGTAATCGTTTTTCTTAGCAGCAAATGTGTAGATATATATTGAGAAAGATACTTGAAATACTTATTTGTCAGATATAAAATATATTTCCGCGAAATAAAATTTATTTATCTACGAAATAAATTTTTAAATACTTCTTTTTGAGTGTAATTTTCCATCAGCGCGTGTTTTGCAAAAATTACCGGCAACAGAGATTTGTATTACTTATCGCGGAGCGCTAAGAACAATATAATTACAATCGCCCACTTTCCAGAGGGACCAACGGGAGAAGTGAAATTTTGTCGAGCGACGCGGTCAGCGAATGAACGCTCGAATTCTAGATCAGCAGATATCCTGCCCGCTAACTTGGCTATCAATTTCTGTCGCGATCGATGTACGTGCCTGTATGCAACTATGCAGCCTCGAGGAGACTTCAAGATTGCGAGGAGTGTGTGAGTCGCGCGTACGTACGTGTGCATGCACGCGTATGCGCGCGGATGCATACTTGATCAACTTAAGCAACGTTCACACGAGGCCGCGTCGCAGATGCCGAAGTGTAATAATAATGATAATAATAATATACACGTCGCGACGCGTTTATTTATTGTTGGCGGATCGCTTGGAGATCGTGAATCGCACATATGCGAACGCGCGCGTAAATAAAAGCAAAGTTTGCGATATCCTTGAAAAAAAAAGTCACCTTACATAGAGCACTTTCGCACACGGCCGCGGAAATCCGCGCTGGAACGCGCACAAACGTCTCTCGGAGGCGCTGTCGCGACTTCGGAGCACGCGACTCGCACCCACACGCGCGCGCACGCATAGGAGATATCCTCGAAAGTCGTGTGTACTTTCTCTGAAAGCCGCGTGCGTATTAGAGATCAAATTGTAAATACCGGCGCGTTTTCGTGCCGATATCGAGGCACCACTCTCTTTCCTTCCGTTTCGCCCGTTGAGTCGCACGCGACCGCCTAAATTGGAGCCAGATGAATTCTCGCGCAGGGAATTGCTGGGAGTAATCGCGTGAAAACAAATCGCAGATGGAATATGCGCGCAGCGTGTGCCCCGGGGAAATTTTCATTCGAGTTATTTCTCATCGTCGGGGGACAGATACGTGCTCGTATCGAGCGATCAATTTCGCCGCGGAGAAGTCGATTCGCGCGGATCCACAGGCTGTGGAATCCGTAGAGAAAGCGCACGCGCGCGACTCACGATACACCCCATATACACATTCCCGCCGAATCGCGTATCCTCGCGAGATCGCGGTTCTCGTGCGGCGCGAGAGGGGCGTCCACGAGGAGAAGCGCGGGGGCAGGAGAGGTAGGGGGGCGGAGAAGGGTTCACATAGTGACGCTCAAACGCACACACATGCGCGCGCACGCGGTGTGTATATGCGAGCAGTCCGCGCGCGACTCCGCAAGCGTTGCGAGAGAGGATAAAAAGAAGGGAAAAGAAAAAGAGAGGAGCACCCACGGCAATGCGGTGGCACAGCTCCTTTCTTTCTCTCTCTCTCTCTCTCCTTCCTCTTCTTCTTCTTGTTTTATTATTTATTTTTGCCGTTTTTGCATACCTGTCCCGGGGGTCGATCCACGTAGTTTTCCGAGTGTTGTGATCGATGAAGTACACCTTCCCGTCAAAGTCCTGGGCGACGTCCCACCCTTCCGGAAGCGGTATCTCCCCATTCCGTCTTCTTGGCATATTTCACTGCGCTCTAGATCCATCCAAAACCTCTCTCTCTATCTCCGTGCGGTCGACGGGTGCATATTTGTGCGCGCGAGCGCACGCTCCTCGGGCCGCATACACACGCGCGTCTCGTCTCGGCCAACGTGAGAACTGGAGAGAAGGAGATGGTGAGTAAAGTGAGTAGGCGAATGAGCGAGTGAGTGAGCGAGCGAGCAAGCGAGCGAGCGAATGTTTGTTGTGTGGAGCGAGTAGTATAGTGAGTAGAGTGATAGTGAGTAGTGAGCAATGAGTGAGTGAATGAAAGAGAGAGAGAGAAAGAGAGAGAGAGAGAGAGAGAGAAGGAGGGGGAGAAGAGGGAACGAGAGACAAGATAAAGAGGACAGACAGCCGGAGGGATAGAGGTTGACGGATGAGAAGGGTGAGCGGAGGTGAGCGAGACGGCGAGTAGCAGCGATTCGCGGTGGAACGACGAGGACAACGTATTGCACACACGGACGCGGCGCGCCACCAAAGGCATGTATACACATATGATATGCGGTATGCGGTGTGTGCGCGCACTTTTTTCTTTCTCTCTCTCTCCCTCCCTCTCCCAACCTCTCTCTCTCTCTCTCTTTCTCTCTCGCTCACTCACTATAGCACGTTATTCCGCCATCATGAATACCTCATTATCATGAGCAGAGTGACGTCAGAGTCCCCGCCTTTAGATTCCTCTCGAGCGGAATTCCACCGTTAACGTAACCGGGCGTCGAGGAGAGCAGCCAGCCAGAGGCGGCGGCGGCGGCGGCGGCGAGCAGCGGCAGTGACGGCGGTGGCGACAGCGGTAGTGTCGTGGTGTTGCGCTCGCACGGGTGCATCGATCGGGTGCACGCCGCGTATCATCACCACCAGCAGCACCTCACGCACCCCTCCTCCTCTTCCTCCTCCTCCTCCTGCTCTTCGTTGCCTTCTTTCGTTTGACACTCGCGCACACGAATTCCTCTCCTTCTCTCCCTTTCTCCAAACCGAAAAACCCGGGCTTTACGTACGACGGCACGATCTCGCGCTCGTTTCGTTCCAGTGACTCTCCCTCGCGCGCACCACGGAAAAATAAAGAAAGAAAAGGGGGGAAAAACGAACGGGGACAACACACCTCCTCTCTCGAGAGATATATATTATATATATATATATATATATATATATACACCCCTCGCCCACCGTGCACTTTTGTATTTACTCCTCTGCCCGGTTCCGAGGAGAACTCGTCGGCACAGCTCGTGGTCGTAGCTCACCTTCCGGGATACGTCGCTCCTCGGGACGTCGTACCTGCCGAGACCCAGCGTACGCACTGCGCGCGCTCACGAGCTCGACTATTGGCGCACACCGCATCTGCCTGTATCCTTCGTGCTATCGTTCGACAATCGCAGCGAGAGACCGGCAGAGAGATTCTCTCGGCGAACTTCAGTACGGCCGCTCGCGACTGTTTGCGACTCGTGCTCTCTCGCGCGCGCGCGACCTGCGTTGAACGTCGCTCCGTCGCGATCTCCCTGCTCGCGCGCCGAACGCTACAGCGACGTCGTGTCTCTCGTGGCAGCCGCGGCAGCGGTGGCAGCGGTGGTGGTAGCGGCGGCGGCGGAGGCGGCGGCGGCAACGGCGGCGATGGAGGCAGGACGGCGGCGATGGCCCGCGACCCGTTTCGTGCGACGTGCGCTATCGCCGGCTCCGTGCGCGGCCGGAGCACGTTTCACCGTGTTCCCTTTTCCTCGTTGCATTAGCCGCGCGGCGCTTTAATGCTAATGCCGAGCAGCGGATCTTGACGTTTTTCGCACGCAGGCAGGCAGGCAGGCGAGCTGTGGCAGCCAGGAATGTGGGAACTCGAGAACTTTTCTCCCACCACCTTTCGGCGGCTTCTGCCCGAGTTTGAACCCAACGACAAGTGCGAGAAGAGTCTGTTGCTCTGTTTCTCGCTCTATAACTCTTTTTCTCCCTCTCTTTCTCTCTCACTTACGCGTACTCGACCAACTTCACGCGATCAACGACAATTACCACTACACGTCTCGACGACGCGGTCGCTACTCTCGATATGTCAAAGAGGACGACGATGCCAGTAACTGTCCCACAATTTTCAAACTCCCGCGGTGACTCCCACGAACCCGGACGACTCTATCCGAAAATTACCTGCGCTGTCGCGCGCGATTTCACTGGCTAACGTGTGCGCCAGCCTTCACGCGGGTAAACGCGGACGATTTTCTCGTTGCCGACGATACTACTACCTCAACTACAAGCATGCCGAGTGTTTGAGACATGCTACTGGACGTTCGTGCAGTGTGCTCGTCGGGCAATACTTCCTTCTCATTCTCTCTTCCTTTCTCTCTCTTTTTCTCTCTCTCGCGCGCGCTATTTCCCTCTCTCGCTCCTTCGATCACGCTCCATCTCTCCTCTTCTGCCTTCCCACCACAACGCGCGTACCATCGGAACGTCTCTACCTCCCTCTACCGTGACCCGCGATGCGACATCTTTGTTTGACTTACGTCATCTGTCTCCATCTCAACACACCATCCGTCGTCGTCACTCCCGCAACCTCGGTTGTCTTCGCTTTCCGTCGCACTCGCTCTATCGCGCGCCTTCTTCCCCCCGCCACTGCCGCTAAACTCCACATTCTCTGACCGCTGTGCACGACAGCGAAGGAATAGACGAACACATTGCCCTTTCGACCGCTTCGCATATTTGCCGCTACTCCCTCGAACGGCGCCACTGTACGACTCGCAGCACAAGGCAGGTGCAGAACGTCCCAAGTGTTTTGAGCAGGAACACGGTAAAGAAGGGTATCGGGATACGTTGCATGGGATATAATCGAAAAATCGAAGATCGCAGAAGCCTGCGAGTAGTTCGTTTTATCTGTTTGGCCAACCAGCCCGTGACCTTCGCTATCGCGATCGTTGCTCTTGTATCTCACGTACAGAGAAATTTATTCGACGGGCTCGTATTCTCCTCATTTAAATACCACTTGCTAAATGCTGCTTCATATGCAAGGTAACGAATGCGAATAGGCGCCAATGTCGTTATCATTAAGCGTTTGTTGAGATCGTTAGATCCACTTTTAGCCGAGCGAGCTGAAATTTCAGGTACGCGGATGAATGACAAAACGTTAGAACGACGAGCCACACGAAAGTTTGACAAATATCGGGAAATTATCTCGGAAGAATTAACATCTTCTGCACGACTGTGTTTTGTAATCTGGTTCTCGAGGCCTTCTACTCTCTCCAAGTGTTCAAGATAAAAAAACGACATACTCTAGAGTAATGTATGTGTTTAATTTGTGCGCCTTCTTTCCCTTCTCTTTTTCTTTAATACTCCACATATACACCTACTTTAAATTCAACGAGTGAGAAAGTGCAGGCAGACAGAGCAGTCCTTTCGCATACGCAATCAGTTTCTCTGAGGGGATGTTCTGGTTTAGATAGCCGAAAAAATAAGTTCCCACGAATTTTTTTTCTCAAGAGAGGAAGTAATAAAGAAATCAATATAAGGTATTTTGACCATATCACATTGTTTTAAATATAAATAATTATTTTTTATTTTAAAAAATTTGAAATTTCGTAAATATTTCAAATATTTTGTGCTGAACTTTCTTGTTCCATTCATTTGAGATTATTACACAAACTTTAATGTTGTCCAGTAGTTAGAAGCGTCCAGTGACACTACATTCAGTACAAAAAACCTAAATGGAATTTCAATTTCATTTTTAAATAATTTGTTTTTACTTAAAACAATGATAAATAGAGTATGGTCAAAGCCCTATATTAATATCTTCATTCATTTTTTTGAAAAAAATTCGCAAAAATTTCCTATTTTTCGGCTATCTAAACTAAAATTTTCTCTTAAAATTTCTGGATATTTGTTACGACCATGTTGGATGATAACTTCAGAAGCGAGAAATGACACTGAAATGCACGCCATTTTCAAATAAAAAAATATTTGAATGAAAGAACATTTTAGATCCCAAACAATACAAATCTCCAAGGGCCGTCTTGGAGATGCTTGAGAACGTACTTAGGACGTAGGGACATCTTTAGAACGTCTGGAACGACTTCTTTTGGAAGTCTGTGCTATACAAGATTTGTTTGAGCATACTTGTAAAATGTTTAGCAAATTATCTTTTTCCCTTGACATAAATAGCCATAAAATTAACTGAAAGAAAAAAACGTGAAAAAAGATAGATTGAAGATGAAATTTGCATATCACATTAATTTCACGGCTATTTATAGATTTTCAAGAAAAAAGAATAATTTTCGAATCATTTTACAAGTATATTCCCAAATAATCTTTGATATAAATATTTTTTTATTTGAAAGTAACAATTTTAGGCATGTGTTTCTCGCCTCTGACATCATAAATTAAAATTCCGCAGTGAATTACGTCATAAAGTGTCTACTCGTTTGTGAAACAGTTTGAATATTTTCTTTTCAATATATTTCAAAATGCATGCAATATCCAATGAGCGAATCTATCATGTGAGAATTAAGCCCGATTTATGATGACTTACGCCATAAAAAATTGACCAATCATAGTTGATTATTCTTCTATAATTCAACTATGATTGGTCAATTTTTTACGGTTCCGGGATAATTTAACGAATTACAGCCATCATAAACTGGCCTTTACTCAACAACGAATTCCCCCATTGGACAACAGTTACACCTCTCATTTAGCATTCAATGAACCTGTGGACCTGATTGGTGCATATTTTGAGATTTGTTTCAGATCTTAAAGTACAAACCAATCAAGTTCAAAACTGATTGAGGTTAGTGAACGTGTAGTACACTAAATATATCCCATCGGGTCTGTTTTCTGTTCTGGTCCTTATTCTTGAAATAGTTGCATATACATAAGTTTTACTGCGCAGTTTAATCATACCATAAAATAGCTGCACAATGAAAATTACGCGTACGCAAAAATTTCAAGAATATGGGCCCTGCACTGCTGAACTGGTGCAATAAATTAGAGCGAGAAAAAAATATACGGTTTGTTCTTTCGCTCTGCGCTGCTGCGCTGGTGCAATAAGTTAGAATATGACAAATATATATTTGTCTCACTCTAACTTGTTGCACCAGTGCAGCAGTGCAGAGCGAAAGAACAGACCATATATTTTTTCTCGCTCTAACTTATTGCACCAGTTCAGCAGCACTGGGATTCTATAACTCGTTATTGGAGTTAACGAAACTGTCGTTAACTCCAATAACGAGTTACAGAATCCCAGCATAGTGCAGGAACGCAGTGCTGCGAATTCGGGTAACTTTTGGTGCGTTCGCTTTGGGCACTTTGCGCCGTAAGCGTCATTCTATCTTTTTCCCGCAGGTAATGAGTGATAAAGATAGAATGACGCTTACGGAGGATTCACACAGCATTCGATGTCCGATGTACAACATTCGATATCCAATAGGAGAACAGCTTTCTAATAGGGAATTCAATTCTCTATTGGAAAGCTGTTCTCTTATTGGATATCAGACGTCGGACATCGGACGCGGTGTGAATTCTCCATTAAACACGTAAACGCCTAAAGCGAACGCACCAAAAGTTACCCGCTCGCAGCACTGCAGGAACGAAAAATAAGGGCTTCCACAACACAAATTTCTGTAGCCGTAACGTAATGGCTCCTGCACACAGGACGCGGTAATGCTTGTCGCGCGGCGGAAGTCCGCGCGACAGCCAATCAATATGTTGTTTTTCCGTAAAAGCTAGAAGGTTATTACGGAAAGCAGCATGGCTGTCGTGCGAACTTCCGCCGCGCGGCAAACATTACCGCGTCCTGTGTGCAGGAGCCATAAATGTACCGTAAGAATTGACCAATTACGATCGAGTATTCATCAAAATGGCGACCTATGATTAAAGAATTCTCAACGTGATTGGTCAATTTTTACGGTACGTCTTACGTTACTGTTATGTCAAGTTGTGTGTGGAGGCCCTAAACCTATCGTGTATTGTCGGTTTTATGATGAAAAAAGGTTTAACCTAACCTAACTTTATTCATCTAACTTAATATTTTCAAAGTACAACGTAGAATAGTTCAATTTCTTCTTGGTTATTATGGATGTAAATAATTCCATATTCCTGCAAAAACAGGTGAAGGATAATTCGGAAGACCTGCAGAACGAACTTCGTGATATGAAAAATTGGGAGAAGTTGATGAAAGAACAGGAACAATACCTATTAAGCAAATTAAACAAGGAGAAGGTATGTTTAAAATGGGAAATTAAGAAATAAAGATTGATATGTTGAGAAGTAAATTTAAAATTTTATCATTGAAATACACTATTGTAAAATGTTTGAATTTTTAGACAATTTTTCAATAGAGCAATAAAACTTTGCAATGAAGCAGAAGAATCAATATCAAGATTATATATTAACTCAAGAATTTGATTAAGTTAAATTTAAACATGTAGAATTGAAGGTTGTTTTTAAGTTAAAAGTAATAGCGATATTGACATTAACTATTATTAATCTACTTTAGGCCTGTTCCATTTAGCTGCACTGGTGCAATAAGTTAGAGTGAAATAAATATATATATATATATTATTGAAATATATGAAATATATTTTATTTCATTTTAATTTATTGTATCAGTATAGCAGTGCAGCAGAAAAGAACAAATCACTTATATTTATTTCACACATACATACCATATATATATATTAGATATATTCATGTACAAATAATATTTATTTTACAAATGTTGTATATTGTAAATATTAACTACTACAATATTTTATAATTAGCTAAATTATAAAAATATATATTTAGATAATCATATATATATTTTTGTTTACAGCAATTACCTCCTATCAGAAATAGCAGTAAGAAAAAACCTGCAACAAGAGAAAGCAAAAATACTGAAAATTCCAAAAGAATGAAGTCACACGATCATACAGCATGGGAAAAGTTTGATGCTGTAAGTTGAGTTGTACATATTGAATATTGTATAAGTTTATAGCTTAATGTTATTAAGAACATTTTATAATAAATTAATGTTATACGTTGTAACAAAGGACAAAGCTTGTGATGACTTAGAAGAAGAAAAAGAGTCTGATGATTTGTCTAATGAATTCTTATCTGAAGACCGGATACAACAAAATCACAAGGAAGCGATAGAGTATAAGGAGGAAGGCAATCATTTTGTGCGACAGAAAAAATGGGACAAAGCAATCGCTTCGTACAGTAAAGCGATCAAACTTTTTCCTTACGATGCTATCTTCTTTGCAAATCGTGCTCTCTGTTTTTTAAAGCAGGATAAGTAAGTTTTGTAGAGTATAATAAATCATTAATGATAGTTATATTTAATATATATGAAATTATGACTCTGCAATGTATTACAGCTTGTACTCTGCAGAAGCAGATTGTTCATCTTCGATACAAATAGATGATACTTACGTGAAAGCTTATCATAGGCGAGCAACAGCTAGGATGGGATTAAAACATTACAAAGAAGCAAAACTGGACATAGAGAAAGTCTTGACGTTAGCACCTTCTAACAAGGAAGCAAAAGCGTTGCTTAGTGAAATTAACAAACGACTTAAAAATTTTAAGGTATATATTTTACAAAATAAGCAACAAAAAATTATTGACTGATATCACGAGAAGTTATTAAGATAAAATGTGTTAGAGCAAAGTTGGTTAGTTCCAAAGGAGCAGTTGATGATGATATTACTGTCATCTTGACATATTCTTTTAAGATTAACCATAGTTTTTAAGTGAAATTATATAGTTTTTTATAAATTGGTTATACTATTATATGTTTTCCTTGGAACTGAACAACTTCGATTTAAAATATTTTTTACATCTGATGTATTTTTCGCGATATCAATTAGTAACATTTTACTTAATCTAGCTTGAACTAAAATAGATATTTACATATAGTTTTTACTTTTTAGCCAGTCATTACATCTGAAGAAGATATAGCTAATGACATTTCAGTAGAGAAAAAAATTGCTGAAAAGAAGTTGGATGATGTGGAATCAAACAAGAAAATAATTGATATCAAAGAAGATAATAACGAGAATAGCTTAAATATAAAATCTACTGCAAAGCCAACAAATATAATAAAACAAACGAAAAATTTAAATATTCCAGACTGGCTACCAGAAAAGGATAATGTTAAAATTGTAGAACCTGTTGAAAAACCACCCCATTTACGTTCAAAGGTAATTTAAAACTTTGATATACTTTGTGCTATTTGAATAACAAAATATAGTTACATTGTTTTTCTAATTAGGAGCCATTTAGGAGAATTCCTGTACAAGAAGCTGATTTAACTAAACCTTTTAAAGAGGAAATTAAAACGTCGTGTTATAAAATTAAAGACCTAGAATTCAATACATCTTCTGATAATATCACAGAGGTCAATGAAAGTGTTACAAAAACTAAATCTGCAGTGGAAGAAAACTTCACTAAAATTTGCACAGAAATACCTCCTGTTCCAAAAACTGCAGTGCACTTTATCATAAGCTGGAGAAAATATACCTCGTCCGATTTTCGATATAAATATTTAAAAGTAAGTAATACTATAATAATTTATGCATAAGGCATAAACTATATATTGATAAACTTGTGATAAAAAATATATTGATAAAATTGAGATAAAAAATGTCTCTTTCAGCAATTGCCACCAGGCAGCTTACCAAAGATATTTAAAGAATCATTGGAAAGCAATATTTTTAGTGATATATTAGCAACCCTTAAGACAGAATTTATAAACAGGAAGGAATCTATATTTTCATATCTAAAGGATCTTAGTGATGTTAGAAGATTTAGAGCACTCATTATGTTTATAAGTAATTCCGAAAAGCAAGGTAAAATATTTTTATTTATATTTAAAGCAAGGTAAAGTATTTTTATTTATTTACCTTTTTTTAATTTATATATATATATATATATATATATATATATATATAATTACAAATAAAAAATAAAATAAAATCTAAAATATTTTCAGACTTGAAACTTATGTTCTCATATTGTAAAATATCGGAAAAGATATCCGAGAAAGAACTTATGGAGATACAGAATAGATACGAAATTTAACAAGGTATGCTGTGAATGAGAATCATAAATTTTTACAATTTAAGTAATAATAAAATTGTTTAATATTAATAATAACAAAATAATTTTGAAAAAACAATAGTTCAGTGTTGTGGTAAATGTTGATTATATTATAAACTACAGAAAAGTGAACAATTCATTTATTAAAATGAATAAATATTGCTTCGACGTGTATAAACAGCTCTATTGAGATTATATAAGGATTTTAAATATACCAATTCAGATAACATGAAAAGAATTGGATGTTATACAAATGTTTAAAAGTTTAATTTTTATGTTCAAAAATTTCAACAAATAATATGTACAACAAATATTTGAATGCTAAATATATCTATACACACACACACACAATGTCTGTATAACATAAATATATTTTGCATGTAAAATATTCTTTACACGTGAAATTTTCTTTTAAGAAACGCAAAAAGTATTTACATCCTAACATGTAGCTACTGACTACATGTTATAAATGACATATTATAAATGACCGTTTAGTAGTCGTTGAATTTTCTGGTCGTTTTTGATAATTTGCGATTTTACCTGGCATATTTTATCTAATTGAGTTTTCATATTACTATCGATTTCCTTTAATGTTTCTTTCATAGGCTCTATCATTTCTTCCGTTTCTCTAAAACAAAAATTAAGATAAATTGTGGAGGCTACTTATTTCAAGTTTATAATATATATTATGCTTACGTACTTTTGTTCTCTTTCTAGTTCGTCGCTCAGCTGACGATATTGGCTTTTCCAATCTGATAATTCTTTTTCCATCATTTCTACATCTTCCTAAAATCAAATATAATTTCATAAGTATTGTTGATTAATTTGTAATACGTAATTGTGTAATATTTTTATGACTGCAACAGTTTTAAATATATTACTTGTACGTAATCTAAAAGTTTCCCTAGAGGATTTGTTGTACGCGTTAGCGTCTGTATAGTCCCCCTTAATTTGTCAACTTCCCTGGCCGCGGCTTCTCGATCACGTTTTGAGCCTGATTCCCAAGCCTGTGTTCAAATATACGCACTTAATAACAGAACTTATGCTGCAATTCTTATGCTGCAATTCTAAATAAAATCGTAAAACTCGTAACTTGTTCTCGTAAGACTCATAAGAACGTGTGAATAGATCTGCAATTCTATGCGGACTGTATGTCATACGATAACTGGTAAATATCTACGATTTCTCGAAAATCTTACGACTAACTAGAAGTTGTCAATAAAATTACGATTTGTGAATTTTACCAACATTACGATTGATTCGTAAGTTACAACTTTACGATTTTACGATTTACTCGTATATTTGTTTAGAATTGCAACACTAAAATACTTGTCAAGATATAGCAAGAATCGTTGCAGAATTATTGATATAATGGAAAAGAATTATCGCATAAAAAACATTTTTTCTTACGATATCCACTTTTTTCGGTATTACGTCAACATTGTCGGTATTGACTAACTCCCTCTGAGTCTCTAAGATTTGCGCCACGAGATGTCCGTGTTCCTGCATCAATTGATTGTCTATTTTGTAGTCTCCATTCTCCAGGAAATCACCGTTACTTCCCTTGGTCTCCATCACCACCATATCTTCAGCGTCATCATCGTCGTCTTTCAGGTCGGAACTTTCTACGATGACGCTGATATTACCCAGTGGTGTTCTGTGCATAATTTTATTTTAGTGTTTTCAACGAAATAACACCTCTCACAATTATATCATCGTCTTACTGTATCTCCTCGTTGACGATCAATTCTGCTTTCGCCCTCATCCTAGGTGCCGCCGGCCTGGCGCTGATAGGTCTCGCGCTGGGCGGTCTTAGAGAAGTTTTAGGCCTCGTATTCAATTGTTGCAACACGCTGGAATAAATATCAAGTTAAATATCCATCATTGCTGATGTTATTAGCAATATAGACTCGAATGTTACGTCGTTTCAGTGGTTTCAACTTGAGATCCCACGAGTTCTGATGTCGATTGATCGTTTTTCTCAGCACTTTGCTGCGAAACTTTGTCCTCTTCTGATATCCCATTTTCCTTATTTTCATTGATATGGTTGTTCGTCGGTGATTTATCTTCCTCTTCGTGGAGAGACTCGGCAGGCAAATTTCCCACTTTCTCCCGCGAACCGCTTGCCTGTGCCGAGTGTCTTATTCTGCTCGAAGAACTTCTATGTAGCGTCTGCTCTTCTGTCGATTCGGCCGCAACCACTGATGCTGTGACATTCTGCTTCGATTTGGCGGACGAGGAAGATTTCCTCCTTTGCGCTGAAGCGGAAACTTTTCGTTCAACCGGCTAAATACAAGTAAATTTTTTCATTATTTATCGCACACATATATAATGCTCGAAATAATATATCTGGAAGATGAATCAAGAATTTGTTTTTTGTCCTCAGATTTTGCAACTACGTAGAAACGATTTTGTTACAATCCCTCTCTTACTTCTTACCTCAGCCACTGGAATATCTATTGCGTCAACATTCTTCGAGTTGCTCTCCTTCGTTTCTCTCGACACTTTTTCATCAGTCTTGTCGTTGATGCGTTTTGCTCCACCCGATGCTACTTTCCCCGTACTGGAAGAAGATTTTTTCCTTTGCTCTGCCGAGATTTTGTCTTTCTCCGATGACTTTCTTGTTTGCGAGGACTGTCTTGCTGCATGTTTCTTCTGACTTTCCTCTTTAGTCGTGGATCTTAACTTTGATCCTGTTTTTGCTTTCTTCTCTAAGCTCTTCTTGTAATGCTCGATCGCCTCTGTACTGCTGACCTGATATAAATACGATAAAAGTGCTTCTCATTGATTCTCAAAAATACATGTATATACGCAACAAAATGTATTACTTTCTTGTCTAGAGCTTTCCCGATAGCTTGCAGTAATTCATTTGTCTTCGTTGGCTCTTGGCCGGAGATAATTTTACTGGCCCTGACTGTTAAATTTGCGGCCGAAATTAACTCTAAAACATGCACCATTATATTTACATACATGTGTACACATCCATGCATATACATTGTTGAATAATTACGTTCACAAATATACTCGTAGGTAAAGTGCATTAAATTGGAAAGTCTTCTACCGTTTTGCAAACTTAGTTATTAAACATTTAATTAAATATCGTCGTATAAGGGTGCCGAAACGACTTGGCTCTTCAGTTTAGCGTGCTTTAATTACACACTATTGTCCCTAAAAAGACTTTGAACATAAACAAAGCGATCAAGAAAAAATTTGAAAAAAAAATGATCACGAAAATTTTTCTTCCACAGTATTCTTTTTTTAAAATCATTCAAATTGTGCTCTAAACATTTCTCATATCATTAAAAATAAAAAAGATATATAGGTATTCTTTTTATGCACCCTCCTGTATATATACATCCTTTCCAATACTATATAATTTTATAATGAAAAAAACATGTTCAACTTAATAGCAAAATGTCAAACACTCACTGACAACATCAATGAGCTTTGTCAAGAAGGCAAGCTTTGCCTCCTTGTCCTTTATGTTATCAGAATTCAGCTCTTCTTCAGTAAATAATCCTTCCAAAAAACCCGTCTGAGCAATAATCTGAAATTTTTGTTCATGTAGAAAAAAGATGTCCCAAATTAAAAATTCTTAATTAAAATTAATTAAAAAATTAATTTATTAATTTAGCCAATTAAACACGCACATACATACATTAAAAAGTGCTAAATATGTATGATCAATACGTTACAGTCGATATAATGTCGTGGAGGAAGCGAAAGGGTGGTTTGCGGAGTAATTTCTCGGTTAACGGTGGTTTTTTAAAGTATTTCCCAAGCACATCTTGCGTCTTCTTTATCACTTCTGGTCGTACTTCGTCTGTCATCGTGACAGCTTCTTCATCTCTCCAACTGTCAACGTGTACGATTACTTTCGCGGTGATACTCAGAATTGCATGTCAATGTAATGTCAAGCGGTTGCTAGGCAATACGTGCATTCTGTACTATTACCCGCTCAATGAGTTCTTGAACCTGTGATTGGATCCTATTTCCTAAGTCTTGATCAACCTTGATCAAATTTGAAAATGTATGCCAATCATATACAGAGTGGAGAGAAAAACATCGGGATTCCTCCATATTTTTGAAAAATATCTTGAAAAAGTGTTTTTGGAAAAAGTATTTCAAACGAGAGATATAAGGTTTAAAGTGATAGATCTAATCATCAAATATTGGTTTGCTTCGAATGAAATAATACCAAGATCACATAAAATTATCTTAATTTTTTTTAATAGAATCTGATTTTCATGTAGCTCAAAGACTTTGAAAAGGTAGCATTTTACTTCTTTTTGTCATTTAATTTAAGAGATACTATTTCTTTATAAAAGAGGAAATATTTGCTTATAAGAGTATCGCCAAAATTTAGTTCTCGCTAATTGTAATTACTTTTGAAGTTCTTTTGAAGATAATGGTACCGTATTCTGGACGCGTATTTGAACGTCTTTCTGATTCTCAATCTAAAAAACGTTATACTCGTGGTCTGAAAGGTTTGTGCACCGATTTTTTGTAGATTGCGGAACGCGTCCCAATTTCAGAAGAGAGACAACCACTGCTTAACACGCCAGCGCCGCCACTTATTACGAAAGCAAGGGTACTATTCCGTATATGGTTATCGACAATTGTCGGATCGGTAGATGTCGTTGCGCAGCTTTTTTATACCATAGAAAAGCTGCGCAACGATGCCTACCGATTCGACAGTTGTCGGTAAGCGTGTACGGAATAGTACCCCAGAAGGATGGCATATACGATAGTCTTTAAAGCCCGTATCACACTAGCGATTGGCGATTGATGATTGACGATTGAAGATTAGATTTTGACGAATCAACGAGCTTCAATCTTGACTTGCTTGTTCCAACATCAAGTTCCAATCTTCAATCGTCAATCATCTATCGCCAATCGTTAGTGTGATTTGGCCTTTATAGGCAGCATAGGGCAATTAGCAATATAGGGTGCGTTCCGATATTTACTGTCAGTACTGAAAATCTATAGTTCATGTTACGTATACTATAGATTTTCTGTACTGGCAGTGAATATCAGAACGCACCCATAAGCGGGAAGCACAGACCTTTACATAATGCATAATGCACAACGCATAAGCGAATAGACCAATCAGGATCCTTTATTTCCATCCACTCTCCTCGTTCAGAGGATCTTGCAGAATGCATGAATACATCTTGCATAATACAGAAAGTTTTGAAAAGTTCGTAAAGATGAACTTTTATGGTTATGGGTTAAGCCCATTCTACAATTGCGTAAGCGTAGTCGTGATCGTAAGAGTCAACCAATCCGAATGTTTTATTTACTGATTGCTTTATTCTGGTTGGTTGTCGTAATCACATACAACCACTTACACCACATTCACGCAATTGTAGAATGGGCTTTAGTTGTAAGAGAAGTGCACGTATGCGAAACAATAGAAGAATTACTTAACTTCTTTCAGAACATATCTATCAAAGTAAATTTAAGTATTTTTTATTAATATTTATTTTCTTTCGTGTTATTAAATACGAGATTTATTATAAAATGATCTCCTTTTGTCATGTCGCACTTATAAGATTTGTCAGGTCCCTTAACCATAACGTTTTTATGCGCACATGTGTGTGCGTTAAGGCCATCATACACAAAATTCCGTAAGAACTTAAATCGTAAGCGTAAGGAAATCGACCAATCCCAATCGAGTATTCGGCTCTTCGTAATAATGGAGGGGTTACGAAGAGCCGAGTGCTCGATTGGGATTGGTCGATTTCTTTACGTTTACGTTTTAAGTTCTTACGGAATTTTGTGTGTGATGGCTTTTACTGCGTGTTATGCTGTGCGTTATGCGTTCTGCAAAACTATGCTTCCCGCTAGTAGTATTACATATATGTCTATAATAGGGAGTTAGTAATCTAGTAGTATATAGAAGTCTGTGGTAACGCCACTCTGGTGCTGCCATCTACAATAAGACTGTGATGAAAGAACTCGAAAAAATGAGTTACAGTTGCTTATGGTTGTGACGTTTATATCATCAAAGTTATTTATTGTGCATATGCATGTGCAACATTTACCTGTGATAAAAGAAAATGGCATTTACATTTGGCACTCCAGCGATTACATCTAGCAGCACGGGTTTTGGATTTGGAACGCAAAAGTACGTGCAATGTTAACACTACATTCTAAGTGTCTAAGGCCTGGTTACACCAACGTTATTTCGGTTTTAAGCGAGACTTAAGTATACGTCTATTTTTATTTATTTAGAAAGAAAGATAAAGATAGATATATGTTTAAGTTTCGCTTAAAGCCAAAATAATATTGGTGCAACTAGATCTAAACTACTTTATTTACAATAGTTAATAATGTATACATGTATTTTTATAAAGTATGCATATATATACACACACACACACACAAATATATGTATATATATATATATATTTAATCACATTCTTTTTAAGGCTAGCAACAGGCTTTAACTTGAGCAACACGTCGTTTGGTACTCCAACCACAACATCATTTGGTACTACTCCTACAACATCCTTTGGTTCATTGTCATTTGGAGCTCTCTCTACTCCAACGACATCCATGAGTCTGAATTTTGGATTTGGTAGTACACCAACAACCTCTACACAAACACAATCTGGTAGTTTGCTCCTAGGATCCAATACAGCTACCACAATGACTACTGCACCTAGTTTATTTCCTGTTCCTAGCACATCCGCACCTTTATTCACAGGCCTTAGTTTTGGAGCATCAGCCACGACAAGTGCTTCAACATTTGGAGTTACATCTAATACACCCACAACAGGAAGTCTAACTTTTGGTACAACAACTACTAATAGTGTGTATATTTTATTATTTGTACTAATTTGCAAAATGATTATCTTCATGATAAGGGAGAACTTGATTATAATTGATTTATGTACAGCTTTGTTTCCATCCGGAACTGGAAGTATTCTATTAGGTACCAAACCGACAATTGCTTCTACTATTGCTACTACCACCACTGCAACTAGCACGAATCGTGGACTGGGTGGCTTAGACATCTCTATCAACAATAAAGGTTTATCTCAAGGAAATAGCAGTTCAACAGCTGCTAAAGAGAATTTATTGCCAAATGAATTCATGCAAACCATAGATAAATTCAAGTAATTATCTTAATACATCAATAAGTTCAAATAATTGATTTGATACACACATACAAGTAGTAAAATGATCAAATTATGTACTAATGAGATACATTAATGACGTCTCTAACATTATTTGCACCGGATGAGGAGGAGCAACGGTGGAGATGGACATACATGGACAGCAGGTCTTAAAGGACCTTTGACTTTGAGAGACTGACAGCTATACCATTTGGTACAATAACATTGTTTCTCTCTATAGTCGCCGTGCGCTCGGGATCGTGCCAGAGATGTCGCTTCCGAACGGCATCTCTGAGCGTTATCTAGGGAAAGGAGAGTGTCATGAGCGTGGAGCGTCAGGTAGCTCAGTGGTTTAGAGCAGTCGCCCGGCAATCGAAAGACCCGGGTTCGAGTGACGGCCTAGCAAAACCGCGCTCTCGATATTTTTCTCTCTCTGGAAAGAAAAAGATACGCAGATCTCGAACGCACGGTGTGTCCCGCCGCCACCTAGTACGCCCTCCTCCTTCTATGGTCCTGTAATGAGATACATTAATGACGTCTCTAACATGTCATTAAAACTCCTGGCTCCTAGTCGCGGAACTCTTGATTGATAACATCAGATTTGTTGCAATTTTTAATCTACTTCTCATGATTCTGTCACGTCAATTTTACAGTTGTTTATGGATTGTTAGAGCAAAAAGAGAGTGTCTGAGTATTTTACAGATCTCTTTAGTCGATTCCAAATATCACTTTGTGAATATATAATTTTATTTCAACATATTTGCAAGAATTTTTTTTATGTATTTTTTCGCTCTGATGTTATGAATCAAAATGGCTGCAGTGAACGACAGTGTCGTTAAGAGTTACAAAATCGCACTACAAGAGCCTTTATATATTGTTTGATGTCATCAAATTTGCTGGATATAGAGTATTTATATCGGCTATTTATGTAAATATTCGTATAGTACTGATGTTTATACTTCTATGCCATAGGGACTTTGTTAAAACACAGAAGGTTCTATCCTCGGACATCGCGAGAGGTTCGGCGAGACCGTTGAATCGATGCGCGGAAGATACGGCATCCTTAATGGAAATTTTGTCCACCTTGTCTGGCTCAGTGCAACGAGACCGTTCTTTCGCTGACAAGCTAAAACAAGACACTGCGCGGGCATTGCAGAACGCGGAAATAGCTCAGAGAACTCACGATACTCCGCCGGGCTTACAGTACGAGAACAACGCGCCTCTTCTTTTCTTCATGGAATTAGTCGAAAGCTTCGAACACGATCTGATGTTGTTCAGATCTCAAATTGAGACAACAGAGAAACACATACAAGCCATGATGGCGCCAAGAACGTTAACGCCGCAGGGTACGCTATCTCATGCGTCAAATAAACCGATCGAGATCGATCGGCGATGTTAATCATCTTGCTTTATTATTAGAATTAACAATGGCCATGAGTAAACTGCACGAGTCTCTGGTAGCAGTCGCTGGCAAACTACAAAGTGTGCACGCCAAGGTGCAACAACAAAAGGAACAGTACATCAATTTCCGGAAATACGTGTTGAAGGATAATACGAATGTTTTCGACAGTATCAAGGTAAACAATAAATCTAGTCGGAACAGCATCGAAAAGATCACGAGTGGCCCCACGCCCTTTGGACCAGGTAATTACTTTCCTGTTTTCTTGTAGTTACATTTTACTTAGACATTGTAGGTTTTCAAAGAAAGTTAATGCTTACAGGAAATAAAAGCTTTTTATCGTCGACGGCATTAAACTCAAACCGGCCGGCAAGTTATGAAACACGAAATTCTTTAGGTAAATAGGCCCTGTTACTGGCTGTCTTGTAATGTATATATAAATATATATATACATTATATTTATATATATTTATATATACTTGTATACATATACGTATCCTTACGTTAAGAGTAAAAAGATTCCTTAAAAATAACTTTAACCGTCCCCCTAAAGATCTCCTACCTTCAGGTCTTGCGTGGATCTAGTTATGAGGTAGAACTTACTAACATATAACGCCGTTTACTATTAAATACTGTAGAATTAACGTGTGTTCATAATTAGTTAGTTTTGATTCTTACTCATATGATTTGAACCTTAACTTTGCCTTTCCAGGGAAAAAGTAGGGGCTGTATATTTTAGTTATTAAGGTATTAAATTTTTATTTCAATTTCTTTTTGTGTCGTCAGTTATGGGTGAAAGGGAATAACAAGCTGCTTTGTCTAAGCCTCTTGTAAAGTTAATTTTCGTATAAATAATTACATCAATTATATAATTATATTGTTAATTTTCTGTATACTTTCCATTTGGGATGTGCTATCGAAAACTCAATCACGAGATCATGCTTTTTTTTAACGGATATAACAACGCCTCATACACACACATACACACAAATACATATATAGCGCGTGCTACATATAATTATATATATTACGTTGAGTAAAAAATACTTCAAAAATTCGAGATGTCAACAACAATGGATAGGCGGCCTACGATCTACTTCTGTTTATAATTTTGTACATTTTTTTAGTATTTTTTTATATATATTTTTGGCATACTTTTTTCTTTTTCAACATCTGCTTCAATACTTACCTCTGCGGATCACGGAAATTGTTGACACCCTGAACTTTGAAGATATCGATATGTGGAATTATAAAAACAAAAACTACTAGCTTATATAAATGAAAAAACTGAATATTTCGAAAACGATTACTTTATGAACGTTTTTATTGGATTCTCATCTGTTCTTGCAAGTTCTATTAGTTAAGCCTTGACCTATGGCTCTGAAATATTCTGTATGCGTGTATATACAGGATGTTTGATTGCAGGTAAAGCGCATAAGAACTGAACTGGACAGTTCTTTATCGTTTTGCAATATTCGCTATACTTATTAACAAAATAATTAAAGAATATCAGCGGGGGGATGAATGCACGATAAAGTGCATTAGCAGATTTATATACACAGCTCAAAAAATACATCATGCGCCGCCTGTTTACATTAACTATTACCAGAAAATTGTAAATTAACCCAAGATGTTTCTTGAACTGTGCCTGCAGCGCTTTTTCTACCGCTTTGTTGCAAAACTTTGACCAATTCTTTTTAATTATCCGTCGTCAATGTTGTGTTAATTACTAGACTGCGTATAATACAAAGTTTTTCAGAACTATAAGTCAAGACGTAAATAGTTAATATAGTACTTGCGTAAAAACAAAAAGAATTTATATCTGTGTATGTGTGTGTTTTCACTGCTTTCGGCTTTGCCAATGTTATGCAATAACGCTTATAAATATAAATACTAACGAAAAAATATCGAGCTCGCCGTGAATTCAAACACACCCTATAAGTACGCAGGAAATATCTCTACATTATGTATTTGACAAGACAAGACTACAAGAATATTAAATATATTAAGAGATAAAAAGTGCAATTAACTCTAAAATATCGATTATCAATAAGATATCTAACACCGACAAAAGGTATTAATGATTAAAATTAGTCGGTGTCTTGAAATACCGTCAGAAACGATACAGCACTTTCAATAATGAAAAAGAGTACCTCATGGCTTTAGCTATTATACGTTTAATTTTCTATATTACTTCCAAACGAATTAAAACTAATGGCCTTAATTCATATTGTTACAGTTTGGGAAAATACAACACCGATACCGTCTGCTACTAATAGCGCTATAGGCTCGTCCATGAAACCACCAACAGCGAGTTTAAATTTTAATCCGACAATTAATTTGATCGCACCGGCGAACGAATCCAACTCAAACTTTCAGCTTCAGAAACCTCCCGTTGGTAATAAACGAGGAAAACACTGAAACCTTGTCTCAGATATCTTCATAATCTGTAATCCTCACAAATTTCAATCTTGTTATACAAATCCACCATACATTGTACTCTTATTTATCGGACTGTTAGCGTTAGCGTTAAAATAACGAGGTAAAAAGCTTGAAAGATATTTTTGTATGTTCTATATTTCGATCATGAAATATCATGTAAAATAGTCTGGTCATTTCTTTTTTTTATATGCGTTAATATATGTACATGCTAAACTTTATTGAAATTTATATTTTACATTACAGATAGTTTCTCTTACATTAATCCTCGTAACCTTCTTTGCTTTATATTAAATATTTAAAGTTTCATTATTTCGAAATAATAGTATTATTAGTACATAAGTATATATTAAAATAATTTTCTACTGAAATTTGGCCAGTTTGTCGAAAACTTGTATATTTTTACACACTTTCTCGCGTGTTTGTAATTAAACGAGATATTGCGAAAATCGGTAATAGTGAAGTAGACAAATATATCAAGCTAAAATTGGTCCCTTTTTCGAGCAAGAATGCTATTTGTATAAAACACAAACAAGATAAAGCGAGAACATTTATAAAACGGAGTAACATAGTAATACTACAATTTCTATATCTGCGTCGAGAGAATTGTATTTAACCTAGAGAGGATATCGTTAAGTATAAACAATAAAAAGCTTCTTTACATTTCATAACACCTCATTAGATAGCACCGATTTGCAGAATGGGAATAAGGAGCCTGAAGGCATCTTGAATATACGAATTTGCATTGGCAGCCTGTACAAAAGAAGAAAGTTGTTATAGACACAATCGCATATATAATATTTGGATTGTCCCAAGACGCGTGTGTACTCACTTCTAAGAAAATCGTAGTTATATTTTTTGCGTTAACGTCGTCATCCGCTTTCTCCGAGGTCTCGGTGAACCGATTTAACGTGTCACAGAATGAATTTGCCAACGCGCTGGTTTGTTCGGTCAAAATATTAGTAAGCTGCACCAAGGCGTCGGCTTCGTTCACTGTACTGCGTCGTTCTTTGATCAATAGCAGTTCCGCGGTTTTGTGGAACCTTTCTACGGAAAATGCCGTGAACTGCGCTAACGTCGATACGGCGCTCTGAAAGATCTCCCGACTCGTGTACGTCGAAGATGATGCGAGATAATTTTCCGTTTCTGTCCAAATCTGAAAGTATCGAACGTTATATTTTCAATAGGAATAAATAAAATATTCCGTCGCTGCTGTGGATATTTCCTTACACTGTGTAACTTCTCGTAAGTGATATCGACACCGAGATCACGACAGGCTGTCTCTAATCTGTTCTTGAAATCTCTCTCGTTCTTCTCTTCTTCATCCTCGTCGCCCAGGTCGCACAATTCTTTGATTTCCTCCAACGTCTCTTGCATGGAAGTCAATTCGTTCGTGTCGAGTTCGATCAGGTGCTGTTGAATCTTCATGTTGCTTTGTTTCGACAATATCTCTAGAGCCTCTAGATGAACAAGTCCCTGATAGTCATCAAAGAGGGTCTCGAAGTGCACTTTTCGAGATAACATGCGTTCCTCGATCGTTCTCTCCTCGGTCTCGGCTTTCTCTTTCGCTTCTCGCAGGATCTGCGATAAAATTGGTTTATCTGTCTCGTTCATGAAGAAGGCTCTTTTCTTTTTCAACCCGGGATCACCATCCTGCAGCACCTCCATTGTTTTCTTTCCGATAGCTTCTAACGTGTCTAAACCGCCCGTCATCACTTTACTACCGGTCAGTTCAACCAATTTTGTAATTGAAGATACTCCTGACATGATATTGCCAAATCCAAACGAACTGTATGACGAACCCTTTTGTTCCTGCATTTCTGACATCCCTGTATCTGTTAATAATATATGTTAATAATCTGTTAATAATATAATTCAAGATACAACATAATATTACATTTATTTGAAGTATGAATTTATTATATAAAAAAAAAACAAGAAAAGGTTATCTAATTTATTTTTGTTTCAAAATTAAATTATCTTTTGTTTTACACAAGCTTGTATTTATCTATCTTTACACAAGTTGTTTAAAAGAACCATTTTGTGTTTCAATATATGTTCATTGATCTTTGTGTCCTTTATACACATTTAGATATTAGTTGGACTTACTGGAAAACTTCAGCAGAATATTTCAATGCTTTTTAATATGCTCTGTGATTTTAAATGATCTCTTAAATAAAAATCCAACAGAGAGCAAACTATGCAATTAATACATTTTAATTTATTTATGATCAAAAAACAGAATCAAATTGGACATATGTTTATATGAACTCTTTCATTGTTTTTAACCATTAAATTCATTTTTAAAGTGGATCCTACTGTGTTAAGTTCTGTGTATTTTATTTCAGAATTACTGAAAATGATAAACAATAAAGTTTCCATATGTGCAATTAATATTACTAACACAATAGATTAAATCAAATATTCCTTAAGGAGAATTCACACCTTGGTAGAAAAACAGAATAGTAGAAAATAGAAAGACAAAAGCCAGAAAGATAGAAGTCAATCAGAACACACTGATAAAAAAAATCAATCAAAAAACTATCAATTACTACCTGACAATCAGCATGAATTCTGATAGGCTTCTGCCTTTCTGTTTTTCTGCCAAAGTGTAAGCTCTCCCTTAAGTCTAATCTACAATGTGCTTGTTGCTTTTAGTTTCTTGTTCTCTGTCTTTTTTTAGTTTAAGGCTTAAGGTGTGAGTCAGAAAGAGATCAAGAAAAAGAAACAGGAAGCAAATAACATTGTAGTTCAAGCTTTATAGATCTAAAAATGTTGGTGATGACAAAACTTGTCGTACCACTGGATGCAGTAATTTCATTCTCCATTGTTGCTGTCACTTCTGTAGGTTCTGCTACCTCTGTTGTACCATCAAAAAGTGTCAGTCCTTGAGATACATGAGTAGTCAAAGTTGACATACTTGCAGTGGCAGTATTGATTAATGAAGTTACACCCCAGCTTCCCCAGTTACCCCAGGTGTCTAAAGAACTTTCTGATTCTCTGCTCACTAAGGAAAGTTTCTCCAATATAGGTTGCAATTTCTCCTCTGTCAGTTCATCGGGCAATTCAATGTCATTCCCAAGGCCTTCCCAACCTTCAGGCTGAAAAACTTCTTTAAATTTTTTATTTGATCTTAATTCTTCAGGCATGTCTGTTTCTTGCAAATCATCTGTACTCTGTGATTCAAGTTCATTATCTGTTAACTGAGCTTTAGATTTTTCTTGTAATCTACATTCTGCACCTTTATATTCAGAGTGTAAAGATTCTTGATTAGAACAATCGAACACAGATGCTTCTTTCAAGCCTGCATTCACATCATCCACAAGAAGAGATTTCTCAAGGCTTGTAACTTTAGTTCCTAATTTTTTTGCATTCAGCTGACAGGATGGATTTCGTCGTGAAGTGCGCGAAACTCCTTTAGATCTTACTTCTGCTTTAGACATGGTATCTTTTGACTCTGCAACTTTGCAACTTTCTACCACAGAATCGACATCTTTCTTTTCCGTAGCAGAGCCTGATGTGGGCGATTTGGTAGACACGAGCGTGTCTTCTTGATTACCAGAAGTCTTTTCTGTACAATCAGCTGGCTCTTCCATATGTACGCTACTTTCAACTTTGACATCGCTATCAGTCTTATTATCCTTATCGCTAACCGTTATCGGACTTATTGGTATATCTGGCAAAGAGGTTATCCAGACATTGTGATTTTTCTGTGTATTCGAATTGCAAGGCATATGTTGAGCGGCCTCGACATCGTCATCTGACTCAGAGTCCACCGTTCGAGGTTTGTTTGCTGTCCAGTAAGTTGTTTGTGTATCTCTTCTAGAAGACATACCACGTCCCAATTCTTCGTCAGCGCTTTCAAAATCAGCGTCACTCTCGGACGTTGCCATGTCTAGATAAGGTCTTATCTCTCTTTAGAGGAAAGATAATCCTCTGCATACGTTTAAAACTTCAAATAAATCTGCGTTGATCTCGTGGAATACTTGTCACCTCGTACAGAAAAAACCTGAGAACGTGGCCATGCCCACGCGATTGGTCTAAATGTAAGGTCTGTTCTTTTTAGCGGAAGTAGCTAGCACCTTGTATTCTCACAGAGAGCAACAAGTGTGTAACCAAGCGCTGTGAAGGGAAATAAAAATCCAGTGCAACACTAAGGCCCGGTTACATCAACGTTATTTTGGTTTTAAGTGACACTTAAATATATGTCTATCTTTATTTATGTAGAAAGAAAGATAAAGATAGATATATGTTTAAGTTTCGCTTAAAGCCAAAATAATATTGGTGCAACTAGACCTAAGGCCTTGTATTCTGAGTTCTCTTTTAACGATAAATGAGCCTCTAAAAATGGCTTAGAAGCTTATTGATTATGAGTCACTTTTAGAGGCTCATTTATCGTTAAAAGAAAACTCAGAATACGGGTCTAATTCAATCAAAATATCAGTTCTATATACGTTGTTGTAGAAAAGGTACATTATTTATTATTGTTTCTGATTGTGAGATATGTTTTTGAATGTAGAAAAACACTTCAATGGCAGTGTGCACTCAACCGTCGTATTTTCTAAAAACAACCGAAATGTAAGAAATAATGAATAAAATTTATCCTTTTAAAAGCAACCTAGTGATTGTCTGACTGGAATGTTCTTTTAAGTCCTTAATAGATTTAGGAGAACGCATCAACCAGTAGTCCTATTCTGTAACTCGTTATTGGAGTTAACAACAGTTTCGTTATCGTTCCGCAGCTTTTGTATACCGTAGAAAAGCTGCACAATGATAACTGTCGTTAACTCCAATAACGAGTTACAGAATCCCAGCACAAGAGCGATAAGTATTGGCTGCATTCAGCGGACTCAACAGTTGCACAACAGTTGAGTAATTTGTCAATGGCCGCGTTCAGTAGAACAAGTGATCAGTAAGCGTTCAGGGAGCTCTTGTATATGATTTGGCATATTCTTTTAGATCTCCAACTATACTCCAATCAGATGCAAAAGCTCACTGAGCGCTTACTGATCACTTGTTCTACTGAACACGGCCAATGTAATTGGTCTAAATTTAGGGATCTAATAGCAAGAACCAATAATCGTTGATTGCTCACTGAGCGCTTACTGATCACTTGTTCTACTGAACACGGCCAATGTAATTGGTCTAAATTTAGGGATCTAATAGCAAGAACCAATAATCGTTGATTGCTCACTGAGCGCTTACTGATCACTTGTTCTACTGAACACGGCCAATGTAATTGGTCTAAATTTAGGGATCTAATAGCAAGAACCAATAATCGTTGATTGCTCACTGAGCGCTTACTGATCACTTGTTCTACTGAACACGGCCAATGTAATTGGTCTAAATTTAGGGATCTAATAGCAAGAACCAATAATCGTTGATTGCTCACTGAGCGCTTACTGATCACTTGTTCTACTGAACACGGCCAATGTAATTGGTCTAAATTTAGGGATCTAATAGCAAGAACCAATAATCGTTGATTGCTCACTGAGCGCTTTTTCTACTGAATGCGCCCATTGAGTGCTCGTTCAACTATTTAAGGCTGCGTTCAGATTCCTTACCCGGGTGCACTCTAATACAAGAAGTGCTATAGTATATGTGACATATACTATAGTGTTTCTAGTAACAGAGTGCACCTAGGTAGGGAATCTGAACGCACCCTTAGGTGCGTTCGGAGAGCTCGCTTTTAGCGCTATTCAGCGTTAAGGCCGATTTATGATGGCCATAACCGTAAACTTATGCTGTAATCCATAAGAAATGGACCAATCGCAGTTGACTATTCTTGTTGTAATAATCGACTACAATTGGTCAATTTCTTATGAATTATGAAAAACAGCATAAGTTTCATTCTATTCTTGTTGTATGTCTAATGGCTCCTGCACACAGAACGCGGTAACGCTTGCTGCGCGGCGGAAGTTCACGCAACAGCCAATCAATATTTGTTTTTCCGTGAGAGCTACAAGGTTATTACGGAAAGCAGCATATTGATTGACTGTCGCGCGAACTTTCGCCGCGCGGCAAGCATTACCGCGTCCTGTGTGCAGGAGCCATAACCCTCTTGTCCATAACCTTGTTTTAATCTTTAAACCGTAAATAAATTGACTAACCACAGTCGACTATTTTAAAAATAATCATGTGGTTGGTCAATTTTTTACGGCGTAAGAATTAAAGCAAGGTTGTGAACAAAGGGATAAGAATGTGGTAACAATGGTTGCGTTCAGAAAACATAGCTGATCAGTGAGCGGTCAGTGATTATTGGTCCTTACTGTTAGATCCCTAACTTTAGACCAATTACGTTGACTAATTACTCAACCGTTGTATAACCGTTGTGTCTTCTGAACGCACCCATTGGGTACGTTCAGCGAACTCAACAGTTGCACAACAGTTGAGCAATTCGTCAATGTAATTGGTCTAGATTTAAGGATCTAACAGTAAGAACCAATAATCGCTGATTGCTCACTGAGCGCTTTTTCCGCTAAACGCGCCCATTGGTAGCGTGTTCCACGAACGCACCCTTTCTCTGATAGATACAGGTAATATCACGAAATACTTCGGCGTGGCCACTGCTACTTTCTGTAGGAAGTTACGACAAATACAACAATTACAACCAAATTGGATACAATTTGGGGCAGCTCGTTTATCATAACTTGTACAATATTATTAAATTACTATGGCGTAGGTATTTTTCACTATAATATTTATAATTGTTATAATAACTAAATATCTGTCGAGAGAATACATATGTTTGACATATTTGAACATGCTCAAACGTCAGTTTGATATTTTTATATCGTGTATTAATGTAAGATATAATATGTTGCAGATCAAAAGTTACCTTCAGAATAACTCTTACTTCTGATCCCAATCTGCCATATAAAGTGTAAGTTACTATTTAAATAACTTGTATTTTAGTTATTTACAATAGTATGCAAACCGATGACTCTGAATTCTTTGAGACTTTTGATGCGTTTTATACACTACTCCAAAATCCGAATGTTAGTAAGCAGGTAACAGTAGAAAATGTGACACAAACTTTTAATTGTGCTCATTTTATCGAGGCTGCAATTGCAAAAGTTCAAGCTGAAGGGAAAATATGCGATTTGGAAAAGTGTTTACAAGAATACCGAAGATTGGAAGGAAAATCACTTTCACACACCTGTTCTGATTTGGCTAAAGCATGCGACAAATTATTAGAACGTTACTTGAAGGATAGTCACCTCCCTACTGAGATAGTTGATGAATACTTGAAACTATATACACAGCATTTAGGATATGACAGACTAAATGTCTTCTTGAAGCAGTTAATGAATAATTCTATTTCTGTAAATATAATTCTAGAGTCTCTAGAGGAATTAGGAGTATCATTATCCCATATAGAAAATGAAGCATTAATTATGTCATGGGAGATGGCAATAACTGCTGGAGATGAAAGTGGAGTAATAAATTGCATAAATGCAATGATAAGTGATGATCAAGTTTCAAGATTGGTTTGTTTAATAACTGAATTACATGATGATAATGTAATTAAGAAATTGGTTCAGGAGATTTTTACTTTAAAGTTGATTGAAAATCATCCTGCGATATGTATAGCTTTTACAGATATTAAAAAGGAATTACTCTTAAAATTACTTCAAGATCACAATTTATGTACTAATTTTATTGATGCTATATTTTACTTTGGCCGAAATATGCAACAAATAGATGGAGATTGGTTATCGGATTACAATTTTAAATATGAACATCTGTGTAAAGTAATCAAAATTTTATTAAATGGTCCTCGTGTAATTTATGAACTAGTATATAATAGACTATCTATTGCTAAAACTCAACCAGACAATGAAATATGGAGTGATATTGAAAGATTTGTCTATGATTCTGCAGATCTTATATAAATTGTGATATTATAAATTGTATGTTTTATACTATGATATAATTCTGTAAAAAAAAAAAAATAAATTGTACTGCAAATAAATTCGTTTTGTTAACAGAAAAAATGCCAGTCCTGTTTCAGAATATTGTTAAAACATGAAAAATATTTCAATATATACATATATATATATATATATATATATATATATATATATGTATGTGTGTGCACATAATATAAAGTATATACACATAAGATATTCTTTTTATATCACAATATAATTCTATTAATCTTGTGAAAGAAACAAAGAAAAATGCATTCTTTTACTAATTGCAGACTTAGCGTACCAGAAAATACTCCATTTACTGCTGTATTAAAGTTTGCTGCTGAGGAATTTAGAGTACCACCATCTACATCAGCCATAATTACAGACGATGGCATAGGAATAAATCCACAACAAACTGCAGGTAAAGATATCATGATATATTTCAATACACTGTCCCCTTGTCCACAACCTTTGCTTTAATCTTTAAGCTGTAAGAAATTGATCAACTACAGTCAATTATTTTAAAAATAATAAACTGTTTAACAGTTGGTCAATATATTACGGCTTAAAGATTAAAACAAGGTTGTAGATAAGAGGTTTGACTTCTGGACCATAACTATACAATGATTAGTCATGTACTTTGTTTTCAGGAAATGTATTTCTTAAACACGGCGCAGAACTCAGATTAATCCCTAGAGATCGTGTTGGAAATAGCAGATAATTCATATAACCTTTCTGTATCCATTTTTATCGTGTTCTTGCACAGTGCAAATATATTTTGAGAAAAAGTTATTTTTGTTGGAGAGTATTATAAAAGTTATAGATTAATTATTAAAAATTAAATTAAATTATACTATATTTATATTTATAATTCTCTTTTGCAAACATTCCACATACTTTCTGTATCAGTTTGATGTTTAAATATTGTTAGTGAAATTTGTTATTTATTAGCACAGTTATATAGGGTGAATGTAAAAGTTCTTCTCTCTTTCTCTCTCTTTGATGGATTTCACTATAAAAGATAAAAAGAATTCACTATAAAAAATCAAAAAAATTTATTATAAATAAAGCAACGGTTACGATAAAATATTGCTATTACAATATGATAGATTGAAAATCTATTATAACTTTTATATTTATCCAATTTATTCAGTTAAGATTGCTATAGAAGGTGGATATCATACAGACAAAATAAACAATTAAAATGTTTAATAAAAAGTTTTAATAGTTGAAATACATGAAAGTTATGATTGATATAAAGGTACATCGTTACATGGTAAAATCATTCAAACAACAGTCATTTATACTTTTTAGAAAGATTCGTGATTGAGTTTGTGAGAAATGTATAACACATAGTCTCATACTTAATAAACCTCAATCTCAAACCTTTTTACTGTAAGAGATTGCATAATTTGCGTAATTATTTACTCATAATCTGGTTGTAATTGTGTGTAATATATATAATGCGCTAGGTGAATAATTCAATGAAAATAATCACTGAGATATATATATCGTACCTTTTTTACTCTGTAATCCAAAAACAAATAATGGCGACATAAACGCGCGCGCGCGCGGCAGCGACAAGTTTTAATAAAATTTTACCTTATTCCCTATCGTTGACATGTATAAAAGATTTGTCAATACTTTCTAGTGCAGGAGAGGGGACATTGTGAGAGTCGAGAATACGCAGATTACAAAACACAATTTGTATATAAAAGAGATCTAAAAAATAAACTAGATGATTCAGATGTTTTTCCCGTTATATTTGTATTGATCTTTTGGCACTATATTGGTCTTCGAATATAGCGACGTGCCGATATGAGTTATAGTAACAAAGTCAATCATCAATAATAAGTATTTCATGAAGATAAATGTCATCATTGATTATAAAAGTTACTTTTGAAGGACGTAGTACCATCATAATCGTTCTTTTATGTGACTAATGCATGTACGTAGCATATATAAGAGATAAAGTATTCATTCATTCATCCAAAAGAAGACCATCCGTGATAATTAATCACAGTGTTAGATATTCTGATAAAAAAAAAAGTACAAAACATCAGTCATTTTTTCCGAATTAATATTTGAATCTTGCAGAGTACTCAACATACATCGATTAGACGTAATATATTTTGCCATACAATTAAACTATTGACACTTACGACTTATTACTTATTATGCATAGCATTTATCCTGTATAATCTTTCATATGTGCGTATGAGGATACGAAATGTAAAAAACTTCTGCTTCACAATTCTGCGACGAGACCATCACTTGTTCTAGTATCACACATACGATGACAGATTATATTACGACATATACATTGAGACCATTATTGACATACCTGACCTTATCAAAATGAAAGTAAATCTGGCACTGATGTGATATTACACCTTAAACGCAATATGGAATGTCGATTTTATCGAGGAATAGTTACATTAAAGATCTAACATCACTGATGTAATACTGGATTCAACATTTAGTTAGCACTTTTATTGACGACAGATTTGATGTTATCTCTGTCACTTCGCAAATGGCACATTCTTTGAATTTGTTTTTCCTCGTTTGCACAGAAAGTCGGCTATTCTAAAGCATATTCAATTTAGCCAATAATTAAACGAAAAGACCCGTCAATAATTGTCTCTAAAACATTTGATATCGTTCACACTCGGTATTTGAAATACGGTAAGCGTAATGAATACACTAGCATATCTATTATAAGAAGAGTTACTCATCCACTGAAATTCCAAACTGATGTTCGTTAAATAGATAGATGCGAAACTATTGTCAAATTGTATAAGTTTCTCAATTCTTTTGACAATATATAATTTATAAGCATATCCTATATCTAATATAAATTTCTACAAGTGTTATATATGTATATAATACTATAAAATCATTTGTAGAGCTAGAAATATATGAAAAAGCAGATAAGGAAAAGACGATTCGAGACTAGAGCTATAATCACGCATATGCTTCGTAAGAACAGTGTTCTATCAAATATTGCATTGATTACATCATCGTAAAAAATCTCTTGATGTTCACTCTGTGTCTATGTTCACTTTAAATCAATGCGATTTAACAAGGCCTGCATTCTCTTACATCTATGCATGGACAAGTGGTTTACAAAATCTTGAGCTAGATTTATAAAAAAATGAGTATTATACTTTTTTGTAAATTGATATAAAACACTGTACTTATCGTTTGCCTCCTCCAAAAGAAAATCGTTGGAAGTATCTTTCAGCTACAATTGCTCCTCGCTCTGTACACAGTAGCACTGCGATGTTTTTGCCCTTCGCGATATATAATTCTAACTTATAAATAATTTACGGCTCAAACAACCATACTCTTATAGACTTTTGCCTTAGCTCGCGCATAAATATTCTATCCACAGGTCTTCAAATTTTACTCGTCCTAAAATCAAACATGCCATTATCAATCGTCATCTCGAATGATTTATCTTTCGAGCGGACAAATTTTCTTTTGATTTTTTGGAAATTATTATTTTTATCTTATTTCTATTGAAGTACAAATATAATCTTATCTTAAAGAGTATCAAGTTTTTTCATGCAGAAATAATGAAATTATTGTACACACATATACACACGCTTATAGCACATAAGCTACTCTAAGTACAGAGAATAAAATTACTAACAATAAATAAATAAATAAATAAACGCATATACATATATAGTTACTAACTTAAAACCAAAAAAACTCTAACATAGCAAATAAAATGCTTACCCATTCATGTTCTTCGACACCTTCCATGTGATCTTGCTCTAGCGAACATTGGATGACATCTCCCACAAAGTTGCTCATGGTTTTTTGAATCTAATGCACACATATCACACGATATGCTCAAACATATCACATAGGAGCAAAAATGCCTTACCCTTTTGCAATACGCAAATTTTCGCATCCGTGAAAAAAATTTTCAAGATGGTCTCGAAGCATTTCCGAATCGTAATATTTATATGCATATTTATATACATATGTTGCATCATTAACTAATAATCCATCAAGAAATAAGTTATAGTCCGAACTTGTCATACTTTACAATTTTATGATATTATAAGTCATTATGAAGCCACACATTATAGCCAAAGCTTGCATGCAAATTGTGATTTCACTGAACAAAGTTTGCTTTATTGACATGTAAATATAATTCGCAATAATTTTTATGCCAATATCCAATATTGACGAATGAAGTACACACATATATAATATATAAATTCAAATATTATCTTACCTCTTCCTGTTTCGCTTTAACGTCTGGATTCCATCCTAGTCTATTGAAAGGCTGCGCAGAAATACCAAAAGGAGTCGACGATGGTTTTGTTGCGACTTGAGGGGGAGTAACTACACTCTGTGACTGATTCTCAGTTACTATGAAAACAAAATCGCACATGTTAGACAATCGAAACAATATTCTTTCTTAATTGAATAAGATTCTGATAAATATTTACTATTTTTTACCAAATACCATAGTATATCATTCACTTACAATTGTCCATGCCAGGTGGTTTAAGACTTATTCTAGATGGCTGTTTATTGCTACCATTGAACCATTCCGCAGAAGATAAAGTCGGCTTCCACGTGACTTTAGTTGGAGGGAAGAGATCATCTTGGAATAACTCGCTCTAATTGAAAGAGGCGCATACGTCAATACTTTTACATCAGAGATTTCGTGCTACACATCCGTGTTATATTCGCCAACTATAGCCGTGGCTGTTAGTACGTACCTTTATACGTGGTACAGTAAAACTCAAAGGTTCTATCGTGTTGTTGGTTAGCCTCAAAGCAGAGGCGAATTCTACAGTGGCAACATCACATTTATTTTTTGGTAAAAATGATAAGCCCTGATGTAGACTGCTGCATCTGTGATGGCTTAATGGACAGCAATATGGAGGTTCTTCAGTTACTTCAAACGCATATATTGTAGAGTCGCCCTGGAATTGGTCAATTTCATGAAAAAAAAAAGAATCAGTAAACTGACTGAAAGATTTAATTGAAGAAAGAAATCTTACGCGTCCAGTTAGAAAAAGCGTAGAGCTATCTTCGTCGTAATACGGCATCAATATAGCCGGTGAAACGTCCAATCCTACGGTGTTTAAAGGATTATTCAAATCGTCCACCTTGAATACGTAAATCTGTCTTTCGGAAACTCTGAAATAATGATGTTTCAACAATATATCCTCGCAATTTTTCTTTCTATTTACATCTGAACAAAACGTACAATTATCAGTTGCCCTTACTTGTCAAAGCCTATTACAACAAGATATTTGCCTTCGAGCGCCCATATAACTCTCGCACCTCTCGTACCTACAGGACCTTTGCCCTCTTTCACCGGAACGTCGCTGGTTCGAGGTTTGTAGATTCGCAGTTTGCCGTCTTTGCATGTGCTAGCGAGATACTGACCGCACGGCGACCACGCCAAACTGAATATCTGATCCGTGTGACCGGTCAGTGTGAACTTCGCGATTACCGTCTCAGTGGATGACAAGAACAACAAGTCCCAAATCTTAACAGTCATGTCGTACGAAGCGGACACGAGAACGTTAGATGCCAGTGGGTGAAATTTTATTAAATAAATCTTGTCGGTATGGGCTTCTATGATGTGCTTTGGTTCATTGGTCGGTTCTGCCAGACCAGACTCCGGTATTTCCCACAACCGAATCATCCCGTCGTCGCATGCTAGCAAAAATGAATAGATATTTATCTAGTTTCTTTCAGCAATTCCTTAGAAAAATAAGTATTTCTTATTGTAATCTTGAAATTTGAATTTGAATTTCATTCTTTACCAACTGCTAATCGCTGATTATCGAAAGGATCCCATTGAAAGTCCATTACTGTGGTACCATGGACTAACGCTGGCATAACTCCATCTGGTAGTCTCCCAGTTTTCTTCAACTCTAACACCGCTATTTTTCCACCTGGGCCGCTCAATGGCACAGCTACTCGGTCAGGATTAGCTGCAGATTCGCAAAGTAGATGTTATTTATCGTGCTCCAAAACTTCATTCATATACACAATCTTCTATAGGAAAAAGAAAATTATTTTACCATGAAAACCGTCACATTCGCCGGATATTTGACGACTGATATTGCGTATGTTCTCAATATGCGTAGATTTGTGTCCCGGAGTACCTTTCAAGTGCCGAAACTTGGATACTCTTCCTGCATGATAAATGAATTTGTATAAAACAGCCTAAATATAACAAGAATGTATAACAACACAACATATAATATTAATATAATAATAATATAATCATAATATAATAATATATGTGGTTTCTCAAAGAGCAGATGTTAAAATTCTTACCGAAAACTGTCGAGGTTCTTTTAGAAGCTGGTGTTGCAACAGGTTCTACTTTCTCCAATCTGGGATCCATACTTTGTTGTCGCAAAATAGGAATGCTCTTCTTCGCTTCGTCCTCTTTAATCACTTCGCTCTTCGTCTTAAAAGAGTCTCTGCGTCTCAGCATGGTCGGCGAACCCATCGCCTTCTCCGCCAAATTTCCATCAGTGACGGACACAGAGCGACTCTCGTAAAGACGCCGCCTCTCGGCGATGGAGTTTCTATTCGCGCCGCGTTCGAAGTTCCCGGCGTCCTCGTTCTCGGGCGACTCGTCCTTCACTTTCGTCTCGAATACCTTGCGTCTCTCCGCGGTGCTCGGCGTCTTTGGCTTGTAACCGGAGTCACTCGAGTTGGCATCCTCCTCTATCGAGCTGGAGTCACTCTTGCCATTCTCCGCGTCTTTCGCCCGCTCGTTAGTAAAAGTCGGCGATTTGTCCGCTTCCATGTTATTCTCCACGGTGTTGTTGATCTCATTCTGATAACCGTTGGTGTCGTTATTCGGCGCGATCGGTACGGAGAAAATTTTGTCGAACGAAAATTCCTGGCTGCTGGACTTCGCTTGGAACGGTTTCGGGCCGAGTCGGGGCTGCGAGAATAAAAGAAAAGTAAAAGAAACGAACAATGGGAAAGCGATTATATCTGTTTCAAGAACTTCGATCATTAAACGAGGCTCTTAGATATGTAATAATAAAGCTGATAAGCCAATAAGAGTCAATAAGAATAATTTGTGTTGCATAGAAATATAACTTTTAACAAATACTTTCCAATATTGTCGTGGACAAATGTTTCCATCTATTCGACAATATTGGGAGATTTCAGATTTTTCTACACTAACAAATTTCCTGCGTTGGCTCTTGTTGGTCCCCAGTTTTTCATATTTTTAAGAACTATTCCTACGATGCGACGAGAGATGACTGTTAGTGATGGCATGGCAATAATGGCGTAATGTATGTGTGATATAAAAGAGGATCGATCGCACGCAAAGCTATCGCATAACGTCGCAAAGATCAGATACTTTTAGTGTAGCGGTAACGTGTTCCTTTCTAAGCTAATTACAACCTTGTATCCTCCGATCGCATTAGGATTCACCGACGTAACGACTGATCCGGGATTCGGTGACGTGCGAGGACGCGCCACCGGTTTCGGCTCGTCCTCGGAGATGCTGTTAGTTCTTGATGCTCTGGGCAAAGGTTTAGGCGGGACCGTCTGTCCGCCGTTCTGCAACTTAATTTTGTCGTCTTCCGTTTCGGACGACTTTTTAGAATCCTCGATCTTCTCGGTATCGTTCTCGACATTGCTGTCGTTCTCATTCACGTGGCTGTGCGGTGGTGGCGGCGGTGGTGCCTTTGAGAATCCCTTCGGCGTGGTAATGACCAAGGATTTCGGTTGTCGAATCGTCTGTTCCACTTTAAAGTCACGCTGATTATCTTTGAGCACCGCTAAGTTCCCTTTGTGTACCTGGAGGTACGGTAAATTTCCTTAATGATCCAAACCGCAGGCAAATCAAATCCAATACACTGTTCGATTCGGCACTTTTTAAATACACATTTCTTTTTTTTTGCATTCGACGTGATAATTCCGCGACCATTCGCACAATTTCTATACACATACGCACGCACATTTTTTGCTCGCTCTTTTGTACAGAACAGAGAAAAAATATACAGAAAATATATAAGTAAGCTCCCGTAACTAAAGCTTAATGTATCTCTCTCAATTAAATCTGTTGTGAAGGCAAATTTGCAGACAGAAAACTATTTATATAAACAATACACATGTTTTTACACTTCTTACTATTACTTACACTGTAGAATAAGCTATAACATCAATTGCCACTTATATTACACGTGCCAGGAATAATAGTTTGAATGGTGCTAATGTACAAACTACAAAACATATATTGGATATCTGAAATGTGAAAAAAAATATACAACAGAATATAGAGGAATTAAACAGCGCAAAATAAAATAAGTATATATGCACACACACACACGCATACACACACGCGCGCGCGCACGCATAATCGATAATAATTAAATGACTCGATATAAATTTAATATAAATTCTTACACAGAAAGAGATTAAAATATATACACATAAAAATTATAATATACAAAATGTTTCAACACTTAAATTCTACAGATATTGCATTAAAAGTCATTGATAATATTGCACAAGCAGCCACTAAAACTCATATAGCAATCAATATAATAAAAAACAAAAAAAATACATCGTAAATATTTGTTACATAGAATCATATTGACAAACTTATGTAAGCATAAATAAATTTGCGTTTAATAAGTTTCTATAAACAAGAGATAACTCTGACTGAGATGAATACAATGCTATTACATCAAAACTGATATGAAATGCTTTGTGACTTTTCAAAAAGTCTCTTTCCCTTTCTTTCATTATTGTATAAAAATATATTAAACGCCATACATATGAAGTGAAATATTACTGTATCACGACCGATAAACGATTTTTATCTTTGAAGCTCAGTTATTATAAAGAAAATGCAGTAGTGAAATGAACAAAATGCGATGATAAAAAGCGTGCAATGATATCCGAATTTGAGATGATTGTATCTGATATTTACAAATATAACAAAATACACATGTGTATCTTGTTTGGTAATTCAAACTATTTTAAATTGATGCCACATTGAAATCAATTACATATTATTAAATGTGTAATTTACAAGCAATTACACATTATTAAATGTGTTATCAAATGTTTACTCACAGTAATTGGTTCCTCGCCTTTATTCCTTTTAACAGGGTCTAGAGAAATCTTTGGCACAGAAGCGTTATGGCCTTTAATCCATGACGCTGCGTTGTTCTGAGCAATACAACCAGTTGTTTCTGGATAAATATCTGCGTGAAAGTCTCTGTATGTCTGAAATTTGATATTTCTTAGAAAATTTAGCTACAACATATCGCTATATGAGACTCATAGTTTGCATTTAACGTAACTCACTTTTCGCGGCACCTGATACATGATTGGGATCACCATATTGGAAGTAAGTTGTAATAATCTGTTAACTTCAGCCTGCATTACATTCAACGCCCGTTTAGGAACTAGGCAAACTCCTTTGGTTTGCTCACCGCTGTGACGGATTCCCTCTACTAGATAGGGATCTTTATCCATGACTTCCATGTACATGATGGTAGTGTCTCCCTTCCCAGCCAGGAAGAGCATATTTGTGTCAGGATCGAAAAGTGGCATCAGAATGCTGAGAAATATGACACACACATACATAAACACATACACATACATAATATTGATTTAAGATCAATCTTAATCCTCTTTGCTCATGGAAAGATTAAATTCATAGAACTTATATTTACCCTGTGCTACAATCCAATTCCAACGTTTTTACTGGCTCGTTTAAATGTCTCAGATCTCTAATAAAAACCTGACGAAGTCTCGCTGCATCAAATCCTGTAGTTAGTACTCTATCGCTATTGTTCAGCCACACTACTCTAGAATCTTTGATACTTTGATGACTCGAGCACGAGTTGACGATACATGAAGATGCGCGCGGATCTATTATCCTCATTTGCTTATCTTTACATGATGTCGCTAAAACGACGCCGTCTTGCTTCCAACTTACAGACTGAATCACTTCTGTGTGATCACTGTTAGCTGTATCACAAAGTTCATGTAATATATCAAGTTCATGGTGATAAAGTAATTGATATAATGGTGTTGGAATATTTACAAAATAGTTCTTGTTGAGAGAGAACATCCCAGAGTGATAGATTTGTAAATGATGCAGTGGTCAGAAGATGTTCCGCAGAAGGGTGCCAACATACTGCCTCCACTCGTCGTTGTCTGTGTGAAAATGTGCACTCAGGATTGCACAAAGATTCTTCCAAGCCACTTTCTGGAATATGCCACAGCTTCACCTAGTTTTCAAAATTAACATAATTTATTAAAAAACGCTGATATTAAGTAATATTTATAACTGTATTATATGTGTTTGATGAAAGTAATATTTTTAATTTGAAAGTAAAATTTTTAATTTCTTACAAGGCAATCTTGGGAGCCAGTTGCAAGTAAGCCATCGTGGAATGGAGAAAAATCCATATCAGTGACAGTATCGGCATGTGCATGAAGCAATGGCATAGTCTTGCTCTTTCTGCCACAGTCCTCAAGTGGTAATACTGCTAAACTGGATCCTTTAAGAGAAGGAAAATTTTATTTGGAGGAAAATTTGGAAGAAGTTAAAGTTTGTAGAATAAATATTGTAGATATATAGATAATATACCATTATGATCCACATTAAATGCCATAAATGCTGCAGATGCCATTATGTTGTTCCCGTAAGTTTGATACGACCCCACAGAAATATCTCGAATGCAAGATTCTGGTTTGGGAACAATTGGTGCTGCATTTTTGTATTTGGATGCCTTGAAACGCCAAGCCATTTTGATATCGTTAACCAGATTGAAATATACTCTGCTTAAATCATGTAATCTGTAGAAACAAAAAATGTCAAGTTATACCACAACAGAATTTTTCGCGACAAGTAAAAAAAAATTTCGCAAAAAGTAAAAAAACTAAACCGCATTTTAAATAAAATTAATGAAACTTTCTTTTGAAAATACATAGTAACTGGCAAAGATGAAATATTTGCTATATATATGCAGGAAATATTGGAATTTCAAGACATTGAAAGTCGTACAAAAGTAGTTTAACAAGACACAGGCGAGCGTCTTTAAACTCCCACAGGGAGTTAAGTAACTTTCGCGATTGTCTTCTTTAAACGAGATCTCGCGCAAACACACAATGCACTCGAACAGATGAGAATAATTTGTTGGGCGTTGTTCGGCCCAGATAATGGCAGGGAGAAATCGACGCTAGAATTTCAAGATCGCATCAGCGACGTCGCTCGAAAAGCGAGGAACGCTGACGCAGTCATTCACTCGCGTAGCGAACACCGTGCATGACTAATAATTTGGGGGTGAGAACCACCCTACCCTTCGCTCGATGTGGGGTCGTAGACAGCCGCGCTTGGCGTTGCGGCAATGACGCTCCCAGCGATGCGAAATCGCAGCAAGAGCCGCGCTCGAGGATACTCACCGATCGTAAATCGAGACGCATCCACGCCCACCGGGCTATAACGCGTTTTGACGCGATCTCAGGAACGTGACGGCGATAAACAACAGCAATAACGTCGGCGACAATGACGATCACAGCGCAACGACGGCGAAACAGGCGTCCATGCTATACGCAGCTCTACCAAGCTTTAAGGTTGACAGCCGGAAACAGGAGTCTCCTGCCACCCCCCTTTCTTTCCCCCCCTCCAAAATGCCGCGATTATTCTCGTGCGATGACATCGTTCGAAGTTTGTTATCAAATAGCAGTGTGATTAAGTTTGTCTCGTGTTTACATTATTGCTTAATTATATATTGTCATGTTTATTATGTTTATTAATGCTTTATACACTTATAATATTTGAAGGGTATTATTAAAAAAATTATATTAATATTTTATTTCTTTTGAATATATAAGATGTAAATCTTTCATTTTTTGTGTGTATATATATATAATAGTTAAAAAATTACAAACCTCATAACAATAATACATAATAAAATTGATATTATTCTTTTAAAAGCGCCAATTGCAATAGAGGTATGACTTTTAGTGAGGATAAATCCGCCAACACAGCCTGAAAGTAAAAGTACTCAATTATTGAGTGTATTAACACGTACAATTTCTTCTAAACATTTTATCTATGTACACTAATGACACAATATTTCTATACCTCCACATTTTGTTGTGTGTTAACTTGCAATAAATTATCCTTTCGGAAACTTAATACCGTTACAGCAAAGAGAGGAATAATTTCCAAAGAGTCATAACCCAGAATTAAATCCCAAAGATATAATAATTGTTCAGGTGGTAAATGGCCACTGAAACCCCTCATGAGCCATTTAAAGACTATTCTTATACTGAAACCATACACAGACTTAGAATAAATTAATGATTGCAAATACAAAAGGTGGAAAAGGAAGTAGACTCACGGTTGAATGTGTATGTTCTTGAAATGGGTCCACAATTGCGGCTCATGGCATTGTAATAGTCTTTCAAAGAGTAAACATAAAGCAACTATGCCTTGTTCATGACTTGATACAGTATGTAGACGGAACCAATATCTCAGATAAAATGCGCGGAAGGTATAATACATAGCACAGGGATCATCATATAAATAGCAAAATGGTGTGGCTGTATGAAAAAAATATCAATGGTTGATTGAATTGAAGAGCAATACTTTTCACAAGTCCCTTACCATACATTGTAAATCCATGGAATGGGACAACACCACTGGGTGGAAAGACCAAAGTATTTTCTAGTGTCGCTGGTTTTCCCTGTAAAACTGCATGAATTACTTGACCACCAGCACTTCTGTCAGTTGTAACTGGTGCAAGTATTTCAGAATCTCTTGAAAAGCATAACATTGTTTTGTACAGGATATCTTCAAACACAAAGTACTGATCATCATTTCTAGCTGTTAACTGTACATCCTGCAACCACATATATATGCCAAGACTCTTTAAACGTTTTAAGTGGCAGATAAACTAATAACTAACGACTGATTAACAATATTTTTACTATGTTAAAACTTCTCACGTTCTCTTATCTGTGTTACATATAGAATTATTATTTTTATTATTTATGATTATTTTTATTATATTATATTATTATTTAATATATTATTATATATTATTAGTTAATATTTTTTTCAATATTTAATACATTCTGATGCTTAAGTGAAATAAGTGATTACCATCTGTCGGCAAGAAGTTTTAACAACGAGGTATGATTGTTGACATAAACAAATTACCATTATTATAAGTTTGTCCACCACAATATCGTACTGCAGTACCATATTCTTCAATTCGTTATAATATTCTACATCCTAAAAGAAAATAATTATCTATATTCATATTCAATAAATTTTGAATCAATGACATCATATACATTATCTTTGATAACGGATCCGAGCACGAGCGACCAAATACGACCGCGCAACGATCGAGGGGATCCTCTTTTTAGAAATTCTTGAGCAACTGGAGCATGATTCGAATTCAACACTTTCTCGCCAATATGCGTTCTTTCGGCTTCCAAATTTGGGAAACTTTCTGTAGCTGGCATATCAGGATTCACTCCAAGTAATGGTGTTCCTTGTGCCAATTCTGAATACATGCGTCTCTATAGAAAGAACAAAAAAGAAATTACTTCATACAATTGTATAAATTACAAATCACGATAACAATTATCAAATTCATACCAACTGAGCGAGTGTTTTCACACTAATTTGTATGTGACTAAAATCCCAATTTAATTCATCTCTGAAATATATTTAAGAAACATATTTTTATTTGAACAGAGATTGATTCACCTCTACACAAATCTACATCATCTCACACGGTTGCTTCTTAAAAGATGGATCACGTATGGAGAACAACACATCCAAGAAGTCTTTTGGTGCATACAGTGGCCTGTATTGTGATAAATCTGAAAATTATATGTCCTATAAATGATCTTTAAAAACTGCATCCTGTTGTCGAGTTTTAAACAAACTAATTTTTAAAATCTACCAATGTCATATGTGCTCAATTCACTCCATTTCTCAGCCAGCTCATCCTTATCAGATGTAGGTCTTATTCGAGCTAGTGGAATGTTCAATTCGCTGCAGGTCGAGTTTAGTGACTTCTGTATACGTCGTTCCCATTGAATCTGAGCCTTTTTCAAATAACCCAGGTCGGCTGTCTCTATATGTGAAACTGATTGCGAGCGCAATGAACCCTGCAAAAGTTTGCTTGGATTACCGGCATTCTGAGATTGAGACGTTTCGATCACATACCCGCGATCGCACCCAATGGAAAACAGTATTTCTAATTTCGGTTTCTACGCCGTTATTTTTTAGCGCCGTGACTAACGAGTTCTTGAAGTCTTCCTTATTTACGGCGGGCGACGCGACAAGTTTCTGCAAGGAAAGAGAATAAAAAGAGTGATTATTCTCGTTTCATGTGAGTTTGTTGAAAAATGGATTATAGATACGTACTTGTATCTCGTTATAAAGAGCCTTATAATTTGACATGTTCTGTATTTCATCGGTAAGTTTACGCGCCGTTTTATCGAGTACTTCCTTCTTCGCGATTCCTTCGTCCATTATCATCTCTCGCTTTGCAATATATCTTCTCGTGATTACATACTAACTGAATCGAAATTGTGCGCCATTTTTAAACAAGCGTTTCCATCGCAACTATCATAAACTGACGACATGTATGGTCGAGTTTTTTAATTCATCAATGAACTCATCATGAATTAAAAAACTCGTCCTATATCTAAATGGAATATCCCGTGCAGAAAAGTGATGTTGATATTTGACGAAGAAATTATATAATCTTTGACAATCTTTTTCTTTTTTCAACTAATGAGTAATCTTAATTATCGTGTGTGCTATCGGCGTACTATTAAAAACTTTTGGTCTTAATGGATTTAAAATTATGGAAAATTGCGCTATTTGATAACTATCCTATTTAATTACCCTGTCGCGGTATATTTGTGTCAAATTGGCGTAAATAATAACTGCTGAAATGTAATTTCAAAGAGTGTTCCAAATCAGAATAAAAATAAGACCTTACAATTGCGATAAAGAAAAAAGATAAGTTTATTATATATTATTTACGAACACATACATATGCATTATCCCCCTTGATTGTATAAACTTATAAAATAACCATCGAATTCTTTTGATAAAATGACAAAATTAATTGAAACAAAATTGTTGGGTTTATTTAGTTATTCAAACTAATATAAATTGGTTTGAATTCAACAAAATTTATTAAATTCAAAAGAGATCTTTCTCCGTGTAGATTAAGAAGATTATAGACTATTTAAATTTAGCGAGAAAGACACAATATTGATTTAATTTATCCCCTTCGCTAGGTGACTCTGATATCAATGCTCTCGCGGATAAAACATGAGTTTGTTTGCCTTTGTCTATCTGTAAAGCAAAGGCGTAACGTGAGTATATCGCGAGAAGGTTATGTGTGGTTATGTGACAAGAGAAAGAGAAAGAGAATGAGTATTGTTAATTTGCTGTCAAAATTTTCACGGTAATTATAACATACAACAATATTGTACTTATTTATACATGTTTGAATTAATAGCAAACGATTTCTGCATTGCTCTGATATATGATATATACATAAATTAATTAAAAATATCTAATGCTCGCATATAAATATGATAAAAAAGCTTATTGTATTTCTTGTTACTTTTCTCTAGATTATCTGTGAACACTCTTCCCAGTGTTCGAAATATATCAACATGCACCAGTCCGTTATACTTCAGAGTCAGCAGTGTGCTTTTGTAAGTCAATATTACCTATAAATTTATTATATTCTTTTAACTGTCAATTTTACACATGTATACACAAATGACATAACTACAATTTATCTTGCAGAGGAGAACCGTTAAAAAGGAAGAAAAGATTAGATCCTCAGATTGCCAGAGCAAGAGTTGAAAGAAAAAAAAAGAAGATTGAAAAACAAATTCGTAGGTTACAGAAGATTGCCAAACAATTAAAACCAATCAGTGAAGTAGAAGTACCATTTAAGTTAATAGATGAAAAAGAGTGAGTCTTCATGAATAAAATATTAATTTTTAAAATATTGAATTACACAAAAGTGATACAAGAGAGATATAATTAGTATGTGTTAATACTATCCCTATAATTGACTCAAAAATACTAACTGAGTATGGATTTTAGACAGAGGTTGCGACATTCTCCACCATTATCAGCAGAAGAGATGGAATCTAGAATTTTGTTACAAAAGAAATGGAATACATACAAAACTCGTCAATATTTAGCTGATGTTCAGATGATAGATTCTATGATTTGTTCACAGCAAAAAGCACTTGACGAACTTAGAAAGGAGTCAGAAGAATTATATCAAGAAGCAATACAGGTGAGAAATCAATTATTTACTTGAAATTTACATAAATCAAAATAAGCATAATTACTTTAGTTTTAATAGCAATGATTGCGAAAATGGAATCTGTCATAAGTTATTTGAATTCATGAATCTGTATTCACAGGTGGATCTGGCACTTTTACCCTATGTGACCAAAGGTCCATCAAAAACACCTCCAATAGAAAATTACGAAAGTCCCGATGGAGAATATGTAAACACTACTCGAAAGTATGAAGGGGAGGAATGAAGGATCGATGGCGTAGCAAAGAATGAATTTTACTCTGTGTCCAAGAACTCGCACAAGGGAAGCGTGTATTTTCAGATAATTCATCGAAGCATTGTATGTTTAAGGATTTGTATGTTTAACATTATATAAATATAATAGAACGTAGGAAATGGTAGGGAGAATAGATCTTTTAATGTAAGAAGAAGAATATATCCTTACCTATTCCTTTTTCCAATAAAACTAATGAAAACCTGTTATACGAATGTGTGTATCCGCCGTATTTAAAGAGAGTGACAAACCATAGAAAAGCGCATATTATAAAATCGAGACCTATCGGTGGAATAAGAGCTATCGTTCGATCTTGTGAGAAGAGTCGAGTTTTGTTAGACTATATTTCGTCGCAAGAGTATGAAAATTAGAAACTTAATCTACCACACGATACAACATCTAAAATCGGGACATAAAACGTCTTATATATATTCTGACGTCTGAAAGAGGTCTTATGCTCCGATTTTAGACGTTCTGTTGTGCGGAGAACATCTCTGCCACTAGCTGATCTTAGTTACATAATCGTACAACTCACGTTTATCTTAGCACAATGTTGACTTTAAGAAGGATCACGCACGCTCGTGATCGTGTGAGCACTATATGCTCCACTACGTCAGATCGAACTGATTCTATAAACAATCTTGTGAAACGATTTCCCGTAAAATATTAATTATAAGCTTTGCTCTTAAATTTTCGCAGAGAGAACGAATTGCTGAAGCTGGGCATAGAGATTTTATAGTACATCTCACGATAAATATGTGGTTGTTCATTACGAGTACATATGAACGATGCAATTTACAGTTCTTTCTCGATCGACACTACAGGTCTACTCGTTTTAGCTGAACTGATGCACATTGATGCAATAAATTAGAGCGAGACAAATATATTTTGTTTAACTAACTTATTGTAGTTCAGCAGTTCAGCTAAAAGGAACAGACTTTACGCTAACGCTACACTAATGAGATATAGATGAGATAGTAAACAAAGTAAGCGTATTTCCATCTGCCAGTTATGTTAAAGTTACGAATCACGTGTCAACTCGGCAACGAGGTATGACTGATGTGATGAAGTGTACACGGAGAGAGTTTTATAAAAATTTTATAGAAAATTAATACAAAATTTTGTAACCGAGAAACCCTGGTAAAAAAAAATTGAGAACGATTGAGAACGGTAGAATTTTTATCAATTTGAATCGTTTTCTTTAAGCTGTATCGTTGACGCTCGCAAGCTCAGATATAAATCTTATCGTATTTTATCTAGTTATACACGATTTTATATTCTATAGAACTAACGATAACTAACGAAACTAACGATAGAAATTCTATCACCATCTATTGTATTCTATCGTATACGATAGATACCTCACCTCAGTTTATTATTTTTCCGTTTCATATGTTGTCCAATTTATACTATTTATATTTTGGGAACTGAAATCTATTTTTAAGACAAATTTACTATGTTCCTTAGCAAGATAAACTCTACTGACGGCCTGTTCTTACTATTAGAAAATGTAGAAAAATTGAAGAGGATTTATACATACAAGAAAGCTATAATATGATAAATTTATTTATATAAAAAGCTATAATATTCTCTCCGTGTGTGTTTAACGACTGGTTTAACTAATCTACGATGCTGCTGATCTATATCACAGAAAAGTATATCTAAAGGAACATGCATTCCGAGTATTGCGATTATTATCAACATTGCATAATATCGCAAGCTTCTTCCTCTCTGCGATTCCTTATTCGAATAACGTGTAGGTAGATATTTAAAAAAACATTAATATAAGAGACAACATACATATGTTCTCTCTTAAAGTGCATCAGTAAAAATGTATCTAATTAAATCAGTAAAAGGAGTGTTTCGCCTGATTTTTAATGCAGAATCACTCCCCATTTACTTCTTTGTCTTATATTCACTGATTTTGATCAGTAAAAGTAAAATTTCACTACATGTAGTACACAAATTCGTTATACGTTGTATCGAATTCAACGTTCTGCATTTGTGGCGATGGAATTGACTTTCATATATGTCTTGAATGCAATGACATTGTGTGTACAAACTGCATCAATAATACCCAGATAGACATATATCGGCATATTGTCTGCTCAGTGAATGGCATATGTATGCAAAGTTGCATCCTCATACAGCAAAAATTTTATCCGTATATAAAGAAAGTAATTTGAATGAATTGTCATAAAAATTACTATTTATTTTGTCGAAAAAAGGAATTAATATGGAATTATTGCAGTAATAAGAAGTAAATATTTCAATTAAAATATGCATGTTGCTATTATCATTTTCGTGTCAAAGCAATCAAAAGATATGTGTGGGACCAAAAATAACTATAATTTTAGTTAAATCAACTATTTCTTCCTTTTAATATATACATTGAATGTTTGCATGTTTTTTTCAGCATTTCTGCCTATCTGGATATTTTCAAAATTAAAGAATGAATGTATTCCATCGTCACAAGAGGATAAATTTACTTCAGTCGATTGAAACTCTAGACAATTCGCTCATTTGGAGTCAAAATTCACTCTAAGCTTGAGTGAAACTTTTCACTTTTACAATTTCGAGTGGCAGTAATTTTAATTGTCGTTCCCAATGAATTTTCACTTGTCTCGCGGGTGAGGTTTCGCTCCAAGAATTTTAGAGAACAAGTCTCGAATAATGCGATTTGAAATAACACGGACCGATAATGAACCATGTTATTATTCACCTGCATAGCATTTCAGTGAAGCGATACACTAATTGCACTTTAGAGAGTATCTTTCGGAATCTTTCGGACGTAAGAGCTCGAATATCCGAGACGGCCTTTCTTCATTCTCGACGCCGCGATTCAAGAGTCTCGCGAGTCCTTGGAGAAGCGATTCGTAGAATCCCCATCGTTGTCTTCAGTCGAACTTCAGCTCGCGCTTGCACATCGGGCAATTGTCGCTGCTCTTCAGGCACTGTCGCAGGCAGTCCGCGTGGAAGAGGTGATGGCAGGGCGTCACCCTGGCCTTGGTCATGCCGCACAGGCACACCGCGCAAACATCGTCGAACCTCTCGATTTCCTCGAGGGTCGCTTTCCGGTACCGGTTCAGCACCTCGCGCTCCCGCCGCAGCACCGCGCCGGAGTTCTGCATCAGCTCCTTCCATCGCAGGTACACGTTCAGATACGTGGCGGCCAGCAGGAACCTCCACGAGGCCGACGCCAACAGCAGAACGCTGAACAGCGCCGACACGACGATCGTGAAGCAATGAAGTATCACCGGCGCGTACAGATTCTCGATGTTCTCCAGCGCCTCCAGCTGCAGGAAGCTCAGAATAGTGGGGAACATCTCTACGAAGACCTTCTCCGTCGCTGAGTAGTAGATCCACGTGACTACCGTGTAGATCAACGAGGGCCTACGACAAGTTGAAGTGTTAACTCGTCGGGCATCACTTGGAATGTCTTATTTTTTTTTTCGAGGAAGTAAAATAGTGTAAAGTGGCCAGATGTTCCCAATTTTTAGCCTTGACCTGACCTTTTGTTTCCAATTTTCATTTTTTGCCCGGATTTTTTTGTTTTTGGAATGTTAATGCTAAATTGTAATGATATTTGTGTTGAGTTTTTTAAGATTTTTCTAGCAAAGAAAGAGAATTCATAGTAGAATTCTGGAAAACAAAAAAGCTTTGCTTTTTCCTCTTAATTTTGAAGAAGAAAGACAATTTTTATCGTGGCAACAGTTATACTTAAGTTATTTTTAGTCTCTTTTTAACTTATCCCTCCATTCGCTCTTCAACATTCAGAATTTCCTTAATTTTAATTCCTAAATTTGGGATTGGGAAATCTTAAAAACACACAAGCGAAATACAACGAAGCGACCGTAATGTATTTTTTAAGTTATTTTACGAGCAGACATGCGTTTTTGTCTCGAAAAGAAATGTACCGAAATTTAAAAAGTAGGGAAAATTGTACACTTTTAATATATATATATTCGGATTTTGGTATTGTATTTTTTCGGAAAATTACTTCTCTTTCCGAATTTCGAGATTTTAATTTTTCGGAATATATGTCCACGCTGTTTTACGAGGACTCTTTTCAGACGATTCAATTACTCACTTGTAATGATCGAGGCCTTGCTCCAAGCCGAACACGAGAAGCATGAAAGTCAACGTGACGATAAACGTCACCGCTTTAGTCCACTCGAGCACGATCTTGGTCGCCGACATGGCGAGATGCTTGATCTTGGATCTCTCAGTCAAGGTGACGTACGGCGACCAGTCCTCCTTCTGGATCAGCTCCTTGATATAGCTCACGCAGTAAGCTATCACATTGTAGAACATGAGCGTATACAGGCAGGTCATTCTCTGTTGCGGCAACAGCACTTTGTCCGCCAGTATCAGGAACACTATCTGATTCGCCATGATGGAGAGATTACGCATCTTCAGGAAGAGATTCTCAGCGCGGTCCACGGGCGCGTACAGCCGCTTCAGGAAGCGATTCAGGGGATGCCAGGCTCTCTTGGCTCCACCTGCGACAATAATTGTTACGAGGATGTCATAACTTTTTCGTCTTCAACCATTATTATCTCTGTTTGTCGTCTTATAACGATCGAAGGAAGTCACCAGTGACATTTAGTCCATTTAAAAAACCCGATAAAAGATTCGATGAAGCCGATTTTTCATTTAACATCTCATTTCTTTTCTTATGGGCATATATGATTACATATGTAATCATATGGGGACAAAAAATTCATATATATAATTTGTATATAATCATATATAATTTTATATAATTATGTATCATTTTTCTCCCGGGCGAGTTAATTTGTACTTTCAAATTTTTTAAATTTATATCCCTAAATTATAACTCGAGAAGCGTCGCGAGAAGAGAGGCAATTTTTCACTTTTATTAACGGGATTAATATCATTTATATTGCTTAAATTATAATTCAAGTTGACGCAATATCTCGTTCACGACACACGGTAACATGATGAAGTAACTAAATACTCTTTTTCTTTTTTTTCTATGCAAAATCACCTGCGTGCAGGATGTTTTGAAAATCGTGGTCACTCAGTAGGAAAGAACATTCTTTTTTGAAATGTATCATTATTTTTGACGTATTAATCTTCAAATCAGATGATGCAATGTTAAACAAAAATAAGTTACTTGTAAGAATATATTTTATACGACTTTTTCAACAAAGAAAATATGTTTGTTATTACCCAAAAATAATTTTTATTAACAGAAAGCACAAAATATTGAATTGAGAATATAATATTTTAAAATGTTTGGAAGAGAATATCATTATCACCTGAATAATCATATATTTTTTATGAGACTAATATAATATTTAAATAAGATTACAACATTGTGCTGAAATTCGAAACTTTACAATTTTTCTAACAAAATTATATATTGTTGCTTACATATGAAACAATAACATTTAATTTGAGTATATTAGTTTAATGGATATTCCTTAAACTTTTTCTCTATGCAGACAAAGTCATATAGTATTTTAATGGAATTTGTATATGTTTCTATCAATCCTTGTCGAATTTGTTAGGCATGGTTAGCAAAAGACAAGCTCTAGTGACAGAGTCTATTTTTGCACTACTTCAAATACTAATCGGAAACGATCAAGACGGGGCGAAGCGGGTACGCTCAACCGGTAATCACACTTTAGTTGCATTCCAAAGTGTCCTTTTTGAGGAAATTTTACTCGATATTCTATGGTGTATGCAACGTGAACTACAAGTATTGAGTAAAATTTTCCTCAAAAAAGACATTTTGGGATGTAACTTAAGGATACAAATCGAAAGGCAACGCTACAGAATTGTACATTCTCATTGTCGATTGTTCGACGGAGTAAAAACGCTTATAATTCCTGTGTCGTCCTCGCAATTATCAAAGGAGATGATCGTTAATGGGCATCGCAATGGCGGACGATATTAATGAAGCTACGACCAAGAACAAACAAAAAGCACGCAGACACGCGACATCTCGTTATTATTACGCGCAAGAACACATTGATATGCGCTCGTCCTCCTCCTCCTTCTCCACCACCTCCTCCTCCTCCTCCTCCTCTTCGTTCTCATCGTCATTCCCATCGTTCATTCTGCGAAAAAAGAAAGCAAAGCGTGGCCGAGATACGACAACGATACGAGAGCATCGTGAGTGATTTTCCGGAGGTGGATCCGATCAGCGGCAACCCCCCGTTGGGGGTTTTATCGGCGGACCACTTCGCGGAGAATGACAAGTTGCTGAATAACCTGACGGGGCGTGCTTTACGTTAATAATCGCAAACTTGTTGCCAGCTGATGCTGAGACGGGTGCGAACGCGAGAGAGAGCGAGAGAGCCGCCCCCGGGGGCCACCGTTAATTGAGTATAACGTAATCGACGTGGTCGATGAATGATCGGCTTCATTTTTAGTAACGAGTTCAAGAGAGAGAGAGCCGACGATGGAGATTTGCATATTAATGGACGTCAGTCAGGACGAGTCACTGGGCGATCGTGACGGTGACGACGACGACGACGACGACGACGACGACAATGACGACGATGATGACGACGACAACGACGACGACGACGGCGACGAGGACGAGGACGACGAGGACGACGATGGGACAGAGTAGAGAGACACGGGTAGGACAAGAGACAAGGACAGACAGTGCGGGAAAAGGCGGCTACGTGAGACGGCGGCGACCGTAGTTGGAGGATTTCACATGGCAACCGAAGATTCACCCCCCTTAGAGATACTGCGGAGAGGGTCTCTGTACCTATAAAATAAAGTGCGTCCGGTCGCCGTCGAGCATTGAGCTACTTCTCGCCTTGGCGTCCACATAAGAGACATCCTCGCCCCGGTCAGACGACTCATCGTCCGCACGAAGAGAAAGAAAGAGAGAGAGAGAGTGTGAGAGAGAGAAAGAAAGAGTGAGAGTGTGAGAGAAAGAGAGAGTGCGGGTGAGGGAAAGAGGGAGAGGGAGGAAACTGAATCGGAGTTCAGGTAAGCATTGATGATAACGTCGCGAGAACGCATAAATTTTACCCTGTTCTTGAGAAACCGGATAAGGATTCAGAGAAATATACACAAATTTGGTTGTAAAACTATATGACTCATGTCGTTATCCAAAGCTAGGATTTTCGTTTTGACCTGTTTTTCGAGTGCACGTTTAAACGTTTCAACTCCAACTTCTTGCATTTCAGCTCGTATGAGAAAAGTCGTCGATTTCTTTCGTTATATATTGTGTAATTTTCTTTTCTTTTAATTGAATATTATATTAAACGGTTAAATATTTATCTGAACGTGCATGCCTTTCTATGTGATTTTGTCATTTCTTTTTTTTACAAAAAAACTTAATTTTGTTACGTAGATTTTTCTTTTCTAATTTTATCAAAACTTTTATATGCAGAGGGTAAACAATTATCGTTGGTTCGTCATAATCTTGATGATTTCAAGTGAGCGTCACGACCAACGATCGCGCAGGATCACAATGTGTCATTATTGTTGTTACTTTTTATCAATGGGGAATAATTTTTTTAGTTGTACAATTGGTTATAACGAAAAACAATACAAATAGTAGAGTACCGTAAAGGAAACAAGAAAAAACTAAGAGAGAAAAAAACAAATGAAAGAAATAGAAACAATTTTTAAGAATCAAGATCGTTCTATTGATCAAACAGCGTAAGTAAAAGGCTAATACATAGGAATATATATTAGTGCCATAAAAATAAAAGTCTACAATATATATATATATATATATATATATATTCAAATGAATTCATTTGAATTTATGTTACTTACATTATTCTAACATGTGACTTTCCTTGTTATTTCTCGTGATCGTTAGATTATTTATCACTGAAGAGAGTTTGCTTTAGGATCAAAACGTTTGACCCTCAAGGGAATTCCAAAGTGGATGACGAAATCCAAAAATATCAATAAAATATCTATAAATTATCGATGAAATATGGATAAAAATAATCCTCAAAACATCAAATTAGATAAGCATTAATACCATCCTGCTTTTGTATCTCTTGTGCACATAGATCTTATCTAAATGTGTGGTGCTTTATTTCATATTTCATATTTCATATTCAATATTTCGCGGAAAACATAACTATATATCCAGTAAAAAAATTGATAGTAGAGTGCGCGCAGATTGGCAGCAAATTTGATTAGAATTCCACACTAAAACCATAGCTATCTGTGTCTATTCAGCTCGTGTTTTGGCGTCAGTGTCTACTGACAGACAATACGAGCAAATTGGTAATAGAAATCGCGCAGCAAGGTCTGCTGCCAATCTGTCGTCAGATTGTTACAGGTTCTGTTCGATTTCTGTCGCCAATCTGCTTGGATTGCTTGTCAGTAGGCTATGTCACATTTCTGGCGACAATTTGACAACATCAGATATAACATATCCTGAATTTGCTATTTTTTTGTCATTTCTAACAAGCTCTGTTCAAAATCTGTTCGCGAGATTTGACTATCTGGGTATAACGTTTGTAATCCTGTACAAACGATATTCAACATAAACTTTATAGATAAATATCAGTATATTGTCGATAAAGTTTTCAAGTATAGCATCTTCTTAATGCATAAGAAATGTCTCAATATATTTGGATATTATAGACTTTTATTGCACTAAGCATTCGTATTGAAGCTCTTATTGACTCTTAGTTATGTTGTTTGATCAATTAGTTACATTGATTTCGTTCCATTAAAGAAGCCACAATGTCAAAATACTCGTTGGTCAAAATACTAATCTGCTACTGCAATAGAATTTGTTTCACTCCATATTAGAGATGTAATACTGCTTCAACAATCTGGAAATGTTAAATTTTAAGTGTTCCAAAATAATCAATAAACTAATTAAAGCTCGGTTTATACAAATTTAGGCAATGTTATTTTGGTTTTAAACGTGATTTAAACATGTATTTTTATCTTTCTTTCTAAATAAGTAAAGACAGACACATATTTAAGTTTCGCTTGAAGTCAAAATAACGTTGGTGCAATCGAGTCTAAAAGGTTTCAAATACTAATATAAACAACAATCAACTAAATTCCTCTAAATTCGGAAATTATGGAATTTAACTTACATAAGACAGGTAGATGCGACAGATACAGCATAAACTTTTGGAAGACACATCTTAAAAACGCCTCCTCTCTTAAAGTGAATCAGTGGATAGTCACTGATATCAGTTATAAGTATAGCATTGAGCACTTTCAATGCAACACTTATAACTGCAAATCAATGTATATTCACTGTTTTCAGTGATGTTTCACTGATTCATTTTAAGAGAGTACTGATCGCTTTTAGATGATTTTAGAAATTTTAAATGAGACTTCAGAATTTTACAGATTAATCTCCAATTTTTTCGAAATTCTTTTATTATTTTTGAGATACGGGCAATACATTCCTAATGTTAAAGTCGCGCATACGTTCGTACCTTTAGCCGCCTCGGCAAGAGTTTTCAGCGTCGGTACCGGGTATCTGTAATTCGCGCTTAGGACGACCGGCAGAACCAGGGCCGAGTACAGGACCGGCGCGGGCGATGGCAAAAGTGGCAATGGACCACGCGGGCAATAAGGCAAAAGTAGAACCGCGCTCAAAAGGCAAACACTTTGCGCTGTCTTCTCCTTGTCGACCGTCAGTGAGTTTGCACGGACACGACGTCTCACCCGCGCTATCATGCCCATCCTGGCTGTTCTGCAATCAAAGAACGACACTCACTCACGATTTCTCCGTGGAAATTCGACCTAGCATACAGGAAAGAAAACTTCATTAGCGTAGCTGAATTTTCTGCCATTTGTGCACGGAGAAAAATAATTTTGCTCTTTTAGCAAAATCGTACTGCATATTCGTAGTGACATCAAAAAAATTTAGTTGACGTAACTAATTTTACAAATTATTCATTATCAAAATAGAAGCAGTTTTTTTGTCAGAATAGAAAAAATTTATTGAGTGTATTTGTCCTAAGAATTATGTTAATTTGCTATTAACGCAAAATATTGTATCCTTAGCAAATTTATTTGTTATTGAAGTAAAACTGCAACTGCTTATATAAATCCATCATGGTTTTTATAGCAAAATAATTTGTAGATTCAGCAAATTATATCTAGCAAATAGTGTTTAGTACACTTAGGAAATCTTTTTGCTGTTCATATAATAACGAAAAGATTTTGCTAGACTAGCAGAAAATTTGCTGGGCCAGCAAATTATTTTTCTCCGTGTGGAGACCAGATTTGATAAGATTTGACCAGACCTGAATTTTCTGCCATTTGTGGGGAAAACTTGGTTGTAGAATAGAGAGATTCCCGTAGGAGATTTCTATAATTGCTCAGTTATTTTAATCAAGTTTTAATTCGATACTGAACGTTCAGACGAATGTTTTCGGTCACAGTAGCAGAGACATTATTTCCCGTCAGTGAGTTTTTCATCTGATTCCCATTCAATTACATGAACTGAAATTGCTTTTCTGTGCAGCTGACTAAAGTTTGCGACATTTTTCTTCAATCTTACGTAACGCGTTTTGTGCCCAACAGGAAACTGTATCTCCTGAGAATTATTAAAAAACAAATTGTCCTATCGAGTGCTCTCTAAATTTCCTGAAATGAAGTTTCACTCAAATTCGATTTCTTATTTATAGAATAAGCTGTTCACTCTGAATCGTGCAGTAAACTTTAACTGATTGAAACATTCGCTCATATGGAGTCAGAATTAACGCTCTAAGCTTTCCCGTCAGTGAGTTTTTCATCTGATTCCCATTCAATTACATAAACTGAAATTGCTTTTCTGCGCAGCTGATTAAAGTTTGCGACATTTTTCTTCAATTTTACGCGTTTTGTGCCCAACAGGAAACTGTATCTCCTGAGAATTATTAAAAAACAAATTCTCCTATCGAGTGCTCTCTAAATTTTCTGAAATGAAGTTTCACTCAAATTCGATTTCTTATTCATAGAATAAGCTGTTCACTCTGAATCGTGCAGTAAACTTTAACTGATTGAAACATTCGCTCATATGGAGTTAGAATTAACGCTCTAAGCTTGAGTGAAACATTCACTCTTGCGATTTGGAGCGGCACTATCTTCACTATCGCCTGAAATGAAAATATTACCGCTTTTCATTCGTTTTGAGTGAGATTCGAAGGAATTTGCAAGGTACGGGATATATTGCAAAACTCGTCGAGGAAATGTGTTCACAGCTTTTAATCACCCGACTGTGTCGACATTTACATGATTAAATAATCGGTAAAATAGTGTTGATGAGAGTGTAGTGCTAGATCCCGAAAGAAAACGAACTTCGCTAATTACTGAATGACAGAACTGAGACATGAGATGCCAGGAAGACTACATTGAGTCCGAGTGATGCGTGCCGCCAAAAACCGTTCGCGTCATCGCGCCGACGTTCTCTTGGCAAGTCGTCTACGTAGATCGCGACGTCTACGAGTTCTGCATCTGCCTCTAGCTTTTCTATATCCGTCGCCTCGGACTATTCCTGACCGCGAAGTTTCGCCCCTTCCTCCTCCCTCTCTGTACCTCCCACCCTTCCCTCTCCTTCTCTCTCTTTCTGAAGAAAGAAAATCGCTTCCGTTTTGTGTCCACGATCTGCACAGTCATCCTGTTTCTCCCTTCTGTATATTTATCGGCAGTCTGGTATGCGCAGCGTTTGTTGCTCCTCCAATCGACAGTCGTATATTTTTTAACGTCTGCGAGCGATCCAGACGATAATCAAACACTTCATTTAGTTTTATGCGCGCGGGAGATACGCGGTAGCCTGTTCAATTCTCATCGCGGGAAAAACACTGGCATGTAGATTGTCGAAAACGTACACGGAAAAAAACAACTTCGTCGAGTGCACTCAACTTCGTTAGTGCAACTGAATTTTCTGCAACTGGAAAACTCGGTTGTAGGAGCAGAAAGTTTTCTATGCTGAAATTTCTACACTGAGAACGGAACACTTGAAAATTTGTTTGTGAGAGAGTTATTAAGTTTATTTTTCTTGTGAAGAAAATTTATTTTTGTGAAGTTTATTTTTGTAAAATAAACTTTATATTGTATAAGTAAATTTTTAAATATTTTGTTTAATGTACTCAGTCAGTTGCTGTCAATTATCTCAACTGAATCAGTTCAGATGAATATTTTTGGTTACAATAACAAAGATATTCCCAAGTAGAACAGAAAATCACGATGAAATAACGTGATCGTGATTGAAAATGATCGTGATTGAAAAGTGTGTTTTCAGTCATTTTCTCGTAATTTTGGCATTATTTTCACGTCATCATGATTATTTATTCTACGAATTTTTATACCGAAGATATATTTCAATTAGTGTCACTATGAGTGAGTTTTTCGTTTGGTCCTCGCTCACAGTGACACTAACTGAAATATATCTTCGGTTTAAAAATTCGGACGACACGCGAGAAATATCTGTTCGTTAACACATTCACCACTAGCGTCGACACATCGGTGTCTCATCACAAGTTGCGGACGTGTTGAATAGAATAGAAGATTTAGAATGAAAACAAGATGGAAGTGCGTCATACGCGTGTGTGCGACCGCACAAAATTTCCACAAAATTACTCGGAGTCTCCAATTCTGCTCAACAGGTGCGTCACCATTCTCGCACGTGACAGCGACGAATTCTCTCTTTTTTCATTCGCACAAACAAAGTGAAGTCCTGCACAATCGCATAAAAGCAAATACAACGTGGGGAGAGTTCCCCGAATAAATCGTCGCGGTGAACGTTACCTTCGATAGAATTTTGACATTATTTCCGCGAAATTCTGCACATCGCTACGTTCGCGGCGACGCGCGTCAACACACGTCAACGGACACGCGATGTCAGATGATTCGATGATGAGGCGTGAGATGAGGTATTGGCCAATGAAAACGTGGCGCGTGTCTGGCGCAATTTTCGGGAACTGCATCTAACAACAAACGTTCCGTTGTGGGCGAGGCGAAGCATGTGCGTGTGATGTCAACGGTAAACATGTTTGCACGGCGCTCGATTTATGAAAATACGAGAACGGAAGCACGCGCATTTCGTGTAAATACGGATCTTGTGTCGTCAACGCACCAATACCTCTGCGATTGAAATTAGAGACAAAAACGACCCAGTCTAACTTTTTTACTCGATGAATTACGGTAAATTACTCGGTGATTTCGGAAAGTTGGTAAAATGGTAATTTAGAAAAAAAATGGTAAAAGTGAAAAAATTTTAATACAAAGCTCAAAAAGAGCATTTTGTCTTTAAAATAAGTAAGACACTTCATTTTACTCATATTTTTCATAAAATGTTTTGATACTGTATATTATATGTATGTACTATACATAGTGTATAATAATTAGGGAAACTTAGAAAGATTTGTAAGCCTTAATCTATATTTTTTATACCATCTTACAGACTTATTTACTTATGCGGACAGCATTTTCATTTATTACTTTATTATTTCAGTGATATAATTGAAAATTTTTAACAGTATTTTAAGAAATGATACTATAATGTTCTTAAAGGATTGTAAATAGCTTCTCCGTGTGTAGTGTTAATAAAATAATCTTATATATTTTTTACACGAATAAAATATTATAGTAAAATTTACGTTAAAATTATATTTGTTTTTGCAATGTCTTTTGTAAAGCTGAACTGCATTGATATTCTGATATAAATTATTCTAGTATAATAAATTCTAATGTAGAAATAGTAAATATTTTTTTCGATTTTCTCTTTTCTCTTTTCTCTTTCCGTGCAGAAATTAATTCACACTTATGTTTCGAATGCGCGCTACAGATTAGAAATGACAAAATGTACAAATCTTGCTTGCTCGTCTCAGCATATTTAATGGTCGGGATTCAATCGTTCTTTCATATCTATATAATTGAACCCGCGCTGAATAAGTAAGACGTAGAATCAGACGCCACGTTCAGCTCTAAATACGCGATGGTAGTTTCTAAATATGCAATCGGCGTTTCGATGCAATCGGCGCTCTAGCGTATTTACATCCTCAGGGAGCACGTGTGTTCACACTCTTGACGTCTCTTCGAATCTCTCTTCGAGGAATTATCGTTCATCATAGTATGATTTTATTTATATCTGTCTTTTTGCGTATCTCCTTTGCGTATGTAAGATTGCAAATATCTGCCAGGCGGATAAATATTCCAATAAGAAACAAATGGAAGTAAAGAAAATAATGGAAGTAGAAATATCTAGTATGCCGGCAGATTGTGACAGCAAATTCGATCAGAATACTGTGACAGATCTATAGCCATCTATGCCGATATTGAACAGGCATGCTCTGTTGACAGCCTACTGACGTAATTTGACAAAAACCGAGCAGAATCTGCGATATTTTATTTAAAAAATAGACAGTTCTTGAATTTAAAGGATCCATTTAAAGGATCACAGAACTTTGACAGGGGTAAAAATTGAATAAAAGGAGTATAACAATTTTCTTATATGTATATCTATTAAATACATTTAACAGTACTTTGGTATACAAAAATTAGATGGTTCATGGTGAATATTAATATGACTGTGCCCATTTCAATTCCATTCTGCAAAGGAATCATGCTTCAACGGTAACCATCCTGGCTTCTTGATTCTTTTGCAGAACAGAATTAAAGTGGATATAGTACCATCGATCTGCCATCATACTCTGCTAGCAGATTCTGTTATATTTCTGCCACCAAGCTGCCGACAAAATTTACAGCAGACGCTGCGTAAAGTCTGCGCTCTGGATAACGAAGTCTGGATATCTGGATAATGAATGAAGTCGAAGAAGTCAGTTTTTCACACGTTACAAAATGAGTTCAATTTTTGCGTTTACTGGATAAATTTCGTTACATTCCACCGTGCAAGTGCATATCAAAGGAGTCACACGGTCGTTAAAAAATTTCTGTTGAAGCATACTTTCGTGGTATTCGATAAATTTTACCTCAAAGAAATGTACGTGCGATTTTTAAAGTGGAACGTGACGGTCAATGTCAATCATGGCTGTTTCATCGAGCTGACGAGCTTGATTATTCGATAACACTCGCTGCTACGAAACGATTCAATGCCACCGGAGTAGAAGTCGACGGCTAATAGCAAGGCTACTTACTCTCGAATGACGATGAAGAAAGAGTGCTTAATCCTTCACAGGAGAAGAAGTCGTGTTCTTCGCGAGTGTCGCGAGTCTCAGGAATCCTTTCGCACTTTCTGTTCTTCTCAGAGCTCCTCGGTACAGTCTGGAGTTGAGTTCATTCTCGAGGAGATACGCCCCTCGTGACTTCACTGTATGAAGACGTGCTAGTTGCTCCCGTTAGACCGCACACGTCCAAAACGAATGCTAACTGGTACGATACTAACCCGCTCTGTCGATTTCTGTAGCAGCAAAGCAACGAGAAGACAAGACAAGAAGTATGCACGCGTGAGTGTGTACGTATGTGTGACAGAAATGAAAACAAGGAGAGAGAGAGAGAAAGAGAAAGAGAGAGAAAGAGAGGGGGGAAGGGATGAAAAATGGAGAGAGACGTCGGGGAAGAAGCGAGAGGAGGAAGCGCAATGATCGCTACAGAAGATGAGAGTGAACGGGAGGAAAACGTAGAAGAGTAAATCTGAAAACGTAGAAGAGAATGACAATGAGGAGAAAAGAGTTCACATAAGTAAACGTCCCAATGAGAACGAGAGAATATACAGGGGAGGAAGAGCGGGGTGCAGAAAGAGACAGGAAGAGAAAGAGAGATAGGAGAGAAGAGGGCAACGATGAAGCGACGGGGAGAAGAGCTGAGGACGTGGAAGACAGAGAGGGGGAAAATTTGGCATTGATGCCGAGCAACGCAAATCTCGTCGGTTATTCTTAGCAAACCAAGGCGCGATGTCGCGTTTCATCTCAGGCGGCATGCAAAACTGCCGTTTTCAATCCGCGAAAACTTCTACGGAGATTTTCTCCCGGCGCACATCCCCCGCATGGAATGTTAGCCGTCATTTAGTCGGGTTTGCAGCGACTGCATTCGCGTTTTTGTCGCTTGCTCCGGACTCTTGCAGGACTATCAAAGGCGATAAATGAAATATTAGGTTGGTGCAAAAGATTCATTCATGTTTGTCACGAAAAACGAAATTTCGAAGGATTCATAATTTTTATGAGTAAACTGAATAACGATGACCCGGTATCCTTTCAGACATTTAACAAGGACTCCTTATTTTCCTCTTAACACCAAAATTTTCTACGAGGAAAAGAATAAACCTTTTGCATTAGTCTAGTTAGTGCAAAAGTTTCGTCATGTTTGTCGAAAAAAATAGAAAACCGAATTTATAATTTTTACGAGTAAAATTAACAACATCGACTCAGTATTTCTTAAACATTTAGCGAAGATTTTTTCTTTTTTTTTTCTTTTATTTTCTATGAGAATTTAATGAGAAAATGAAATCTTTTGCCCCAATTTAGTAATATTTGTATAAAAGGTTTGTCTAATAAAATAGAAAACAAGATGATCCAATTTCGAAGGATTCATAATTTTTATGAATAAAATGAACAACATTGATTCAACATTTTTTTAGATATCTAATGAGAACTTTCTATTTTTTTTTTTAAACGTTCTTCAAGAACTAAAGAGAAGATGACAAACCTTTTACATCAACTGAATATTTCAATAATTTTACCTTCTTGTTACAAAGCGTATTTTTTGAATACAAAAAAATACAGCTTGTAGATCTTAGGTATCGTTTCACATGCATTTGCATGAGTGTGTTATCGAGATCAAGAGCGAGACGCGAGAAAAATTGTCCTGGACGATGGACTAATTCGGCGGAACTGATTGCCGGCGTTCCGTGAAAATTCAATGAAAATTCCGCGCGCTGAGTCTGATTGTTAAACGATCTGCGTCATCCACTTCTTACCGCTGCGAAAAAGCACAATTATAGCCGGTGATTTCGCCATTATTCCTGGTACCGCTGATCGCGCGGTGACTACGAGAGTGTCAGATATTGACAATTTTTCCGACCACGCAAACAAATCCCGGCGCGACGGTACTACGAAAATAAACGCCAGTTCAACACTTGCACCGACAAAACAATATTGTTCGTGCGAGAAGAATCGGAAGTCGTGACGCGCATTTACACTCACCACGTGAGATTAGAATCATCCGACTCTTATTTATTTAATACGAAAATTGCATTGCAGTGTCACCATGTGACGACAGGAATTTTCTAAACACGTGTTTCTTAATGTTTCTTCACTTCTATGAGAAGAAACTCTTCTTCTCTTCTCTTACAATTTCTTCAATTTGGCCATGTTCCCTACTAGCGAGAATAAATCGTCAACGAAGTTTGCTTTTTTATTTCCTCAAAAATCTTTCTTCATCAGCCTCAATAAATGCGTTTGCCATTGTGTTATTGGCCCAATTCTCGCGATGTGTGCATTCTCAGTTATCAAGGGAATCAGCTGTCTGTGAATCTATTTTCGCGCCGTTCTGCAGAGTTTAGAAAGACTCGCGATTCGAAGCGACGACTCACAACGTAGTACTATCGCGAATTATTGTCGACTGCTTTGTTGTGAACAAAAAAAAAGAAAGAAAAAGAGAATTAACTTACAGGGTACACGATACATTAGACGCTGCAAACATTTTGAAACGCTTAAAGTTTTATGCTCACATATATTTACTTTTTCTCTTTTGTGTATGAGATAAATATCCTGCAGAATTTTTGCAGGCAGATTTTTGCGCTAACTGGACAGATCCAGAACTCAATTTCAAAACTTTTTATCGTTTCCGTCACATATTGAACAATGTCCCAGTTAATTTCTGCATACTCTTAACAAATCTCCTTGTTTAATTATAAAATTATAAAAGCATTTTTGCATTTCCGTGTAAACAATATGACGTAAACTTTGCAGGAAAAAGTCAGTAATCTGTCGGTAAAATTTCCAAGTACGGCATCCCCTTATAATAGTCATTACTTGAAATTTGTTCCACGCGATTACTTGAATTTAAGATTAGATTTGAGTTTTTTTACTTGAATTATTTAATACATGTGTCATTAGACGCTGAAAAAAAAGTTTGCAATCTGAAAGTATAATTAAATAGAGAAATAATAGCTAAGAAATTAATTTTTTATTAAATTCTACTGTAATGTTAGTGGAATCGCTGAAAAAATCACAATTATATCAAAACTTAAATTTAAATATCTCGCTTGAGAGGCAAGTTTCAATTGACGATTGTTAATGCGATTGTTGTTGACGGTTTAAAAATCGTCAAAAAAAAAGATTACGATGGATCCGCACGCGAGACAAAATATTACACAAGGCGCCGGCTGTATCTAAACTCCCATTAACTTATTGTAATGCGATTGTTGCAAAAACATGTTGATTGTGCGTTTGCCGATAAGACGGGCTCCGGAACGCGATATTATTAGAACGACTAGACGCACTGACACAGATAACAATATTGCAAAGAGAGAGAGAGAGAGAGAGGGAGAAGCCGCATGGAAAAATAATTACAGTTCGTTCAAGATCATGCGTGGTGACCACACACGCGCCTCGTGCCAACCCAGAGGTCCAAAGACGAGGAAGATTAGGGGGCTTAGGGGGTCGGATTAGCATCGTTGCGTGTCGCGATTATTACTCCGGAGTGTGTCCGACGAGAGATAGCGAGATATGTCCACGTACAGATAAAAGTGCGTAATGCGATTTTGCAGTAGAAAGACGATAAAGTTGCTAATGCAAACAACAAGCCACGGTGAAGCCGCAAAAAGGACAGACAACGTCGTATCAAATGGCGAGGAAGGGGACGAAAGACGGTTGCTGTTCTTTTATTTGTTATACACATGGCGCGCGCGTGTATGATACACAGGGTGTCTGTACACAACGCGTACAGCCCATACGTAACTAAAACTCATCAGACTGAACAAAAATGTCCTTTTTTGTACAAAAATGTCAATTTTTGTAAACAGGCATGATATTCATTGGGACATTAATCAACTTTTATTCGGGCGAACGGAATTCGCTGGACTCCGGAGCTGCTTCTCTCGTATATTTATACTTCTGTTGTATCTGGAATTTGATGACTTTGTCCATTTTAATATTATTCTTACGAAAATCAAAAGACTGTACAAAGATGTGCCGAAGAAAAATGTAATGAATAAGATGAGCAACAGTCCTCTTAACGTGTTTTTTAATTTCTTTGTTTTCTTAAGCTAAATTTTATAACTTCGAGAGTTTGTTTATATAGCATATAAAAAATTAATGCACTTAATATTTTCAAGAAATATTTGCGTTTTTACGTCTTTGCTCGACTTTATAAACATATTCGAGTAGACTCTCTTTTTCTTTCTTTTTCACGATTACCATAACGTAATAAACATGAATCGATGATAGAAACTTTGCAACTATTTTAATCACATTTTTTAAACAAATATATAGTTGAATTGATAATTAATTTTACATCATACAGAGATATAAATTTCTTGTTATATTGGTGCAGAAATATATTCAAAGTTATTCTTAGATTTTCATATTTTGCATGATATAATTTTGGGTAAATTTGGATAATTTTTTTTCATATCTTTTCCATGTTTCTTTGTCGTCGTTTCTTTCCATATAATAAATATGCGTGCCACATATAACATTATTAAGAGATGCAACTTTGACGTATTGATTAGTAAAGTTACTGTCAAATTTACATACATTTGTCTCTTTGGAAAATCTCGTCTGAGATAGTCAAATCTGTTGATAAACTCTTGACAGCAACAGGCGAATAATGCTGAACTGCGCTCTTCCAATGTCCAACATCACATACCACCTGCCGTTTGCTAGGAGGTCGTCAACAAATTCAGACTCCTTGAATGAGATTTTGCGTAGAGAACTCGTCCCACTGCATCTCACACATTCATTCGCAAATTTCCTTTAATTGATATCTCAGTTCTTATCAATTGTTATGTAATATTAATATCTCAGTTGTGTTTATACAGAGTAGTGATCGTGTGACTTTTTCCTAAGAACGGAAACACGAAAAGTGAAAAGCATTACGTGAATTCGACGACTTTAGCGATCGCGCATTTTCTCAAAAAACAGAAATGTGAAACTTTATTCACTTATTCATTTATTCATTTTTCACTTATTCACTTATTCATTTTTCACGTTTACACTTATTAGATTAAGTGATTGCCGTTCAGTGACTATTTCACTCATCTTAATGAGTTCTATCTGCACACACGAGCGGACATATGCGTCACCCTGTATAAACACAACGAGCGCTTGTAAAACGTAAAGGAGGCCTCAAGATTTGCGGGAATATCAATGCTGAGTCAGTCACGCAGTTTCCTTGTTTATGAACGGATGTTTATGAAGCTCTGTGGAGGAGGAACGAAGGGAGGTCTCGTACAGCGAGGAAAGTGGATCATGTAGCCACGAAGAGCGTTTATTGTTAGAACAACAATAAGACAGAGTGGCAGGAGAGGAGACCTACTTGTTACTCTTATATTTCAAGAAACAATGTGCTTTTTCGGTCAATGAACCCGGCGGGTTTAAAGTCCGTAACTGCCGCCTCTCTATTCGGCGCTAAGGGATTTCTCGATGTCATTTAATCGTATTATGTTGCAATCGCGGTTCATGGGCAACGATCGAATTGTTATTAGTGCACGGAGAAAACAATTCCATCAGTGTAACTGAATTTTCAATTGGCTGGTAAGAAGAGGGATTAGATGAAAAATTTGATCGTACACTGAGAAAAAAATACTTGAAAATTTATTTGCGAGAGATATGAAGTTTATTTCACAGAAATAAACTTTATCTCACAGAAATAAAGCTTGTATCCCATAAATAAATTTTTTAAGAATTCTTTTCTCAGTGTACATTGAGAAAAAAATTGTTGAAAATTTATTTGTGGGATATAAATAAATTTTATTGCACAGAAATAAACTTTGTATCCCATAAGTAAGATTTTTAAGAATTTTTTTTCGATGCACCCTGAGAAAACAATAGTTGGAAATTTATTCGCGCGGATTAAAAGTATGTTTCACAGAAATAAACTTTATCTCCCATAAGTAAATTTTCAAATATTTTTTCTCAGAGTAGGATTAGAAAAAAATCCCTGTTCTTGCCCAGCCAATTGTTTTCAAGTATTGAAAAGTACAACCAACAAGTTTTGCACATCTGGAAAGGGTTCAGGTCAATATTTTTGGTTGCGGAGACGGGGATGTCACATCGCTGAATTTTCATCTGATCTCTATTCACTCGCGTGAACTACGATTTTTTTCCGTCTACAAATTATAATTTCGCGTCTTACTCGCGTCTCCGGGACGGATTTATTTCACGTTATCGAAGCTCGTCTTAAACACAATCGCGACGTTCCAAGAAGAGCGAATGATAAATTGGACAAAGATCAAGCAGAAAGGTAGCGTGTCCGATTGCGGGCAGAGAAGTTGAGATATACTTTTTCTCGATTCACTTCGGAACGCGTCCGACATGCCAGATAGGAAAAGCTATTTTTTGAAAATTTTTCGAAAACATGAAACTCTGTGAAACCGTAAGCCGTCTCCGGAACAAATTTTTCCATTGAACGTCGGCTGCGTTCAAAGTACATCAAAGAAAACGTGTGCCAACCTTTATATCCGGGGTCGTACACATGAGGAAGTGATTGTACTATGTGTTATCATGATATTTACAGGCATGCCATCGACAAACAGTTCAAACGAGAAATTCTTATCTCACTTCCATACACAGATAACGCACACATACTCGCCATGTTACCCGATTGTTCTCAATTCATCGGAAACTTAGACTCTCGTCCGTATTTTTCCAGACTCCGGCCGGCCCTAGTGACGATCACTGCGACTCCAAGTGTGTTATGTTGGCTGAATCTCTTCTTACATCTTTCTTATCGTCTCAAGTCATGTCATTTAACACGTTCCGATATATCATGCACAGAAAAAAGATTTGGTTGAATTAACTAAATATCTGGTCGAATATGAACGATCCAGAAATTCCGATTGAAGTAACCCGAATTCTGTTTAAGTCAACCAAACATCTTGTTAACTTAAACAGAATTCGGGTTACTTCAATCGGAATTTCTGAATCGTTCATATTTGACCAAATATTTGGTTGATTCAACCAAACCTTTTTTTCCGTGTGAGATTATTAATTAAATTACAATTTACACCTGCTTTAAACGCGTGTTGAAAAAACATCTGGATTTGTAGTGATCCTGAGCGCGCTCGAGCAAAATTGATGATTAAGCAGGGCTCTTAGATTTGGCTTTTAGTGCAATACACACGGAAAAAAAGGTTTGGTTGAATTAACCAAATATCTGGTCGAATATGAACGATCCAGAAATTCCGATTGAAGTAACCCGAATTCTGTTTAAGTCAACCAAACATCTTGTTAACTTAAACAGAATTCGGGTTACTTTAATCGGAATTTCTGAATCGTTCATTTGACCAGATATTTGGTTGATTCAACCAAATCTTTTTTTCCGTGCACTTTACTCAGAAAAGTGCACTAAAGAAAAGTACCGCACTAAAACTTAAGCAGTAAGCAAATCAACTAATCAAGTCGATAAGTCGATAAGCTTCTTACAGTCCAAGAATAATCGATTGGTCAATTTTCTCACTGTTTGCGTTCTACATGTGCCATCTGCTTAAGATATACAATCATAAAAATAACTCGGACCAATAACAGAACAACACGGGCGATTTATCAGAATTTGTTTTTCCCGCAACCCCGGGAAAAAAGTTCATGGATTTTGTTCATATACAATCATACATATGATTATGTATAATTACATGTCCACATTGAAAGATATGCTGTTTTGAAGATACAATTAAAGTAAATGTTTCCCACACATCGCAACGTCTAAACTCGGGTCATAAGATGTTTCTAAGATGTTTTTAAGATATCTTATGTTCTAATTTTAAACGTTGTGTCAGACGGATTATGTTTATGGTAGCCCATGATGTCGACGTTTAATTAAATCAAATTATGTTTTCCACTTTTCATTCAACAATATTTGTTTTATATATGGACATATATAATTAAATATGGTCATATATAAGATCATATATATATATATATATATATATATATATATATATATATATATATATATATATATATATATATATATATATATATATATATATATATATATATATATATATATATATATATATATATATATATATATATATATATATATATATATATATATATATATATATATATATATATATGGACAAAGTATAATTATATATACACGGAAAAAAATAGTTTGCTGCAGCAGCAAGTAGTTTGCTACATATGGACAGTTAAATATAATTCGCTATGTTAGTTACTTTTTCCTTGCTGCAGGAACCTATTTTCTTGCTATGATAACAAGAAAATCTGCTCCTACAGCAAGAAAAGTAGCTAACATAGCAAATTTGCTACAGATAGACAATTAAAACATAATTGACTGCTTTAGCTACTTTTTTTGTTGCAGGAGCAGATTTTCTTGTTATCACAGCAAGAAAATTGGCTCCTGCAGAAAAAGTGGCTAATACAGCAAATTATTCTTAGTTATCCATATGTAGCAGATCTTTTTTCTCCGTGTAACCATATATATTTTTATACGATTATATATGAATTTTTTCCCCGGGACCACGATTACCCGATTCTTTTTTACTCAAGTCTTTTTATGACTGCATCAGAGAACGATGCGTCATCACGTAGCTGGGGGGTGGACTAAGCGCAGGGCAGCGGAAATGCAGTCGCCACTCCTGAGGCGGGGGTTCATACCGCGCCGGGAGTAAACGAGCTGCCCTTTCGCTTCTGCATATCGATAAATCGGCTCGCCGGTAGTCTTTGCCCCCGGAGTCACGTAGGCTGCAGCTAAACCGTTTCACTATGAAGAGTGGGGATCCTCGTGACGATGTAGGACATCAGTTTTGTCCGTTTAATTCGCGAGGCAAGTCGCCTTTCCGCGGCTCACATGTTGCGGCTGCTGCATCGTGCTGCAGCCTTGTCGTCATTCATCATCATCATCATCAGCGTAGGTTGATAGGTCGAATGATATTCTTGCAAAGTGTACAGTACATAGTTCGACTGGCGACCGATTCGTCATTAAGACACAGAAAGCCGTTGCTGGGTGGAGTAAATTCTGCAATAAAAATCGGCATATTGCGACAGGTTGATCTGCCTCGAAGTGCTTGAACCGGACTATGCGGATTATGAGAATTTCGCGTGTGCTGTGCCGCGGAGAATGAATTTCCGAGTTCGTGTGATCACTTCGGATATCGACTGCACATTTACACGGCTTGCCCTTCATTACTTTCATCGAGACACAGTCCTACCTTAAAGGGTTGATTATCGCAGTGTTCACCCTACATGCTCTCAGTGCCGATTCGCGATTGCAAACGTGGGACACTGGCGATGAGAAGTCGAGCTGGCGCTGTGCGGTGCCACACCTGCCCCGATATATCTCGTGGGCGCACGACACTTCCGAATCGAACCGTTGGGTCGCTTCGGACTATGCGCAGATGTTGAAGCAAAAGGTGAACCGAACTCAGTCAATGTTAACGAATTATTTGGGGAGGATTTTCAAAATTAATACGCGAGAAGATGAAACGAAGGAATTCGAAGAGATGAAATGAAGGAATACGAGTGTTCTCTCTAGTTGCAGATATTTCTGCAACACTCGAGGGACAAATCATGCAAGGGCAGCTGTATCGGCACTTTTTCAAATGTCGCGGTAAAGAAAGCGCGAAATGTCGTCTCATGTATCGCGTTTTTGTGTTTCAGATCGGTGACTCGCTATGTTCATCCTGCAGCTACATATAATCGCCTTTCTGGCTACCATTCTCTTGTAAGTAGAAACAACAGTGCATACATACACACTCTCTCTCCCTCTGCATCATGTGTGCACGTTATATTTATTTAGGGAAAAATATCAGGGAAAAAAATTGATGTTTCAGAATCAGCGAATGCAACGCAAATTCAATGAACTGGCAACAGCAAGAAATGAGAGAGCAACAACCGAGAGAGGTACGATGTAATATATAACGAGAAAGAAACTTTTTCTAGTGAAAAAAACATATATTTTCTTAAAATAGTAGTTTTTAACGCTACACGGAAAAAAAGATTTGGTTGAATTAACCAAATATTATCTGGTCGAATATGAACGATCCAGAAATTCCGATTGAAGTAACTCGAATTCTGTTTAAGTTAAGATTTTTGATAGATTAATCAAACATGTATTTAATCAGACATGTCTAGTTAAATAACCAGATATGTTTGATTAGTCTACCAAAATCTTATTAACTTAAACAGAATTCGAGTTACTTTAGTCGAATTTCTGGATCGTTCATATTCGACCAGATATTTGGTTAGTTCAACCAAATCTTTTTTTTCCGTGTAGCATTGGATACAATTTCGAAAGAGTGGATCTTTCGCTTTTCATGAAATTCGCCGAAATGGTCCTAAGTATCCTCGAACCTAAACAGATCTCCATAGGACACCCTAAAGAACATCTTTATGTCCTGAGAATGTCTCCAGGACATACTCTGGAGATCTTGGGCTATCTGGGAAATGAACATGTCTAAAAGACTTTTTAGCGCAATTGAAAATTAACTGAGATAACGTTATAAAATAATCCAAATAGCACAAAGCAGCCTATGTGTGAATATTCCCGTAAAACATGAATGTTTTTAATTCCAGAATATTATCTTATAGAAAGGAATGTTCTTAAAACATTTGTAACTTATTTACTGCGTAAATGCAATGCATTAATACATACATAGAATGTATAAATATTCGTAAGAAATATTCATAAAATATTCCTGTATTATCTGGGAATAAGAGAGGGTCATTTGCAAAAGTTTACATACTATGAATGAATACTAGAAAAATCTGCAGCGTAGACTTCGCCCCTTTTCCCTCCCGCCGCAAAAAATTAATCTATAAACCAATCTATATTACTATATTATATTATAAGTACAATTAGGATTTTATTATCTTAATTGCGCTAAAAAGCTACTTAAACACGTTCTTTTGGGTGTATTTGGGGGCCATTTCATCGAATTTCAGGAAACTCGTAGGATGCTTCTTTTCGGAGTCACGATCTAAGGATTTAACGAGTAAAAATATCTTTTTTCACAGTGTGTGGGCTGTGGCAATGAGTGTAACAGATGCAAGTACGGTTCCACGATGTCGGCCTTTTGTGGGGGTATTAAAGAATGCCGACGGGTGAGTATCGACATTGTTCAATACGTTGATTGTGCCGCGGTGACTTTAGGAAACTTCGTGTGTTCTCCGGACCATTTCAAAATCATTGTGTTATCTTAACACGCTAATCAATTCATATTTCTTACATCCTCCCTCGACAACACAAGAGCTTATTTTTGCGAGAAAGAAAAAACCCAAATTAACTAACTCTTCTGGAACAGGCATGCGTGTTCTTAATGCATGATCTAATTAGTGATTCGTGCAACCTCTAGGTACGAGAGGAAGAAGGATATATTTATTTATTAAAAATTTGACGGGACTCTCACCTCGAGGAAAAGGCGGTCTGAGAAACTTCGCGTCGTTGTCTTCGTCCCACCGGCACTGTTCGTTTTCATTGCTGGCTTCTAGAGATGTGCGAACTATTCGAATTCGAATCGAATCAAGTGAAATTCGATTCAATTCAAATTCGAATCCCTATGATTCGAATCCGAAAAATTCGAAAATTTCGAATCGAAAATTACGGATCGCGCACATTAACATTAATGAAGAACTATTAAAGACATCCAATCTTATGGGAATTAGCATGACATGAAAAATTTGCTATACATTAAGATTTTCTTCAAAAAGAAGATAATGGCTTCTAAATAAACTCTTACCAACAACTTTCGGATGTTTGCCCAGCTTTCAAGGCTGGAACTGTATTCCATACACGTTTAAAGACTATATATTATATATCTCTTACCTTAAAATTGATTTTACATAATCAATGCTATTTCTCTCATACTGAAATCATTATTTTCATGTTGAAATCAATGATTATGTTAATTAAAAATTCTACCAACGATTCGATTCGATTCGAATTCGCAATCAAAATCTGAGATTCGACTCGATCCGACATGAAAAATCTCTGATGCGCACATCTCTACTTGCTTCTCTCACCCGTAGGGTCCTGGCGAGTACTGCGGGGGTCGGAGTCAGTCATGGGGTATATGTGGCGAAGGGATGATCTGTATTTGCAACCGTTGCGTGGGCTGCAGTTTGGACATGCTGACGTGCTTTTCGAGTTCGTGTCTGCCTCAACAGAACATGGAGCATCGGAATCAACATGACATAAGCGACAGAATCTACACCAACAGGTACATAGAGAACCAGCCGTTGGACGGCCGACAGATCGAAGGACGACAGATGTATGAACGACGATTGAGATTGTTGAATATGAAACGAAAGTGAACGAACGAGGGAGCGTCAGAGAGACAGAGAGACGGGGAGGGAGAGGGGCGAGGGGAAGGAAAAAGAGAAAAAGAAAGGGAGAAGGGCGAGGAAAAAATAAGGGAAGCGGGCGTTAACGATTTTTCGAATTATTTATTGCATTCGCCGGTGTAATCTCATTAGGTACCTACTATTGTGATAGACAACTCGTCAGGCCGCGCATCGTCTCCATGAGCGACGCGACGACGTGCTTGTTCGTGTTTAATGGCAGTTTCTGTGATTTTTTTAATTACTATGTATTATCCTCTTTTATATATACGTATATATATATATGTACTCAACTATCCATAAAGCGCGCGTTCGTGTGCGCGAGGACGTGTACACTCTGTTTCAAAACAGTTCGAATGCTTTTCTTTTTCTGGAACGCAGCCAACGGTCCAATGGGAGGACTTAACTTCTGGTGATTAATCAACGACTAGTTCTTCCAAACAGAGATCAGAAAAATCAATAAGAGGTCACGCGAGAAACGTCGATTGCGAAACACACTATGCTTATAAATGTATCGAAGAATGACACGTGGCGCCACGAAAAATCATTTGATCGTCATTTTGAGCTTCCTCAGCAGAAATGGAAGGAGAAGAAGAAGAAAATTAATGCGGACTTGCCACAAACATACGAAAGATAAATACGAAAGATTTTGTCGACTTGACTAATCGTATTATAAAAATTGTCAGATTTGCGTATAGTATATATTTGTTAATAATAATGTATTAACCATCTAAAATTCCACCAACTTGTTGGCATTTGTTGGAAACATTTGAGAATATCATGATAAATAATTTCTCTAACTTTGTCGATCACATTTGTATGTTTTCTACATTATCAAGAGGCATATTTTGCTAGAAACATTCAGCAAATCGTCTTCTGGGGAACACAGTTTTACTAAAAACATTTTTGTTATTAGCTTTTTGCTCCTAACATTATCACTGCTGCTTTCTCGGCGTAAGCCCGCCCTGACACAGCATGGCACTCAAGATTTTGTTAACAAAAAGAATTATTAATAATTGGGGTCCAGTAATATAATACTTTACACAAAAACCAATAATAGAACTGATTGGGATCAACCTGATCAGAGGACCATGGGATACATTTTTAGTCGGGGCGTCCGAGGAACGGCACGAGAGTGACAAGTCCTCTCATTGGGGACCATCGGCGGTACTACAGAATGCATCAGTAAAAAACAGTTTTGCAAACCGTTTTGAAGCAAGGTGTATGCGCGCGCACGCGAACGTGCATGTGCCGCGGGCTAGCTTGATCTCGCGAGATACACGATGAATCATCCCCACATGATTCTTGGCTGTGAATCGCGCATCTCTCACGGAATGCGCGCGCGAAGCGATGAACTGGGTCCTCGATATTCCCACGTAGTGTGCGAATCACCGTGGGGTTCCCGCCGAAAAGAAACGAGAGCGCGGTGATGAGGTAGTTTTGATGACGATTTCCCGCATGGGTGCTGACGGACTAGAGCTTTTAAGGGGATGCTGTACTTGTGAAAACTTCACCGACAAAATACTGTCATTTTTCTGCAGAGTTTACGGTGCATTGGTTACCCAGAATTGCAAATACCTTCGTACATTGAAACGTGCAGAAATGAATCGGAGCATTGCTCGATATGTGATGAAAACTACAAGAAATCTTCAAACTGACATCTCGCGCTGTTAATTCACGTAAATATTTGATTTTTACAACTTTTATATCTTTACAACTGAATTTAGAAGCTTAAAAACGCAAAGTTTGCAGAAAGATACTACATACGCGTGGCTGGGTTTCCTGCTAAATAAGCAGCACACACACACACACACATACACAAATTTTTATATAAGTTTTGTATGTATGAGAAAAGAATTGTATGATCGCGTTAGTAGCGATCACCTCGACAGTATTGACATATTTTTTGGAACTTGCCATTCACTATAGCAGCCCCTTAATGATAGATATAAAGGGAGACTACGCTCGCTCTTGATTTTCTCTCACGGTAATCGACTGTGAAATGCTTGGCGAACACCGCTCTATGTAACGGAAAACTGAATAAAATTGGCTGCATTCACGCTTGCGTTACATCGATACCGATCCGTTTTCCTTTCCTCTGCGACGGTAAATAAAGTGGAATTGCCGCCTTTCGCGATGATAAATGAGACGAAACGATTTTGTTTACGCGCGCGCGATAACAAGCAAAAATAATTCTTGTATCTGCACAACGCGCGACGACGGGACGAGGAGCGCTTTTCGCGCTTCTCTCTATATCTTCTCCGAAGAAATTTTTGCGCACGGTCTTTCCTTTCGGCCGTGCCGCGTGTTCCTTTGTTCGTCACAACAAATTGATATGCATCCCATAAAGTATCTCGTTGACACAAATGTGGTTTCAGGTCATGTTATTGTATGTCGAAAGCGACATATCTCCTCTCTCTTCGTGCCGCGGCCGAGCGCCGCCGGCCAGAAATACCGCTCATCCATAATGCGTTAATACGATGAATAATGATTTTGTTTTGCGGCCAATCGACAGATAACAAATTAATTTCTATTAAGCAATGCTCGCTGCACAGAGCGTCGAGTTAGCTTTCTCAGCTGTTCTCAGAAGTCGGTGAGTGTAAGAATGTGTGCGCTGAAATAACTGTGTTGCGTTCGAGGTCTAAAAGTTTATTACTCGCCAAATTCAAATCGCGCTGTGAAATATTCTTATCCAGGGTTGGGTAGTAACTAGTTAAAAAGTTATAAGTTAAGTTAAAAAGTTAAATAGCTTTAACTTAACTTAGTTACATTTTTACACTCTTAACTTTTAACTTAACATAGTTACATTTTATGGATAACTATTAACTTTCAATTCAATTATCTTGAAGTTAACCATGCCATGAAGGTGTCGCGAGATGTCGAAAGGCTGTTTAGTGCTGGAAGGCTCATTTTCGACAATCTTCGAGGAAAAATGTCCGATAAAAATTTCAAAGATTTTATTACTTAAATTTAATAAGTATCTGTAAATAAAACACGTTTTCAATATATTAGTTTTTCCATTATTTGTGAAACTGAAACTCTGAAGTCATGAAATGAAATAAATTTAACTTTTAACTTTTTAATTACATTTTTTATTAACTTAACTTTTAATTCAATTAATTTCATTAACTTTAACTTTAATAACTTTATCGTTAACTAAGTTAACTTTATCGTAATTAAGTTAAATTTTCAAAGCCATGAACTTTAACTTAACTTAGTCAAAAAAAAGTTAACTTACCCAACCCTGTTCTTATCACTATCATTATTATCGCTTTCTGCAGATAGACAGTAAGAATATTAGAAGGAATATTAGAAGACAGTGTATAAGAATAACTGCGCTTCAGACGAAAAATATACGACTATATTCTCTACATGCGTCATAAAAATATCAACAAGATTATTATAGTTTCACAGTTATACAACGTCACGTAACATCTTCAACATGTTCAACATCTACCTGCGTCACTGTGGTGAACGCATTAATTACATAAAAAATTACATAAGTCCATAACAAAAGATATTTTAGGTAATTCCTATCATAATGATAGCTAACTTCTACTGCATATATGCGTATCGATCGCTTCCTTGGCTTCAGGTCGCATCACCTCCGATCTGTCGTCCTCCTGCCATCGTTTTTCTCGCTAGTCGTCATTAACAGACGAGAGTAGAAACGGTCAAATTGTATGAAAACAAACGTAAGGAATAACGATTTCCACGAAAGGCAACGTTTGCCATACAGCACAAATATTTCAAAGAGATCTTGGAGACGATATTCTACTTAAAACGTCTCGAAGACGTATCTCGGACATTTATGCTGCTTGGGTTCGCGAATTATCGATACAGCTGCCCGAGTCGAAATTTTGATTCTAATTTCTACCTCGATATTCCATTTGACGCCTACTTTGACACTCTGAAGCTTGTATCAACTTCTGTTGATTTTGTTTAACTAGCTTTGGCGAAAGGTCTTCTTTAGAATCCACAAGTGGCATTTGGTGCGTTTTCTGCCATTTAGAGGCGTTAAGTGGTATTTCAGTTTCCACGTGTATCAAATATACACTGACCCTTCAGAATATACAGATGTTAAAGAGTTCAGCGCGAAAGTAGGACTAAAATGTCGACGAGGTTGAAATCCAAAAGCGCGCATATCAGGTATCGTGAATTGTAACGTAAGTGGTTCGATCAAAATCATCATTCTCGTCCACACATCTCTGTTACCGAGACGTCTTCTGAGTCAGACCGTGAGACCGCGAAACACTGAAAAACAAAAGGACACACGGTATGAGAATAAATACACAAGGAAGGTTGAGAGATACGTGCCAGAATGCGGTGCTGAGAATTTAAGGGTCAAGGGCTCGGGAGGCTCGGCGTTATATTTAAACTGTTCGTAAAAGCCTCATCCGCCAGCGAGATATGCAGCGGCACGCACATGTGCAGCATTTAACATTTTTCTCCAGTAGCAGCAGTTAATGAGTGCCTTAATTAATATTAGCACGCGATCATCGTCGTGATCATCGCTATCTGTTTACGTTCCACGGGCTCATGCGAGGTTCAGCCTTTGCAAGCTCTGTCGCTTAATGGAAAGATTCGCGCTGTTTTCAATCGCATAAGAATATTATAGCTTTTTGTCGTATGAAATTCTTTTTCAATTTTACCGTGGTTTTTAGTAGTGCAGAAATAAGCTGTTAGAACAGAAATAAGCTGGTAGAGTTTTCAATTCGTTTCTCTCTCTGAAGAAATGAACTGGAATGTCCACGAAACGTCGGAAACAAATCCAAGGACGTGACACCAACCCGGAAATCTCAGATCAAGCAGTAGAACTTATCTTGTTAAGAACACAGCATGAAGCAAACATGATGACCTTGAATCACAATATTATTGACGTATTATTGACGTTAGAGACGTCATTAATGCGTCATTAGTACGTCATTCGACGTCATCCTGCTATTTTGGCAAACTTAACTGTGTTATCCAGCACGGCATGCATCCAGCGTCATGTACCACCTGCAGTTGCTAACGGACGGTTAATAAGTTTAAGCCATCATGGATGAGACCTCGCCTATAAAGTTCGTCCCACGTACTCATTAGCTAATGTTATTGAATCAACTCCCTAATAATTACTACGAAATTTGCGAAATGATATACAGGACTTTTTCGTTCATCAGTTTGATAAGACTTATCTGCATCCGAGCGTTGTTTCATTAATTAATCGTCAGACAGCCTGTATAATAATTTTACTGTAAATTACAGTAATTTTCTATAGTAATACTTTTATAATTTCATAATTTTTATTGTAGAAAAAGTAATTATCTCTATCGCAATTTTTGCTATAAAATTCTTACCATGCAAAAGTAGCCCGTTTAGAAGCAGGAAACAGAATCAAATCTTTCGACTAATAAGCAATACTTTGGTCAAATTTTATATCAGGTTGGTGAGAAAGGTTTGTCATTTTCCTATTACATTCCTGTAGGAAATTTATAGATATTAAAAAAGATAGTGAGTTCTTTCATTAGATGTTTAAAAAAATATCGAGTCAATGTTGTTCATTTTGTTCGTAAAAATTATGATTTCTTCTGAATTGGATAATTCTGTTTTCTATTTTATCTGACAAACCTTTTGCTCCAATCTCATACCCAGATAGAATAAAAAAGCACAATAACTTCAAAATGACGAGAAGATCTCGAGTCAAAATTTTTAATCCTACTTTCGGCCTCAGTGTTTCATTTAACGTCTACTTTGATATTTTGAAGCCTGTGTATCAATATTTTCTAATTCTTAATTTAACTTTCTCTTAATTTAGCCTACCAACTTTGTCAAGAGGTCCTCTAGAACCTACAAGTGGCATCTTCGTGCGTTTTCTACTATTTAGAGGCGCTAAGTGGAAGCTTCAGTTTCCATGTGTATTAAACATATCCTTCAGGATATACAGGTGTAGAGAATTCGAGTCAAAAGTAGGACTAAAAAATTTCGACTAGGGATGACCGTAAAAACTCACTTTTCGACCGCGATTCGATCGTCTTCTCGTCAGTTTGACATCATATTAACGTTACCGAGGCCTTCTGTTTCGCCTAAGCGCGTATAATATCGGGAGAAGCACCTCTTGCACACGGCGACGCCCCGCGTCGCCGTTCCAGGAAGAGGCCACCAGTGAGCGCAGCCTTTACTGGCCGTTTTGCTTCAGCAACTTCCGCGTTCGGAAGCCACGGAAGCCAGCCTGGATCCTCGTCGCCGCTGCTTGCACGGCCTGCTGTCTCTTTCGCACCAGGAAACCGCGGATACCGGCCTGGATCTTCGTCGCCGACTTCTCCTCGAGCGCCTCGCGAGTGTTCTGTCTTTTCAGGAAAGCGTCCTTCGGCTTCGACTGCTCCCGAGATTCCCGCTGATGTTGCTGATCCCGCTGATGTTGCTGTATCTTTTTCGACTGCTGCTGCTGTTGCTGCTGACTCGGCTGCTGACGACGACGCTGCGACGTGGACGATTCCTTCAGTTGCTTACGCACGCGATAGCCGCGGAAGTTCGCCTGGATCTTCGTCGCCGCGGTGTTGGCCTTCATCTCATCGGCCTCCTCGCTCGGAGCCTGTGACATGAACGAGGCTCTGAACTCTGAGATCTCGCAAAGCTCCGCGTTAGCACCGTTTAAAAAGCGCGCGGAGTCGAGTCCCCCGGGAGATTCGGCGAAGCCTGATACTGGGGAGACTCAATGTTCCTGATTATTTACGAAAATCGCTCCCGGAAGTGATTGAGAGCCTGCCACGCCTGTTTATAGAGATGTTGAGAGCGGAAACGGAAACAGCTCGAAGTTATTCCCGATCGTTCGAGTTTACAAATCGCTCCTGAGAATGGGAGCGGACCAATTTGAACGCTCGCTTGAGCGGAATCGGTCGTATAACCGCAGGCTAAGTCGGATCGCAGATTTTCTCAATTTTCTTCAAAGAGAAAACAAAAATGGCAGAAATATGACGAGCTGAAATGTATAAATGTTGACGCTGCTACGAAAGAGAGAAAGAGAACGACTTCTTTTTCCGGGAAGATTCTCCAGGAAGGAGATCACCCCGAGAGAATTTATATAATTGTTTAAAAAATATCGATCCTTCGGCCGAGAGTTTGGGAAAGAGGAAGAGAGGGCTCGGATCGTAGCTATGAATAAAAAAATCTCAGTGCAGACCGCGTAAATTATTCGCGGGGATGTGTTGCAGTGGGACGCGCGATCGAACCGACCCGATGATCCTCGCGTTGATTTATAAATATCGATTTTCGAGAAGAGGTAGAACCAGCCCGGCGGTTATTTCTTGCGATTCGCGCGGCGGGGATCGATCCCGAGACGTGGAAGAACGGGAGAACTCGAGCCCGAATCCACTCTCTCTCTCTCTCTCCGGCAAGACACTTCCGCTCACTTCCGAGTCACAGCGATCTCCTTTATCGCACGTCCTCCTGGCCGGAGGCGGTGTGGGGAACTGGCGCGCGGCCGACGTTATCCGTCTCGAACGAAGGATGGATCTATCGCGCTTGCGCGTTGCGCGACGATAGCCCTCTCGATGCTACGACGATGCCGCGCGGGCGAGCCTCGCCGGACGGAGATCGCTGTCGATCGCTTCACGTCTTATTCCGTGTGCTGTACGTCCGAGGATAGTTAATTTCGTACAAACTTGGCAGAGGACGATCCACGACCGCGTTCGATGGCCTTCGTGCTTAAAACCGAAGCTCGCGACCGCAGCCACGGCGGATTTTCGCCCCGCGTCGCTTATTTATGGCGGGAAAATCAGATCGCATCTCGGAATGTGCATCGGTGTCGGGCATTAATCGACTGAGATTTCAGTTGTGACTCTGGAAAAATCGCCAAATCGATAATTTATATATTTCGTTTCTTTATTTATTTCGTCTGTTTATACGGAAGTCGTCCTCCCGGTCCAATGCGCTAAATATGGATTGTTATAAAGAAAAAGAGAAAGAAACAACAAATAGATAAATCAAAATACGAAGATATAAGTAAAAACGAACAAAATGAAACTACCTAAGCAGAACTTGGATTCAAATAGATGTCAATAGTAATTTAAGAAAATGCAAAGACATATAATAATCAAAACTACAATTGTATTTTGTTGTTATAATTTCATGAAACAATGTATGCGTCGTTTAAATCTTCTACATCACCCTTCGCAAAAATTATCTTATAAAATCATAACAACATCAAAATACGATCGTTTCATTATATTTAAGAAATCCGCAATTATTTGTCAGTTTAATGTTCTTCCCTTCTTCTTTATATACAAACTCTTCTGCGCTTTTTCGAAGACACAAATATCTGGTTTAATTACGTGAATGAAGCTCGCATATAATAATTGAAATTCATTGGAATCTCTGTCCCTCTCTCTCTTTCTCTATTTGAGACTCCAATTGTCGCGTCGAGATAGAGGGGCCATATGTAGAGGATCTCGGCGAAGTGTTCGTAATATGACGCGGGTCGAGCATTAATTTCGTTCACGTGGGTGAGCTCGCGACACTCGCGTCACAGTACGTTCGCCGCCCTGAGGCCAGTATACGCTGATTGATGATTGATGGTTGCGAGAGCGCGACGAAAGTCCGCGCACGAATGGTCAAGTACATTCCAATTTGCTTGCGTCCATCGTTTGATCTCGGGCGCGTGTTCACTCATAACTTTTCTGTGCTCATCGCTACGAAAACATGCTCGATCGGACGATATATGTACGTCGTTCGACCGGTCAACTCACGGACATCGATAATGGACTTCCGCTCGTCTCTCCTCAGACGTCATTTCTCGCTACGATATATGCAAACAATTTTGTCCTATGTGAATCGTAAAATGACCTATGAAAATTGTAATAAATTTCACTCTGTATACACTGAGAGAAAAATGTAGGATATTTGTAACCATAATAGCATAGTAAAAAGATTATAGTTAGAAATATCATTTTGATAGTAAATGTCACCATAATGTTTGTAATATTTACAATATAAGCATAGTATAATTGACTCGTGTAAAATATTTACCAAGAATTATAATTATTTGAAATAAAAAATATAGTAAGGTAGCAAATATTGAATGGTAAGAGAAATTAACTATTTTGTATAGTCAATACAATTGGAATATTTGGCAAGTATAGATATATATATATAACTATATTTTCAAAGTGTGCTTTACTATACACATAGAATAATAAAATGATTATCTGTAAATCTGTGTTCATTCTGCTATATCTTCATGTTTAGCTGAACTATAAATATATGTTTGAGGCCAAAATAAACTATAAAATATAGTGAGATTATAGTTATTCCAACTATGTTTTTCTCTCAGTGTACATGTTATATATATGTTATATATATACATACAGTATACATATATATATATATATATATATATATATATATATATATATATATTTATATACGTATATACGATGTATATATATGTAAAATTATTAAAAAAACAAAAGAACTCAAAAGATATAAATCAAAAATAAAAATAAAAAAGGATTAATAGGAGTGCAGGCACAGAAGTCGACACAGACAGGATTTAACACAATTTTCCACATTTTTGTCTTGCAATTCTTTTCTCCCAGTCTCGGTTGCAAACAATCTTAAGGTCTTGTTAAAACCTTGATACTTTATTATTTAAAATTACATTTACACTGATCTTAATTTAAAATGATCTTTATTATTTAAAATTACATGTTACATGAAGAGGATCCACGGATGAACCGAAACGTTTGATGTTTTACACTTTTAATGTTCAATAAATTATTTGATTTTCAACATAGGAAACTTTCACTTATTTCCTTAGATTGTATAGCATTAAAATTTCTGTGCCTGAACTCCTATTAGCCCTTTTTTATTTTTATTTTCTATTTTTGACCTAGATACATGGTCCTATGTAAACTTGATCTCGTATGAATTATAAAATATGCTACGTAAATTGTAACGACAACGTTGACGATAAATTATAATGCATCTATATCTTTAACGACAAACTGAAAGAATAACAACTAAAGACATTGTCCAAAAAGCGGTCAATTTCATTGCTTTCGATATCCAATGAAGGCTCACTTGACATTGCAAAAAGGATCAATAGGACTTTCTATTTATGAAACTAGCACGTGTATGTGAGTGTATGTAAAAATTTGAAAAAGAAAACAATCCCATAAATATCAAGTAACCATTACATCAATGTTATAATTTTCTACTCAATAATGTAAATGACATGTACAACGTGTTACATAACATTTACATTATTGAGTGAGTAACTGTAACATTGATGTTAATGTTAATTAGCGTTTACTGGAAAATGCAATTTTAAATTAAACGAGGAATAAGAAACTCTAAAGCTTTTTCCTTCAATAATGTAACTATTGTGTATAACAATTGTGTGGATTATATTGCACTTACATTATTAAGTGGATAATTGTAACATCGATGCAACGTTACTGTTAGTTGAATTTTGTTGGGAAAAGCAATTTTAAATTAAAAGATAAATTATAAGATAAGAACAGTATGAAATTTTAAAGTTTTCTCACTCGATAATGTAACAGTTGTGCACAACATGGGGTGCGTTGCACTTACATTATCGAGCGAGACATTACAACACTGATGTAATTACTGTTGCTTGCTGTTCACTGGTAACGTAATTTGATTTGAAAGGGAACTAAGGACAGCATGAAACTTTGTATGTTATGGCTCTTCGGGCGAGTTTCCCAAAACTGGTCCGTATCGTCTCTCACGGCGTCCGCGCGCGCGCGCGCGCGTTTGCCGACTTTGCTTACCTCAAGAACACACCGGCTGAATAAAATACGCGATCGAGTCAGAGAGCTGATCGCTCGCGAGCGTGTGACTCGTTCTGGAAGCGACGGGATCGCTGAAGAGGCAACGGCGTCCACTGATACACGACGATCACTGTGAAAAAGAGCGGATAGCGCGACAAGTCCGCGGCGATGTCTACGCGCAACGAGTCGCAGCTAGTGGCAGCGACGGCGTCGCGACGCCCCGTTGACGTCACCGCGACGTCGTGCCCTTACCTTGGATCCCCGCTCACTGGACGCGGTGACGACGATACTGTATGATCACCGTTCGTTTTCCCCCGTTTTCTCGTTCTCCTTCTCTCTCTTTCTCTCTCTCTATAATGGCAGGCACTAAAAATATGTGCTCAAGGTCCGTGTACTGCGAAAACCGCACCTGAAGCGCTTGCATTCCTCGCGGATACATCTGCGGCTGAAATGCAAAACACCGTCGGCCGGTCGTTCAGTTCGGAACTCACCCTGATCTCTTCCCCAAACAAGACACAGATCTTGCAAGGGACGTCTCGAGGACGTCCTGGCGACGTCCTGAGGACATAAGGACCTCTCCAAGACATCCACAAAACGTCCCTTGGAAGTGTGTGCGTTTAAGTGTCTTTTACGATGGATGATGTACGCGAGAGACGAAGGCAAATTGATTTATGTCGCATGGACATGCAATTTATTGTATCTTGCGTGTACAAAGATACATCTCCGCGCTGCGTAAGTGGCAAAAGCAGGAAGAAATCGTTCATTGATAGTGTGTCGCACAGTTACGAATCTAGAGGTCGTTGCATCCTTTTCTTTCATATGATATGTACGTTTCGTATAATACGGTCATCGATGCATGAATGTCTGGACGAAGTGTGTACCGTTAATTAACACGTTCGGGAGATGTCACGGTCTATTTGAGAAAACCATTCTCACAAGGCACTCTCTATTTTTTATATACAGGGTGTCTCTCTGATGATAACGTATCAAACTTTTGTGTACGTGTAGATTGGCTCAAACTGAACAAGAAATTCCTCTACTATTTTGCAAGTAATTACGTTGATTTTATACAATATATTAACGTGACAAATATTATTTTAAAAAATGCTACTTTAGTTCATTGCAAGTGTCACGGTTGCAGCGCGAATGTTCCCGAAGAAATCGCAAAAAAACGGAACTTCCCCCTTAGCGTTAATTAGAAGGTCGTGTCTAGTCGAATGCTCTATCCAGATATTCATATATCGACGAACACGATAGTGCTTATATGTTTATTAGTAACTAACGTCGTGTCGCGTACGTGTACACACTTCAAACTATTCCTGAGAGTTAATCTGTTCGTGTCGTCTGATTAATGCTTTAAAATTAAAGCAGGCCGGAAGTGCGTTGCAAAATGTAAGCGGTAAAACTCTTCAGCAGTAAGAAAATTAACCAGTTTATTTTCCTATCATTAGAATGTTTTTTGACGGTAAGAAAAATGTATGGTTCCCGGCCTCTAGATCCTAGAAGTCAAAATCTAGAAATTGTAAATCCTAGAAATCAAAATCTATATGAAACAACCTGTGTTTCTTTATGTCCTTTATGGACTTATTAGCTTAAGCTAAAACTATAAGTGCTGCAAAATGACAGTGACGCCTCGAACAAATAGTATCGCAGTACGCGTACAAGCAACAATCCTAAAGGGCCATTTAACAATTACGTCACGCGAAATTTGAATATGTTTTATCCCTCTCGCCTCTTTGTGATATTTTCTCACAAACTATTTGAATTTTCCTGATATTATATGACATATAAAATTATCCATTTCACATAGAACAAGAAAAATAAGTTTATAACTATATTGTGAGTAATGTTATGAATATAATTTTATTAATAAAATTAATTATTAAAATTATTAATTTATTAATAAAATTAATAATCTTGTAAATTGTATTAATAGAAATAATATAATTATTAATAAAAGATAGTAAAGATGGGCTCCATGTTCCTATCTTTTTTTAAAATACAAATAATTTTTAGGCATGATATCGAACTAATTACTCTTTACAATTTCGATTAGTAAAAGTTGTGTTTTAAAAAGAAATACACATATTGTAAAATTAATATTTTGATTATATAATTCTGATTAACACAGAATTAAATTATTTTGATACGATATAATAGTTTTTAGATATAAAAATTTAGATACGAAATATTTTGTGACATTTCATAAACTTCACCTTCCTTCTCCCCATCACATCATGCAAACTAATCGACACTCCCTTCCTTTTGTGAACGTAATTGTTGAATGATCCCTCTGTGTGTGTGTATGTGTGTGTGTGTGTGTGTGTGTGTGTGTATGTGATTATATATATATAATCGAAGGAACTAATCGACCGATCACACAGGCCACAATCCTTGTTCCGACTCACTCCGCCGATTCCTCAACAATTCACGTCTTTCCATCTTCCCCTTCGTGGCCATTGCTGTCATGGAAGATCGCACTAGAGCTTCCGCTCGTATCCTCGGCGTGCAAACCGATCTTTGGGGAGTTGCGGTCGACGGCTGACTTGTCACCCGATTCCCCGACTTCTTCCGTCGTACTCTTCTGGTCACTGATTATAGTATCCTTGTCAGCTGGATTAGTCCTCGGCGACGCTTCTGAGTTGTTCTTGTCCTCGAGGGTACATTCCTTCGGCGGCACCGAGCTATTTGTATCCAGCGAGGTCTTCGTCGCGGTCGACGCTTTCGACGACGAAACGTCCCCGGCTGTCTCGTCCAAGCTAGTCAGCTCCTCGATCACGACACCTTGAGGACTGCCCGGAAGGGCCAAGGGCTCCCTGAGTGATCCCGGCATTGAGGCCTCGCCGGAAGGTTGAGCGTCGTCCGCGTTGGTCGCGCTATTCGTCGCGACATCCGGGTAGTCCATGTTCGAGCCTATATCCTCCACGCTGGTGATGAAATTCAGGTATCGATTCTGAAGGGTCGCTTCATCCCTCGGGTAGCCCAGCATCAGAATATCCAACGCAGGTTCCACGAGTTTCGCTCCATGGCCGCGCAGATTCAGATCGGGATCGGAGTTCCGGTTGATCCGGAAGTTGCGGGACGCACCCGCCAGCAGCTGCATCACGATCGGCAATTCGGAATGACCGGCGAAGGCGTTGCTCTTTCGAGGATATCCTCGACGCTCGTCGTCGTGACTGCGCGGAATATCAAGCATATCCGTTAGATGCAGGAGTTAATTCTTCCTAGTTTTTCAAAACTTAAAAAGAACTCAAAAAGCTCAATCACTGAAGGTTTTCTGAAATGTTTACTAAGTTTACGACTTTTCTATCGTAATAAACATTTATCCCATACGCTAAATACGCGCACAATGTTATAATGTGATCATCATTTTGTCTCACTGGGAATTATAAATTAAATTCATAACAACGAGATTGTCAGTTGTCAGTTGTAATAATTAATAAGTAATGTAATAACAACAGTAATAACGTAATAATAATAATTAGGGGCCATTCAACAATTACGTCATGTGAAATTTGAGTGCTTTTCTCTTCTTCTCTCCTTATCACATTTCGTCATAAAGTATTTAGACTTCTTTCCAATATTACATAACGTGTGGAATTACCTCCCTTTCGCTCTAAAATACAAATAATTTCAAGACATAAACTATCAAATATTTTATTTTATAATTTTGATTAGTAACAATTGTGTATGTTTTTAAAAGAAGAAATATTCAAAGACTAACATTTAACATAAAACTAAATTTAAGTAAGTTTTAAGATTTAGAGTGACGTTTTATGGCCTTTATTTCTGCTCCCCTTCTCCCTCCTCATGGCGTGACGTAATTCTTGAATAACTTCTTACGTAACTTTACATTACATTAATAACAATCATAAGATGATAATAATTACCAATTGCTATTTGCAGTTTCACACGTGCTGGATTTCGCGGTGTCAGTCTTCGTTAGTTCTTCCTCAGCCAGAGACTCGTCCAGCGAGTCGCTCGAATTAGTTTCACTGTGCGTTATATCGAACAGCGGCAACGGCACAGAATCGTGGAACTCGCCGGTGTGCTGGAGTCGACCCGTGGCGAAGGCGTTCTCCAAGGAGAGCGTGGTCTTTCGCAGAGCTTCCTCCCGTCGAAGACGATGCCGTCCGCCCCTGGCTTCACGTAAACTCGATCGATCCTCCGGCATAAACACACTTCTTGCGATAGCTGTTCCCCGCGTCAACGGAATATCGTTGGGAACAGAGTCCGAGCCAAGATCCCTCCGCAGACGACGACGCGTTAAAAATCCTCGGACGCCTTCCAAAAATTATTCTTGTTATTCGTTATCGTACGTCATGGCTCTCTTAAAATATTGTCGATACTTTTGATATTATTGTTCTGATTTTCGATAAATATAACGTGCCTGCGCTACTTATCCATATGTTCGGCTGAACTTTGCTATCGCTTGCTGCTGATAATAATCTTGCTGCATTTCATAATCTTTTGAGTATAATAAAAAATAAGAAAATTGCAGGAAAGTAGGATCAAAATTTTGGATCAAGTTTCAAGATTATGATTTCTCGAAATTGTATGTCAGATGCGATACTCACAAGCTTGGCTTTTCACAACCGCCGAGTAAAAATCGTCCTTCTCCCAAGAATCGTCAAGAGTCTTCTCGTCCGCACTCGTATTCGAACCAAAAGCTGCGATCACCGTTTCAGCGGTCGACGACTTTGTTCCCATGGTCCAATATCGAGCATAATGATGATCCTGCGTCGATATTGCGCTCGTTATTGGGCCGTGAACACTCTCCAACTTTGCCGAGAGGTCGTCCGTCTCTTCTTTCTCGTTCGTCACGTCTCTTGCGGCAGTGTCATCAGTAATCGACTCGGTCAAAGGAGTCTCGTCCTGTCCAGCATCTTCGCTTTCTTCTGTCGATGTCTTCGGCACATCTTCCCGTGTTTCCTGAACTTCCATGTGTTCCTGCTCATCTTTTTCGTTCGCTATTGATTCTTCTCGCTCGCGTTTTCCCTCATCATTTAACTCTTCTTCTTGACATTCTTCTTGCGCCATCACATTTTCTTCTTCGGATTTTCCCTTATCTTTCCACTCTTCGTGCTTGTCCTCCTCCTGTTTTTCATGAAATTCTTCTATTTTACTCGCACTCTCGCTGCTTTGACTCTTTAGGATACTTTCATCTATTTGCTTGTCTTCTCGACTTTCTTGATCGCCGGCGATATCAGCGTCACGCTCATCTGTAATTTTCTCATCGGACATCTCATGACTTCCATTCTTTTCTAAAAGCTCGTCTGGTTCAAATTCCGCTAGAGGTGCGACCTGGTTAGTCTCTATGTGTTTCTTTTCTTCGACTTCCACTTCAGGTTCTTCAATTTCTTCGTTTGTTGCCGCGTTATCTTTAGCTGAGGATTCTTGCTCAGATTCTGCTACAGATATGACTTGACTACTTTCTATGTGTTCCTTTCCCTCGATTTCTACTTTAGATTCTTCAGTTTCTTCGTTCGTTGCCGCGTTATCTTTAGTTGAGGACTCATCCTGCTCAGATTCTGCTAGAGGCGTGACCTGACTACTTTTTATATGTTCCTCTTCTTCTTCGACTTCTACTTTAGGTTCTTCACTTTCTTCGTTTATTGCTACGTTATCTTTAACTGAAGACTCGTCTCGCTCAGATTCTGCTAGAGATGTGGCCTGACTACTTTTTATGTGTTCCTCTTCTTCGACTTCTACTTTAGGTTCTTCACTTTCTTCGTTTATTGCCGCATTATCTTTAACTGAGGACTCGTCTCGCTCAAATTCTGCTAGAGATGTGGCCTGACTACTTTTTATGTGTTCCTTTTCTTCGACTTCTACTTTAGGTTCTTCACTTTCTTCGTTTATTGCCGCGTTATCTTTAACTGAGGACTCGTCTCGCTCAGATTCTGCTAGAGATGTGGCCTGACTACTTTTTATGTGTTCCTCTTCTTCGACTTCTACTTTAGGTTCTTCACTTTCTTCGTTTATTGCCGCGTTATCTTTAACTGAGGACTCGTCTCGCTCAGATTCTGCTAGAGATGTGGCCTGACTACTTTTTATGTGTTCCTTTTTTTCGACTTCTACTTTAGGTTCTTCACTTTCTTCGTTTATTGCCGCGTTATCTTTAACTGAGGACTCGTCTCGCTCAGATTCTGCTAGAGATGTGGCCTGACTACTTTTTATGTGTTCCTTTTTTTCGACTTCTACTTTAGGTTCTTCACTTTCTTCGTTTATTGCCGCGTTATCTTTAACTGAGGACTCATCTCGCTCAGATTTTGCTAAAGGTGTGACCTGACTACTTTTTAGATGTTCCTCTTCTTCGACTTCTTTAGGTTCTTCAGTTTCTTCGTTTGTTACCGCGTTATCTTTAGCTGAAAATTCGTCCTGTTGAGATTCTACTAGAGATGCGACCTGGTTGTTTTCTACGTGTTCTTTTTGCTCGACTTCCAATTCGGGATTTTCTGTTTCTTTGTTTACCATCACCTCATCTTCATCCTCGTTTTCTTGACTGCTATCCACTATGTGATCTGATAACTCACTAACTGCTTCAGTCTTTGAAACATCTTCGTCACCTAACTTTCCGGATTGCTCCGAAAGAACGTCGCCTTTTTCTTTCTCTGCTTGGTCAACTGATATAGAATGGACAAAGTCCGATAACGGTCGACTAGTTCCATCTACGTCCAAATTGCTTTTGATAGGTTTCTCATAGTCTTCGAGTTTCCTAGCGCGATCTGATTCTCTAACAAAGAGTTGTGTGTCGTTATTCAGGAAACTTATCAATTCTCTCGCGATCTCCTCTTCGCTGTCCAATTCCTCCGCTTCCCTCTTCTCTCGCGAAACTGAAGCAATGACATCCTCTTCCCGAGCCTCGTCCTCTAAGACAGCTTCCGAAGACAACAGATCTTTCTCCAGCAGCTCATATTCCGCGTGCTCCGCTGGGTACAGCTGATCAGCTTCCGGCATGTCTGACTGCGCTCGGAAGTTCAGTGAACCCAATGCCAGTTCCTCGACAGGGGACTCCAGCTCGCGCTCAGCCAACATCAACCGATTTCCCATCGTCAACCTCTCGTCGGGAGTCAACGGCTCGACCAAGGACATCGTGGCGTCGCTCTCCCTGGGACTGCCGTTGCTTTCCTTCGTCGCTGTGCCGTTCGCCGTCATCTTGAACGATGACACTGTGTTATCCTGAAGAGAATCTAGGTTCAGCTCCGGTACTATCGGCCTGCCGATACTCGAGCTCTCGATCGATTGGTTACTCGCGGTGCTCTCCTTCGCATCGCTCGAGGTGGTCGTGTGGACATCTTGACTACTCCCGTTCACCTCCGATAAATTATCCGACGTGCTTCTGGACTCCCCTGCAACGTCCGTTTTGCCTGCATTCGTCAAATCGGTGCTCTCAGTAGTTTCGGGCAAAGCTTCACTTTCGGGAACACAAGAAGAAGGAAACTTTTCGGCAATCGTCCTCGCATTGGTCTCATCCTCTTCATGCTCCACGATATCCTCAAGCTTCTCTTCAACCTGTCCAACTGCCGTCTCAACTGCCTCTCCGTCTCCATTGTCCTTCTCCAAACAGCTTTCCTCTTCTCCTTTTCGTTCGCCGTCTTCTTTGTCTTCCTCCTCTTCTTCACCCTCTTCCTTGATCCTATCTAAATCTTGGTGGACGACCAGTATGTCCTGGCCTGGTTTCACACCTCTCGCGCCATGCACAAAGTCGATATCGACTGATAAAGCCGTCACTTCTGGATGGATATATTCGCCAAAAACTTCCATATCGTATTCAGCGTGTCCTTCGTTCTGCCGCGTTTCGTCCTTCGACGAAACATCCTCGACGACATAGTCATGAGCAGCTCGTTCTTCCCGGTAAACATAATTAAACGTGAGTAAAATTTAGCCAGATCAACTCATCAAACGTAACCGTTCTTAAAAACATATTTTTTTCATTACAACTTTTTTTCAACTTCATTGAATTGTAAAAAAATAACGGATTCCTATTTTCCGATATTTTCTACAGCAATTAGAAGAAAAGTATCAAATTTCAATCATTTTCCCGGAAGTTATGAACAAATAAAAAGGCGCCAGGTAAAATTTATCCATATTTAAGTTAGGGTTTACATAACTTGATTTTTGGGGTTTAATTTAATGTACATTTATTGGGTAACTTACCGATTGGAAAATACGTCAATCCGGGCTGACGATCGTCAATCTCGGAAATCACAGGCGACGGGCACGGCCTGTCCGGAATAATCACGGTCGTCACGGAATCGGGGATCTCGCAGGGAGAGCCCTCGCTGAGGACGTAGGCGAACGGGATCTTCAAGGACAACGGCGTGGTTGCCGGTATCTCGTTGGTCTCCCGTCTCTTCCGCGCTTTCGTCTTGCCGATGCCGTTTCCGCTCGTCGGAGGACTCACTGTCAAGTGTTGTTCGTCCGTGGCGTTCCCGGAGCCTGTCGTCTGCGAAGACGCACCCGCCGTCACGCTTTTACCGTTCGACGCCGTCGCGTCGTCCTTGTCATCCACCCCGTGAACGGATACTTCGACAGTCTGACCATTTTTGATCTTATATTGTGCGTTTGTAGATTCCAGATTTTTCATGTGACGCTTAACCATCAATTCTTCAACGCCATTTAGCACCCTTTCCGCTTCGTTTATCGATATTCCAACTTGAGCTTCAGATCCTTTCTCCTCAGTCAGTTCCTCATTCCCTATCATTGTGGACGGTTCCGCTTCATTTGTCGATCCTTCTTTTTCTTCTTCGTTCAATGATTCCCCCTCTTCACTCAGTACTCCTCTTTCATTCGTCAATCTCTCTGTGTTACTGCTCCCTTCTTGCACTCCATTTACCGATTCTTCTTCTTCCTTTTCTTCTTCATTCATCGATCTTCTCTCTTCATTCGGTGTCCCTTGTTCGCTTGTCGATTCTCCTATCTCACTGGCAACCTTTTCTGCCTCACCACTCGATTTCCTCGCTTCATCCATTTTCTCAACACTCGTCGACCTTCCCGCTTCGCTCATCGCTTCATCATTACACGTCGCAGTCTGTTGGCCAGCTAAGGCCTTCTCGATATTTCGCTCCGCCATCTCGATCTCGATCAACCTGTCCTTCAGATCATCGAATGTTTGGTTCCGCACGACGTCACCATCGGCATCCTCGTCCTGCAGTTTATCCCGCTCCTCTTCACCAGACTCCAACGAATCCGGTCTCAAAGGTAAGTCCGCTACTTCCGGAGTTACGTTTAAGCTATCCTTGTAAACCTCCTCCGCCCTTCTCTCTTCCGCTTCCGTTAACTTTCGATACTCCTTGAGATCTTGATCGAGGGAAACGTCACTTATACGTTTTCCTGCGAGCTCCCGCGGAGTGTCTTTCCAAAGAGCTTCCTCTTCTATATCCTCGTCTTCTTCCCCGGGCCTCGCGTCCGACATCAAGTCCTGATGATCACTCATTGGATCCTGTCTCGCATCTGCGGTCGCAAGTTGTTCTTCTTCGTCTTCCGGGAGAACCGCAATGTCCTCCATGTCGCTCGTAATATCACGCATCGTCGAGGCTTCCTCGGCGTCCTTAGAGCCATCCTGCTCCTGCGACTTTTTGGCAGACTGGTTCCCGTTCGGCAAGATCGGCAGCGACAGCTCGTCCTTCTTCTTAGTCGACCTCGGAGCTTCCGGCGAGATCGGCGGCAAGGTGAGACTGTCCGAGCCGTTCTTGGCGGCGTTCCTGCAGCTCTTGGACGACGGCGGCCTGACAATCGGCAAAGAGACCACATTGACGTGATCGGAGACCTCGGACGGCACCGTTCGTTCGTCACGCTCGTCGCCAGCTGAGTCGACCTTGCGAGCGCCGCTCAGTTCGGACGCCGACATTGATATGCCCTCCAGGATGCTCTGCGTAGCGGTCAGTCTTGCCTCCAAGGTGTCGCGTCCCGCACCGGACTCTTGTTCCGATTTGTTACTGTGCTCGGAATCGTCGTCGACGCGATCAGCGAGCCCGAGGTCGCCGTGCTCGCCGTTCTCGCGCCTTCTTGATCGTCTGCCGGAGCCGGCGCTGCGTCTTCCTGGCCGTCTCTCCTCGCTCTCGGCGCTCGAGGCTACTTCTTCCCGTCTCGCCGACTGATTCTCCGATTTATCTTCCCTCCTCGCGTCGTTGAACTCCTGTTCTAGAGCTCCGTTACCAGAGCTCTTCCGTTTACCCTTCTCTTCTTCGTCGCGATCGCCGCATCTCCTGCTGTCTTTGGCGACGCAGCGGCGAAAGGATTCCTCGTTCCAGGCGAAGTCGACTGAGCGTGAGCGCTTACCCCGCGGCTTCCTGATTTCTTCGAGCTTCTCTTTGATGATCGGCGCCGCACGATCGATCACTTCCTGCACCTCCTCCACGTAGGTGGGCGAGCGAAGCACCTCCAAGCTCGCCGTGCTCGCGAATTTGCGCAGCACGTACGCCCTGATGCGATCCATGCTGAGCGCCCTTGACGAGACTTTCCTCTCCGAGGAATGTTCGCAGGGCCATGCTGCCGCTTCCGATCTCCTGCTCCTGCTACAGGCGGTTGCCGCCTCTCGGTTGTCGCCCTTAACGCTCGTTCTCTCGTAACTAGTAATCAGAGAGCGGAAGTTCGTGAGTTGTCATCGAGAAATTAATCCTCAAAATTGATCCTTAAAATTTAATCCTTATTCTTTCAATTCAAAACACAGTAAAATTGGAAAGGATTTATATGAAAAAAAGTTATAATATATATTATCACTATGCAAAACAACTGCCACAACAAAAATATTCGTCACATACCCATTTCCAAGTCTATCCTTCGACGCGATTTCGCGCTCCGTCTCGGTCTCGAACTCGGTCTCGATTCGCCGCACTTTTTTCAAGGGTCTTCGTGCGGAAGTCTTACCCGTGGTCGTCGTCGCAGCACGTTCGATCTCCTCCTCGGCGTTTTTATCCGTCTTGGACACCTTCGTCCTGGATCGCCTCTCGCCACGGATCCCCTTCTCTACACTGTCGGACAGTTTTCCCTTCTCGCCGGAGTTCAGTTTGTTCTTCCTGAGTTCCTGCTTGATGTCCTTCGTCAGGATAGTCCTGCTAGAGCCGCGAAGAGCGGACATTTGCGAGATGATCTTCGTTGCGCGAGAGTCCGACGCCGCGTCCTTGTCCTTGGTGGACCTCCTCGAGGCTCTTTTCGCGCTCGACGAACTCTTGGTGCATGTCTGCCTCGACGCTTTCCGCTTCTCCCTGTCGGTAGATACGTCCTCCGGGCTCTCTTCCACGTCGGTAGGCACCTTGCCGCGTCTCTCGAAGGCCTTGATCTCCTTATCCAAGGGCCAACCGCTGGTCGGTGATACTCTGGTTTCTCCGGACTCCTTGGTGGGCCACAGATTGAAATCGCGAAAGTCGTCATCGAATTCGCGAATGTTGCGATACTTCTCGGCGTGGTACTGTTCCCGCAGCTTCAGCAGCTTCTCGAAATGATGAGCCGCGAAAACGTATATGTCCTCGGGACGGTGACGCAGCACCTCTCTGGTGAGTCCCTCGACCACAGCCGCGAGCCCTTGAGGCACCCGCGGCCCTATGAAGTATCCTGCGCCAGGATGCAGGCTGGGACGATTGATTACAGGCGGAGTCGGACTCAACATTGTGCATGCCTTACTGTATATCCCGTAAACGCTATAACATATGCGATATTATCTTTTATTTCTGAATAATTTTACTACTTGCGGCATTTCTTCATGCGTCACGCATTACATCGCTGCATACAACGCGAAATAAATTCTCCTTCAAGGACGTAGATGATTCTAACGAAATTCTGTCGATGTCAATTCGCACTTGCATATATATGGAATAGAAAAATTGTCTAAATGTTTGTGTTATTGCAATATAAATAATTTATTATATATTAATAAATAATACATTTTTACGATGATAAGTAAGTGTGATATGAATATAATTAATAGTAATTATAATATAGTATATGTACCTAGTGTGAGAACACTATAGTTAATAATGTTACAAATTAATATTATAATTTCTCACTCAATGTAATTTTTATACAGGATGTTTTTTAAATACATGTCGAAAATGTAGGACGTGTTTCATTACATAAAAGAAAAATTTATTTGAACGTATGTCCTAAAATGCTTCAGTTCCAAAGTATATCTCTTGCAAGGGGTGATTAAAAAAGTATTTTTTGTGAATAAAAAGACAGAACGATGGAACATAAACGTTTTAAATTTCATGGATATTTAGTGCTAGTAGCAGATTATACTTTGAAATGGTCTTCGTTCCTGAAAAATTAGTTAAGGGTTGAAAATGAAGTGGTGGCTATCTAGATAATACAGAGAATTAAAACAAATTCAGTTGCATGTCATCAATTCTGAGTTCATTTTTAGATGCAAAAGGAATTCTTTTCACCGAACTGAACTCTAAAAAATTCTTTTTGCATCTGAAAATGAATTCAGAATTGGCGATATACGACTGAATCCTTTTTGAATTCTTGTTTAATTCTCTGTGCTACCTGGGTATTCTTAATTCGTGTATAACTTTTTTTACTTTCGCAAATAAGATAAATACAACTTTATTTTCGAACTTCTTAGACAATTGTACAAAAAAATTCAATTTCCTCTACGATTTCCCCTACAATTTATCTGTGACATTCTACAGAGTGACTGAGAGGAACGTGATAACTTTTTAAGTGTATTGTATGCATATATATAGACACACACATGTGCATGTCAAGGTGCAGTATAGTCACGGCAGGATGTGAAATTAGATGCTCATACGATGCGTGTACCTGTAGAAGTATGAGAAGCGACATCATCAATTGAAGCGGTGCTATGGACGTGAATTTCCACGTTCCAAGAGCCAGATGTATCCACGTACTTGTAGGTGAATAACACAGAAGGGTTGCCACCACCGAGCGTGTGCACCCCTGTGGTATAACTGAATCACCGCTTCACCAGCTTGGTCGGGACGGCGGTGGTCGATGCTATTCCATTGATTAGCTGGCGGCCTGACGGCCACGTGACTTTACCGCGGAACTACACACGCACGTACCACTTTAAATATGGAATCAGCTTGGAGATAGTAGAGTAATAACGCGAGTTACGTAAGCACGATATACGGTGGGCGACTGCTCTTTCTCTCTCTCTCTCTCTCTCTCTCTCAATTTCGTTCACGAAACTTCCATAAAACGAGGTGGCTCGATCGAAATGTATTATCCGGTACGTAACCGAGAATACCGAATGATTAATGACATAATCCGCGAATATTCTCAGAAGTTTCGTGCGGTAAGATCATGTCCTTCAGATAAGAACTCGCTGCGAACTCCTTCACGGAGTTTATTAAAATATTAAACGCGCCAAACGTAAAAATAAACATACATTTACGGTCGATATCTTACATTTTACAGAAGTAACGTTATATAAAAATAATTACCACAATTAATTAAGACAATTGATTTTATTTTTTAATGTGTAAAAAAATAACATCTACTGCGTCATTTCCTTGAACTGCTCCTCTCTGAGAGCGTACTGCTTTAGGAATTCGATCTCTAGAGGATGCATCTTCTTAGCTGGTATGACGAGGCAGTGTAACGGTGGTCCCAGATCGACACTCGTCATATCTCGCAGAGAACAGGCGAGAATACGTTGATCCTCGCAACCCACTCGAGCTAGGCCCACCGCTAAGCACTGATCAGTGAATTCTATCAAGCGTGAAAAATAGAATATTAATTACAGATGAAGACATCAGTTTTGTTAATTATTATGACTAAATATTAGATAATTATCTGTATGCTTCTATTTGTACTACATTCTCATGACTACATTCCTTTGAATGCAGCTGCTCATGACTACATTCCTTTGAATGTGATATTATTTGAAGTTATAAACCTGTAATCTGACCATCTTGAATTTGATTGTTGAGTATCTTTATCAACTGACTAGCTGCCTCATTGACACTCATGTATGTAGGAGGCATGTAATCCTTCTTTTTTTTCAAGATACTCTCCAAAGTAGGCTCTTTAACTTTGATATCTAAGAGACACAGTGTATGCAGGTTCATCTGTCTGTTAGAAACTATCTTTTCGTAGAAGCTATCCGGTTTCCAAGTGTCGGTCCAGTATGGAATCGAGACAGTTTCTCCATAAGAATATAACTGCAAGCCACAACATCCAACTGCTGACAATATCGATGAATTGTGTACAACTTTTACCTGGTTAAGAATGTATTATTCTTAAATAGTTTCATCTCTATTGAGTATATACAATTAAATTACAAAGTAATTTCTCATATATATGCCTTGAAAATAACAATTCTGTAAAAATAATATATATATATATATATATATATATATATATATATATATGTATAAAAGTAATAACTCTAACAAATATTTTTCTTTTGCTTATACTTGTATCTTCTTTTCCTTTGCATGAAGTATTAAGTTTGTATGTGTAGTAGCACCAAAGGGATCTCCCACTACCAATAAAGCTACATCCTCATCTTCTTCCTTTGGCAATATCTCATCTGCATAACTTTCCACCAATTCACGGTCAGCTATAATCAGTGAGCGTTCATAGAATTCTTCCTAAACATTCAATATAATCATATCCAATACATTCAATATAATCATATCCACTTGTACTTTAAACTGCATAATTATTACTTTGTTGTATGAAAATAAATCAAACTGCTTTATCTTTCATTGTTATAATAAGTGTCTTTGCGAAATAGTACAAACCAAAGTTTCTTGCTGTACTGTCAAAATAGAGGTATAAGACTCCAAGTACACGCGTTTACATTTTTTGATAATCTCCAGTCCTTTGACAGTAACATCTTTCGCATCGCCTAGCCCTAACCCTATTAAATAAAACATGATTTATGATTGATTAGCTAACATTTACCAGAGAGAAGCCTAAAAGCAAACATCACAGAACATATATAAAGAGAAATGTTAGTTCCGTGTTAAAGAAAGGGTAACAGGCCGCGATTCTAGTGGGATGGCACGTGTACTACATTGGATTGTGTGTGTGCGTATACATGAGATGCGTAGTGAATATGTGAATTACAAAAGCTAAAGCCCATTCTACAATTGCGTAAGCGTAGTCGTGAACGTAAGGTCAACCAATCCGAATGTTTTATTCACTGATTGCTTTACTCTGATTGGTTGTCGTAATCACTTACAACCACTTACATCCGCGTTCACGCAATTGTAGAATGGGCTTTAAGGTGCCAACATGGGAGTGTTCCAGCGTTATCAGGTCCTAGAAGTATACTTGTAGTTCTTGCGGAAAGTGGCATGTTGATTGGCTACCGTTTTAACGCTCGACGTAAAGGTATGCTCCCATGTAAAGGTATCTTAAAGCCCAATGTCCACGATACTAGAAATCGGTCCGAGAACTCGGACTGAAAAATGTGTAGCAATTAACTTACAGCTTTTACGGAAAGGCGGCATTTTCATTGGCTACATATTTCTCGGTCCGAGAATTCGGATCGATTTCTAGTATCGTGGACATTGGGCTTAACGCCCAATTGCACTAACGTTATTTTTGCTGTAAGAGAGACTTATAAATGTTATTTATTTATTTATTATTTAGAAAGGAAGATAAAAATAGATACATAAATCTCACTTAAAACCATAAAAACGTTGATGCAATTGGGTATGCTAAATGTTCTTGTTATTTAGATGTTCGATATATCTCAATTTTTGTTAACTTATCTATAAAATAAAACATTAAACATTTAACATATGAGTATTTGATAACTTTGAGTTATATTTACTAGCTGGGATAGTATAGCTGTATGTTCTCTTGTTAGTTTTTCAATGGGTCAGTAACTAAAATAAAATATATATAAGAGAAATAAATATGAAAAGGCAGTTTTATTTTAAAACTATATTAGTATAGTAACTTTATTAATCATTATATGTACTACGAACAATCGTAAAATTTTTGCTAACAGAAATAATTTACTCTTAAAAGCTAATAATATATAAGACGGTTTCTTAATATCACAGAAACATGAAACATATTGTATTGATTGCTAAACGCAGGAACAAAAGCATCGATCACATCGATACTTTCTTAAAATATATGTAATAAATATGATAAATATTAGAAATATTATAAATATATAATAAAAGAAAAGAAATTATTAAAAGTTTCTTAAAAATAACGCAAGGATATAATCACAAACGTGACAAAATTAAAATAAAATTAGTAACAATTAAACATTCTTTGGTCGTAATTTGCATAATATAAACAGTAATATCACTAATTGTTTGATTTTTTTGTATTTTGCAAATTATTTCATATATATACGTTGTTATAGAGTGAATGGATGCGTATTTGAAAACAATACTAAAAATATTCACACCATTTGTATGTACACAAAATATATATAATATACTAGTGTATTTGCAAAACGTAAAAAAGTATGAACCATAACGGAAAACAAAAATTAACATTTATGAAAAACTATTTCTTAGAAATAATATTATGCTACTGCAAAATGTTTAATTTTCCCATAATAATCAGAACTAAATTGCTGTGGTTTCTTCTGAAGCTTATCTTTAACATACTTATGTATTAAAAATGGTACACTTTTCACGACTATTATATTATCACATCGATGAAATAAACAGAAAGTGCTAACATAGTTATTAAAAAATATCTCTTTAAAGGTTGATTCAAGTTTGATCTTATGACTATTTACATCACAGAATTTATACATTGCATTGTGGAGGTTTTGTACGAGCATAATTACTTGATTATATATATATATATATATATATATATATATAAATATATATATATATATATATATACAGGGTGAGTCATTTTAGTCTATGGATCCGAATATCTTCCAAATTACGGTATCTACAAAAAAATGGTTTAGATAAAAGTTGACCAGGACAGAGGGGGTCATTCAATTGTACCATTGGTTTTGACCTTGAGGTCAATTTTGAAGGTTACTTCAAGGTCACGATGGTTTTTTCTAATGGGACACCTTATTTTTGACTGCGGATTTCGAAAGAGCGGAAAATTTTATATTAAACTTGTCTTATAAAAAAATTGTTTTTGCGACCTTGGAAAGGTCAAAAATGAAGGTGAAATGTCTGAAAAACGATCTGGTGTACTTTTTCTGAAATGACGTGGTTTTCTGGGTAACACAAATGTGCATAATGCTTAAACAAAGTCAATGAATTGTAAAAGTGTAAATCACTTTAACTAGCTTGACCTTGAGGTCAATTTTCAAGGTTGTTTGAGGCTCATAACGCATTTTTTGATCAGTAAACCCTATTTTTGACCGCAGAACCTGTTTCTTGACAATGGGCTCTTAAACAATGGCACCTTTTACATGAGCATAGGGATTTTTTAGTTTTTCGACCTGACCATTTGAAGGTCATATCAAGGTCATATCAAGGATAAATGGAAATACATTTCT